TTCATTCATCACATTGTGGGGAACCCACCCAGGCAGGCAACAGCTGTACGAAGTAATACCGAGTTAATCAACAGCGCACCCGTCCGTATGCTGTGCGCGTGCGTATACGTGCGCCGTGTTGCCGCCCGGAACCTCCCCCATAGTGCGCACCACATCGGTGGCTGGCCTCCTCGCCCTCACCCCCCCCCCACCAAATTCTCGCCTCCCTCTCGCACGCTTCATTCACACTGCCAAGCCGCCAACGGCTCGACGCCTGTTGGCTCAACCACTCCGGCAAACCATTCGGGACACTCCCGGGTCCGTGGGAGCAAGGTCTAGTGTAGCTGTTTTGGTTGGCAGCGCCAAGCTAGGTGGGCTCGGTCTGGCAACTCAGCTGGGGTACTTGTAGGGTGTAGGTTTGTTCGTGGGGAGATCACAACCAACCTGCCTACCCCCCGGGTGGCTGTGCCGTGCGGGAATGTTGGAGAATGATGGGGAAGAAGGGGGGGGGTAAGGAGGGTGGCTGGCGCCTGGATTACGCCCCCCTCAGAAATGAACGGTTAGTTATTCCATACATAGCTTAAGTTGCTCCCGACGCCGTCTTCCGTTCGGGATGGGGAGTAGTTAAAAAAAGAAAAGAAGAAAAAAAAAGAAACAAACAAACAGGGACCAAATTGCGAGGTAGGCTAAAATCCTGCATGTATTCGGCCCATCATCCATCCATCCATGCATCTATCCACTCATCGCATTCCACCGCTCCTCACCGAGATTCGGCAGTCGGTTTTCTGCGCTATGTGCTATGTGGGCTCGTTTGTCGCCGGGTGCTGCCTTGCCATGCGAGTGTCGCATTGCCTCTATATGTGTCTCGCACTGGATGGCTCGGGAAGTCAACCCGCCGTTGGGTCCGTGTGTAAGTTAATATGCCTCTTGAGCGCGTGAAATGGAAAATAGGGGCAACTGCCAAGAAAAACAAGCCATCAAACACTGATATTCGCCTGGCAACGGCAAGTTGTCAAGTCTCTTATTAACCCTCTTCCGCGGAATTCCGTGAGTCGAAAAGGAAGCATCAAGGGGGTGGAACGAAGAGAGTCTGGTGACTAAGTTTCCTGCAGTGTTCGGTAGAAAAAGTGATAGATCATCTCACGCGCCTTAGGGGATTGGGTATGCTTGGTTGCTGCGGCTCGTCCCGCATCTTCTTTTGTCAGAGCCTACCACAACGTCGGGAGACGAGCAAAACACTGCCGTGTCTTGGAAACTCAGAGTCATAGTTGTCACTCGCCACCAGGGAGTGGTGAACGAGATGCAGGGCAGGGAGAATAACAGTTGCGAACAGTGATCAACGGAATCTAGACCGGGTGAACACACATCTGGAACCACCAGAAAAGGTTTATAGGAACGATAATACTCCGCATTGCAAGTTCGCTCGCTTTCGAGCGACAAATCACCGACCCAGCCATAATACCTATGTAGATCCTTTTGAAAACGCCTGTAACCGAAAAGCGCGGCTCTGCAGCCTGCTCCCGCCATGCAAGTGAAGCTCGTCCGACATGACGAGCTCGGTCTTGTCCCCCACCCCCTTCCCCATCCCATCAAGGCTGTCCCTGTCCCATGTTCGCGCCCATGTGGTACACCAAAGGAAATAAAACAATATCCCCGAAGGATTAAAAATCGCGGTGGAAATCAAGGCGGAACTAAGGCCAACTCCTTATCCCGATGCAAATAGTATGGTTGGTACTGCCCCACGGAAAGGGGCAGTGGAATATCACTGCTGCGTAGCCATGCATGTTTCTTCGCCATAGAGCTCCCAGTTTCATGACTGAGTGCTGTGCATGGTCTTGTTTGCCCGATCGAGAGCATCGGCCTTTACTGCCTCCTGTGATTGGGTCACGTCGATGGTGATGACGTCAATTTCGTCGGGCGTGGGCCGCTCGAGGACTTCGAATTGGCTGTGGACCATGTTGGCGCCCATGTAGTGGTTCTTGCGGGCGGATACCCTCTGCAGGAGGACCTCCTCGGGGGCGTCGAGGTAGATGAAGTGGAGATGTACGTTGGGGGTGAAATAGGGGGCGACTCGGATGACATCGCGATATTTGCGCTTGAGCGCCGAGCAGGTCAAGACCACGCCGTCACTGCCCTTGTCCAATTCGTGGATGGATGCTTCGCGGAGGGCCGTCAGCCAATCCCACCGATCCGCGTCGGTCAGGGGGATGCCGGCGCTCATCTTGTCGATGTTGGCCTTGGGGTGGTACTAGAACGACAAGGTGAGCATGTAATTCGACCAGTCGACACACGGGGTATGGCGCAGGGCGCAGGGCAACATACCTCATCACCCTCAATGAAAGGGAAGTGAAGCGAATCTGCAATGTGCTTGGCTACCGTGCTCTTCCCACATCCCGCAGGACCCGTCACGAGCCAGATGTGTTGGTCCTTGGGAAGGGGCCTCGGCCGATGTGGCGCCGCCATTGGCCATAACGCCATTAGAGAGCGTGGTTGGTAGTCGCGAAGCCTTGGGAGAAGACGGGATACTCTGGCGCCCGGATGACATGGCCCCAGAAGATGATGGCCTCTGCCCATTGACCGCTACGGAGGTGTTGAAGGAGAGCATTGTGATGTATTGGACGAGTAAAAGGTAAAAGTGGCGAGATGTTGCGGAGATCTCTATTACATATAAGCAGTGGAGGAGGCGGTTTCGTTTTTATTGCGACAGGAAGGACGAAAAAGGTTTATGACGGTGGCGGAAAGGGGGTGGTGGGGGTTCGTTCGGTGTTGGTGTAAGTGAGTGAGCGTTGGAGTGAATGTTGGCCGAGTTGGGATGAAGGCAGGATCCAATGGGTGGGTAACGGTAGGTAAAACGGGGGAGAATAAAAGCACCGAAACTGTCAAACGAGACACCGTGACTAGGAGAGAAACAACCGGCGGAATAAACACTTTGAAACCAAGCAATGGATGAAGGCCAGGGAAAGGAGGCTGGCCGATGGCGGACCGAGAGGCGTTCTTATAAGCTGACGCTCTGAGTGGGCGCCAAACCCACGGGTCTGGCAGCGATGACCTAACGCTTTCTCTGACAGGCCCAGGCCGCCGTCCGGGGGCGCAAGGGCACTCGGGGGGTATGGACCTCTCCTAATTTTCAACGGGATCGAATGAACTCATTAGTCGCGGGATGCAGGCAGGTCATTTACCATCCATGTCGGGTACTGTACATGCTCACCGGTGCATGGATGGTCCCGCACCTCTCGCGTGCTCTCCAGCGCCTTCGCGGGGTGAGTCTCACAAATCCCACTTTGACGGGAATCCTATTGGCGCCCGAGGAGCCTTGGAATGACTTTGAATCCGGCCCCGGGAGTCATGACTGGTGGAATCGGCCGCTTGGCATGGGGCGTGTGCAGCGAGGGCGTCGATTCAGTCACTTATTTGGACCTCATTGTGGAAACTCGGGGAAGCTTTTCCCACTGAAAGCGCGGGATGGATCGAGAACCGAGATCGACAAACTCTGATGAGTTGGGGGCTTTGCTTCGTAACTCGATCCCGCTTTATTGCTGAGGCTTTTGCGACGGCATAAACACCGTGCAAATGCCGATTGTGACACCCGAGAATGGAAGATCGAGCCTCTCCTCTGGGTTCATCGCCCCGGGATGCTGGAGGGAAGGTACCGACAAACGAGTAAAAATTCCCGATCACTGGCGGGGCACCGGGGACTCCCTTGGTTGCGACTGCCAGAATTTTGGGATAGCGTGGGGGGCGCCCGTGTTCAAAGTTGGGGGTGAAAGTTGGGGTGGCTGAGGCGAAGCCCCGAAGCGGGTGGGTTGTGAAACCTGCATTCATTCCTCCGAGGACTTCCATGCCAGCTAACAAATTTGAGAGAAGAAAAAAGCATTTCTTTTCTTCAACTTGGATCACGGGGCACTTCACACTCTTCTCATGAGAGAGGCCGCCCACTAACGAAACCAAGCATCATATACCCAAGACTGACTAAAAAAGGCAACCTGGAGGCTTCACACAAAAAAGGCAATGTAACTTGAGTGTTTGTGCAGTCCCCATCACTAACACGGCCCCGCCGAGGAATGACTGGCGCGAGGAGGCCGTGGTGGGCGTGGTGGGGGAGCCAAAAAAAGCGCTAGAAGCGGAGACGCGAGCGCCACTCAAAGCCGGAGACGGTCGAAGGCCTCGTGACATGCCCTGTTTTGGCTGCCCCACTCGGCTAGTTCATCCCTTCCCGGGTCTTCCAAGCCCCAAGCCCCGAGAAATACATAGCTCTTCCGGCTCTGCTTTCCGGCTTCACCGGTGAAGCAATCGAGGTCGGCTGACTGCTGCATCAGAGCTAAGTTCAGCCAAGAGAAGCATTTTGCGCCGACACTAACTACTGGCGAAACTAGTCACCTTGCTGCGTTGCCCCATCGTTTTAGTATACACAGTATGTACATACATACATCCTGAGGCCCTCGAGCCGTATCCGATGTGGTATCCGATCTTGAAAGAAGCTATCCCGAAAAGCGTAAGAAGGGGGATTCCATCCGACGACCTTGGCGACGGGAGGTGGGAATAGCTTCGCATATCCCGCAACGCACTACTGCGGGGGTCGGAACCAAGGGAACATGTTTGGGCTGTATTTGGTTGCCAAGGTCCTGCACCCCGGACACTGCAACAGCTGTCAAAAACAACACCTCTCAACTTCTCACCGCTTCATGGTTCGGCTTCGCAAGCGATAGGACAGCAGCTGCTGGCCGGCAGAGGAGCCAGTCAAGGTTTCGGGTCATCCTGCAGCGATTCCAATTCATCGAAGTGCACTGGCGACAGTCTGCAGGTGAACTATCGTGGCCGCCCTGAACCCATCCAAGACGGCCTCTGTCTGAAGTTTGAACGGCAGCGGCCGCGCCCACTGCACACTACCATGGCTAAACAGGTTCACGAAGCCATAAGCTGCAGGGCTCTGTAATCTATCACACCTACTCCGTCCGCACAGGGGCAGGAAGACGCCGCCATCGGGCAGCCTGCATGACACATCCATGAAGAAGAAGCAGTCAGCAAAGCAAGTCCAAGGCTCAGTCGTGTCGTAACCTAGTTCACTGGGTATAACGCAATGGGTTCACCCTGTTGAGAAGAGCTCAGCTGCCCCTGGCCTCCCAACTAGCTACACAGGATGTACGAAGTACTTCGCAGTCTATATTAGAGATGTTGAGAAAGAAGTTCCGGACCGCGTCCATTGGCATCTCCCCACACGCACAAGCGCAAGGGTGACTTTCTTATTTTATTAGCTCCCCGAGTTTCGGGGATGGTTTATCCCCACAAAACAAAGGGATAGACCACGGTAGCCCCTTGCTCGGCGGCCGGCCAAACAACGCCTGATGAGATGCAGCAAGCTCAACGAACCAGAAGACTCGAAGACGTGGTTTGCATGACAACAGGCCAACCCCAACAAGCGCAAATACCCTGGTTTTGTCTGAGTGGTATGTACTGGTACATACCACCGTCTATTTCCACCCTTGGCTCGCCGATCAAGCATCGTCACCACGACTTAGACGTCTGTGCAATTACCTTGTTGGGACGTATCGGACGACGACGCCTCGCTCTCCCTTTCCGAGGCTGTCGGGGTCCGAGTCTCGACTCAGTCTTCTTTCTCCCTTGTAGCCAGCCCCTCGTCCTCCCCAAAATATCTGCGAGCTGCGGATTGTGACGACCGTTGAGATCAGTGCTGTACAATCTGCTTAGGGCCTGTGGCTTCTCTCTCTCAGGTTACGTCATCGCCGTATGTTGAGTAGTTAACTAGTTAGTTATGCCGTACTTCGTACGCAGCACTGCTTCCTGTGATATAGATCCGGTTTGAACTAAAATGGCGAGGCGAATCCCATTTTCAATTGTCTAAATAATTCGGTAGATTTGGCGGGCTTAGCATTCAGCTCATCCACTTCCCGCGCAACTCCTTCCGTACGGAGCGTCGAGTAACTGATTGCTTCGTACGAGTGTTTTTTGCCCCTCCCTTACCTTCACTTTGAGAGCAAGCAACACTCCCCCGCCAAGCCAAGACCAGCCCTTGCTTCGTCTCAGCATACCTAAAGTACAAGACAAGATACAGTGGTTCTTCAAAGAGTGTCCCCAGGTTGTCTCAATGCCCAGTCTCTTGATTAGGTAGTTAATTGGCTATCACCTTGCCTTAGTATTGGTTCCCTTTGTGTGGCTAGTGAAGCTCTTGCCTTGTGGCTTCCAGCTACCCCGCGCTCTAGGCTCTCCTCGGGCTGGATGTGGACACCACACGTGCAAATGGTGGGGTCGTCAGCCAGTAAATTGAGGCTGGAAGTGCCGATTTGGGCAGTTGGGGACGCATGCAGAAGGCGTGAAGAGGTGACTGTGTAAGCTAGAAGCCTAGAAGCCGCGAGATCCCGGGCGTTTGGTGTTCCTGCTGTTTTCGATGCGTCTTTCATTTCAGATACCCCTCAGATCTCGAGGTCTGAGGTTTCCTCGCATTTCAAATTCAAATTTGGCCCTTCCTGCCCTCCACGCAACTTCCCGCTCTCCTTTCCGAATTCTGCAGTCACAACCACGCCGTCTATTCGCCATGAACGCCCAAGAGCTCTCGCAGTATCTGGCCGATGCCCCGCCATCGGTCGTCAGGCTCGAGATCGAGAAGCACTTCGCCGCGCTGTCGGACCAGCAGAAGCGTTACGCCCACTTCATCAGCAGGTAACTATAGATGCATTCTCGCTGCCTCCCCCAAGGGAATACACACCTTTTTTGTAGATGCAACCAAGATGTCGTTTGCTCTTCATTTCACCCCCCCGCACCTTGCACGTGAACATCGCGTTTCTGCCGCCGCTCTTGCTGATCCTCGAATCTACTGTACAGGGCCTCCTTCGCTGGCAACCGCATTGTCTTGCGTCAAGTCTCACCCGAATCCGAGCACATCTATGACCTCATCCTCGCCCTACACAAGACCGCTGGCGGAGACTGGAAGGCACTCGCCGGGAAGGCCAACATTGACGAGCAGGGGCTCTCGGCCTTCCTAGAGTACGCTGCGCAGTTCCTGGGCAACAGCGGCAACTACAAGAGCTTCGGCGACTCCAAGTTTCTCCCCCGATGCGACGAATCCGTCTTTGCCTCGCTTGCTTCGACCTCTCCTGAGGCCGAGGCACACTACAAGGCCACCAATGGTGCCATCTTCTCCTCCGACAAGCAGGGTCTCCTGCATCTTGGCTTCACCGACGAGGGGCACTTGACCACCTATTACCCCGACTCTGCCGAAATCACCAAGGACGAGATTGCTGCCGTCTCCAAGTGGATGGAAGACAAGGGCCTACTACCCGAAAACACAAGGCTCAAGAAGACCAAGGACGGTGTCTTTGAGCTGCTCATTGCCTCGGCGACGACCAGCGTCCCCAGCAATGGTGGTGATATTGGGAAGGACACCGAATTTGTGATTAGCGAGGGTCCTCTGGCTGGCAAGACCTTGAAGTTGGTCTATGGAGACCACAAGAAGGAGATGGATGCCATTGCCGGCTTCATCAGGAAGGCGGCTGACAACGCCGAGAATGAGACGCAGAAGAAAATGCATCTTGCGTACGGCGACTCTTTCCACGGCGGCTCTCTCCTCGCCTTCAAGGACAGCCAGAGGCATTGGATCCGTGACCAAGGGCCCATGGTGGAATGCAACATTGGTTTCATTGAGACGTACCGCGATCCCGCCGGTGTCCGTGGCGAATGGGAAGGTTTCGCCGCAGGTAAGTTGGCTCCGCACACCCCCCTTCTGGAAGTCTTCCGCTCACCAACATCACAGTTGTTAACCGTATGTTTTGTTTCCCCGACCAACCTCGACCGGCGAGCAGCCATATGCTAACACCATCGTTTAGTTGAGAGAACTCGGGCGTTTGGTGAGCTCGTGCGTTCCGCGCCTGAGCTGATTCCGCTACTACCGTGGTCGACGGATTTTGAGAAGGACAAGTTCCTTTCGCCGGATTTCACTTCTTTGGAAGTCCTGTCGTTTGCCGGTATGTTGAGAGAACGCCCGAGGGTGTTCTATCAATACCCAAGATGAAAACTAACGACATTCCTTTATAGGTTCCGGAATTCCTGCCGGTATCAACATGTGTGTTTTAGTAGGCTACCTTTTCTGGTTGTGCACTCACTAATATTGCCCGTTAGCCCCAATTACGATGACATTCGGCAGCAGGAGGGTTTTAAAAACGTCAGCTTGGGTAATTATTCTTTGAGACCTTGCGTCAAATCGATTTGAGTGGTAAACCCGGACTAACCAACTTCATAGGCAATGTCCTGAGTGCGAAGGCCCCGGATGAGAAGATTCCGTTCATCTCCGACAGTGATTTGCCGCTGTACCAAAAGTACCGCGATGCCGCTTTCGAGGTACAGGTCGGCCTTCACGAGCTTACGGGTATGGCACAGTGGCAATATCTAGCAACCCCGGTATCTTGCTAACGATGGCCTAGGTCACGGCTGTGGTAAGCTTCTGCAAGAGACATCGCCCGGCGTTTTCAACTTCGACGCCGCGAATCCCCCAATTAGCCCCCTAACTGGGAAGCCCATCACTACCTGGTACAAGCCGGGCCAGACATGGGGCTCCGTATTCGGCGGAGTCGCCGGCGCCTATGAGGTACTGTTCTCCTATCGGTACCCGCGCCTTGAACGTAACTTACCATTGTATTAGGAATGCCGAGCCGAGCTAGTGGCCATGCATCTGAGGTGAGTTAGTTGAAGGTCGTGATATTGTTTTTGTTTTGTCACCTCTGACACCTGCGAAGTTGCGAATTCTCGGCGCTCAAGATCTTCGGTTTCGGCGACGGCACAGTCGACATGGACGGCCCGGCCGGCGATGTGCTCTACATTTCGTATCTCGGCATGGCTCGGGCAGGCCTGACCTCGGTTGAGTTCTGGGACCCGAAGAGCCAGAAGTGGGGACAGCCTCATTGTCAGGCTCGCTTTGCCATTCTCAAGGTAGGATTTCGGAGTGCGTCATGGAAAGCGCCTGCTTGCTAACTCAATCCAGTCATTCCTCGAGGCCGGTGACGATTTCTGTCAGCTGGTGTACAAGAACGACGATCTCTCTGATCTCACTATTCAACTTGACCGCTCTAAAATCTTGACGAGCGGCAGGAAAGGTAAGTTAACCGCCACGGGATATGATCGGAAGGAAAGCTAATGAAGAGTTCATTAGCTGTTGCGGACTTCCTCCAGAAGATCCACATCTACAAGTCGACTGCCGATGTCGAGACCGGCACCAAGTTTTTCGCCGACATGTCTGGCGTCGGATTGGAGTACTGGGGAACCAAGGTGCGAGACGTAGTGCTCAAGAACAAGCAACCGAGAAAGGTATTTGTACAGGCGAACACGTACTTGGATGAGGCGACCGGGCAGGTCACGCTCAAGCAGTACGAGCCCAGTCTCGAGGGTATCATCCAGAGCTGGGCTGAGAGAGAGGTCTGACTGGCGGATTCACTTCCACCGGGTCCGCGGGTTGCATATCGGTCAGCGCTCTAGGCGTACTAGGATAGAGAACTCGGCAACCAGGGCTTTGTCGTGGTATCAGGCCGTTGATAGCGTATGGAATACCCTAGGGTTTGCAACCATACACCGAGTTGAATTGTCTGTCTAAGTTATTTGCTACAACTAGCGTTTCCCTTGGGACGGGTAGATGAGGAAAAGAATACGTTATACATCCGAGTATTCCAGGGCGCTGACTCTTTTTTTCGGCTTCGGCAGAGAGTAGATTATCCGTTTCTGTCACTTCCTCCTCACTTGACTACTACCGAAGAGTCAACATATTGTTCTTCTAGCGATAGAGTAAGGGATTATGCCTAGGATAGGGAACTTTGAAGCTGATCAAGTATCTCATACTGAAACAAATAAGGACATTTCTCTCTTCGCACCAAGCCCATTCTCCTCGAAACCCCGCCTTCCCGAAAGCCGTATCTTGGGGCATGGCCCGTGTCCAGAATAAGTATTATATATATTCAATGAATCGTCCATGAAAACTATCCAACCTTCCTGCATAACCCGGCGACGAGTATGATCGCCAACACACCAAGCATACCAAGCACGTTAGTTTAGGGAGAGGGGAGGGCGGTGGGACAACAACTTCAAAAACAGCAATCAATCTCAAAAACGCAGAAAACCAAGCACTTCGCTTGGTTAATAACGGACTCGCCGCAAACGCTCGAGACGCGCTCGAGCTCAGATAGGTAACCACCCATAAAAAAAAAAAAAAGGAAAGAGGAAAACACTCGCATGCCACCCAGGTATATCCTCCTCTCCTTTCCCCTTCCCCGCCGCCCAGCCAGCCACCACCACCTCTCACTCTCACGTCTCCCTACTCCACTTAGATGCCCCAATCATAGTAGACGCCTTGGATACAATGCTAGCCATTTTGACGCCTTCCTTATGAAGCAAATGCCATGATCCCATTCCATCCCTTCTTCTTCTTTTCTAACGAGCCACCCCCCCCAATCCCGCGCGCCTGGCGTGGGCGCTGCCCCCCCTGTGGGTGATATTGGGCGTACAGCCCATATGTGTGCTCGTTTCTCTCAAGCGATACGGTGAGGGCTCTCTCGCGCCATTTGGCGAGGTCTGGCCCCTCACCCCAAGAACAGGTCTAGCCATGTGCCCGGCGCGTGCACAACCCCAATACTACCGGCTGCACGGGATGGCCGGATGCTGGTATCTGGCCCCGGTTTCCCTAATCGCGAAGGGGGGATCGCGACGGGGGATCCTGCCCTGGATGGCGCAAGAGATGTGGTACTACAGTTTGAGGTACATTTCAGGGACCGTAAGTCCACAACGACGATGGCTTCCAGAGAGCCAGCGGCGCTGCCACTACTATTGGGGCTGCGAGGGTGCGCCGTCATGCCCAGCTCCGACGCAACCCGGTCCAGGCCCCGGAATCTGTCGCCGAACGAGCCCCGATGAGGGCTGGTAACAAAGCGCAGACGCGGAGCAGCCTCAGCTCTGTGGGGACTGGTCGAACATGCCGTCCACGCTGGCTGCAGAACTCGACATGGGCCTGCCCTCGCCGTCCTTCTGATGCGTCTTCATGTGGCGCCGGAGTTGGTCCTGGCGGTGGAAGTTGCGGTCGCACCCTGGGACGGTGCAGGTGAAGCGGCCCTTGACTTCGTGGGTGCGCTTATGCTTGGACAGGTTGGAGGATTCGCTGAAGCCTTTCCCGCAGACAGGGCACTTCAGGGGTTTGAGACCGGAATGGACACGCTGATGCATAGCTAAAACGATAGTTAGTCCCAGCCACTGGGGAGAAGTATAGGTTCAACTTGCTCAGAGCGCTGGGGTATCTGAAGGCCTTGTGGCAGATATTGCACACGAGCGGCTTCTCGTTGCTGTGGATGAACATGTGCTGTGTGAGAGCCTGTTTCGCCGAGAAGCCCTTGTTGCATGTGGGACAAATATGGGGCTTGTCTGCGGGATGTTGTGAGTAAACTTGAAGGAGGTTGCAAGTGTGTGTAATAGCATAACCTACGGCCAATATGAGTCTGCATATGCCTCTCAATCTTGCTCCTCTGGGGGAACCCTGTAGCGCCGATCTCACTGCGTGGGCAGTCATCCCAGCCGCAACGAAAGCCCTGAACCCCCTTTTGAGCGTGCTTGATATGAGTTTCTGAAGCGTGCTTGAACAGCTCTTCAGAATCCTCAAATAATTGACCGCAGATCCTTGAACTACCTTCGTCACGCCACAAACACCGGTGCTCTTCCTCGGCCGCTAGATCAAGAGACCTGTCGACAGACGAAGCGGTGGATGTGCCGCGGAGATGAAGTGAGCTGTCTGGTTTGGCATCTGTCATCTCGACGCTGTTGGAGAGCGGGGTGAGAGGAGATGGTGTCGCTGATGACCGGCCCGAATCGGACGTATCTAAAGGTGTGGCCGGGGGGGACATGACTTCAGTCGAAGCCAGGGCATGTCCGTTATGCCGGGTGCCGGCCGGAGCACGTAGGGGATTGGGCGTACTGGCGGTAAAGTATGGCCTGTGCTGTGCGTTGAAGTGCATGAGAAACGACTCAGCGTCGTGAATTTCAGCTCCACACTCGACAAAACTTTGATTTATCTGAAAAGCTGAACCGACAGGATTGAACTGGCCGAAGGCGGCAGGGTTGCTAGGTAGAGGCATGTGGCAATACTGGTAAATTTGAGGATCGTCCAAGGGGCATGAGTCTGTGCAGTTGGAGGAGGAGGAGGTGTCGCCGTGGGCAACCAGCAGGTGGTTAGTGATGTTGCCCAACTGCCCGGGCAAGAAGTCGGGAGGGAACAAATAGGGCTGCTGAGGCGGACTAGATAGACCGAAACCCAAATCACCCATGACTACGGTTTGGTTATGAGCGGAGTTGACTTGGCACACTGGGAATAGGAGGCGCCTCACCTTGATGCTGCATACCATAGTGGCTCTGAGAGTCCTCGGGCGCGTGGTTGATGGAGATGAGGGCGGCTGCACCGCTGACCACTTCAGACGTGGGGACCGGGCCCGAGGCCGGGACGGGAAGGGCAGAACGCTCGGGGCAGGTTTGATCGGTGCAAGCGTCCTCGGTATCGGCGCAAGCAACGTCGGTGCACTTGTCAGTCATGGTACACTCGCTATCGCAGCAAGTGTCGGCCATGGAGTGGCAGTCCTCGTCGGCGCACGGGACACATGGGTCTAGTTGGTGGGTGTACCAGGACTGTTGCTGGTAGAGATTTGCGGCGGGAGGAGCCATATCGGCGGCGCGAAATTGCATCGACAGGTCGTTTAGGCCCATAGGATAGTCCTGACTGTCGCGTGGCCAGCGGTTTTGGAGCGAGGGGGGCCCCCCTCGGTGATTAAACTGCTGGAAGCCATTGTAGAGGCCCACACCCATGCAGCGGTCGACACAGAGGTCGTCGTGTGACTCGTAGGCACCACCCGCGGCGGCAGAGAGGCGAGCAGCCTCGTTCGCTGTTTGCTGGGCGTGCATGACGGAGAAATCGAAGTCGAAGTGATTGGTGCTGCAGTGGGAATGCCGATGAAAGTCGTCGTCTCCAGTTCCAGAAAAGCGATCGTTGGAGTCGAAATGGCCGTCCATGACGGCGAGCGAAGGGAAGCTACCGATGACCACGACTAGGGACTTAAGAAGAGGGGTGGATGGTAGGTAAGGGGGGGTGTGTGCGTGTGTGCGTGTGTGAGGGTTGGGATGGGGATTGGACCAGAGGTTGAAGGAGAACCTCTTTGGCTGCCTTTCCCAGGTTCTCGGGGTTGGTTGCGAGTAATTGAGTGGGCGGGCTGTGGTTTGTGCTCTATGGTCTGTGGTTCCCTCGTCCCTCTTTTCGAATATACACACGGCCGTTGATGTAGATCGGAAATTTCGTAGTGAGCGGCAAGAACCGAGAGTCGACTCTGTATGGGTAATTCGGTGGCTTTCGCGTTGTCTCTAGACGGAGGCTCAGAGGGTGGGAGAGAGGTAGTTGTGGGGCCGAGAGCTGCGAGGGTCGAGATTATTTTACAGTTTGTGAGAACCTTGACGGCCCAGCCGAGAGCAGCGCGTGGGAGACTTGGGAGGGGACTTGCCCGAGTCCCGCTATTGTGCTCTTATCTTGTTGCTTTTGTCTTTTCGAATTCCGAAAAAAATTCAGACAATAAAAGGCTAGCGCCCAGCAATTGAAATCAATGCAAAAATAACCTCCAAGACAGCTGAATCTCATTAGATGTTGGATTCAGACAAGTCCCTTGTGCGGCCGAGTTCTGCTCTCAGAAGATGGTGGGGCTGCGACCAACAACCCTGAATGTGGGGGTGACTGCACTGGTGGGGATGATGGGTTCGAACCACGCCTTTTCGCATTTATTGATTGGGTGATCTCTGCCAAGCTCGCAACCCCCATTCCCGGCGACCTTGCCGTGTCTGTGCGGGCACCTTCCAACCGTGCACGACATGTTTCTGAGGTCCGGGGGAACTTGAGACCCCAAAAAAGGGACACGATATGAATGGTCAAGTCCACATGTTGTCGTCGAGGCATGTGCCCGTGAGAGTTGCGGTACATGAGTAAGTCCTTCACCTACATTCTTCCAAGAGTTATCGTCATGGCCTAGGTTGACTGACGTAAAGCATACGTACTTCATTAGATATACTTGATGAGTAGTTAAACGGCGACCAAGCCTTTTTCCAATGGGGAATTCAGAACTGGAAATTATCAAACTAGAACCGATGAGCTCGACTCATATTTATACTCGCAGCCACCGGAAACGGTAGGAACAGCTCAGTCCAGTTTGGCGTTTGCACCCTGAGGTAAGGTACTCCGTACCTAGCCAAGAGATCTATGAGTGGGGCATTCCAGCACACCCAGGCATCTCATCCGAACGACCACCATCCATCTCCAAATCGTTCAAATCCCAGATTGAACGAGTACACCTGGAAACCACACCCACTTATAAACACTCCCAAACCATCAAACCGCCCACCTCAACCACCCCAAATCCATTCCCCGATCAACAAAAACCCCTCCCTCCACAAAGACGAAGATGGGCAACCTCTGCAGCAGCGAGCGCGATCCCTTCTCGCAGCCCGGCCGGCCCCTCGGTAGCACGCCGCCCGCACCCACCTCGGCCTCGGTGCCCGCCGCCGCCAAAGCGCCCCGGGAAAGTAGGCGGCCCACCCCGGACACTCGGCGGCAACAGCACACCCGGGTCCGGCTCCACAGCCGCCGACGATGCCCGGGCGCGCGCCGCCGCCGCCGCAGAGGTACATCCTTTCTTTGAACTCACTCACCACTCTCACACTCACGCACTCACCCACCCCGTCACCACTCCACCACCCCCTCCCATCCCCATGCCCCCCTCCCCCCCCTCACCACAACCACCCCAACCCACCATCCATAGTCAATCAATCAATCAATCAATCAAGCAAGCAAGCAAGCAAGCAAGTAATAGCCCACTGACGGCCCCCCCCTCACAGGAACGCCTCCAAAAGAGCAAACAAGGGGGCAAGCTCAAGGCACAGCTCAACCAGCAGCGCGGCATGACCGATGCCCAAGCGCTGCGGGAGGCCAGCGAGACGGAGCAGCGGCAGCGGGAGCTGGACCAGAGTGCCAGTGCTTTGAGGCATTCGTAGGCGAGGTATTCTGTGGTTGGGGCATTCGTGGTTGGGTGGTGGTTGTGAGGTGAAGAATGGGGGTGAAGGTGGAGATGGAGATGGGGATGGGGATGGGCATGTTTCATATGGCGAGTTTGGGGGCTGGCATGTGTGTGTCAATCTGGGAGAAAGAGGGGGGGTTGGGCGTTGGGCGATTTCATTCTGCCATCTTTCTTTTTGGGTATGTACCAGGCGTCCTTGGTGGAGCGAGCAGCACTTTCTACTTCGCAGTCAATCGATAAAACAAGTCTTGAATGGTATTAAAATTCACATTCTTTGCAGAAACCAGCTATGACAAAAGCAACTGAGAACTCCTTATCCGCTTCCAAGCGTTGCCAACTATACACGTTTGCTCTTTCTCTTTCCCTCCCTTCTCTAAACCACCCCATCAAAAAAACTACACACAAGTACAAGCCCATCACGCAATGGTGTACCGCCCGCTCGCCGGCGCCCGGCTCTCGGCATCCGCCGCAGCAATCGTCCCCTCTCTAAGAAGACGAGTAAGCTCCGACAGCGCCTTGCCGACCGCCAGCTCCGTGTCGCCCTCGATAAGGATGTACAGCTTGGGGTCCGACCCGGAGGGCGGCTCCTTGCCGGGCGGGTAGTAGTTGCCCTTGGTCGTGATCGACGTCGAGGTGGCCTCGAGGATCTTGGCCACGTTGGTGCGGTTGGTGACCGCCCAGCGCGCCTTCTGCGGGAAGTCATTGATCTCGAGCGTCGCGTGGAATGCGCCGGCGTCGGGGCCCTTGTTGTCGATCGGCTGGCCGGGCCGGAGCTGGCCAGCCCGCGCCAGCCGCGCGTTGATCTCGCTGATGGCCGAGGCCGCCTTGTCGAGCGCCCCGCCCTTCCCGGCGTTGACCGTGACCCCTCCCTTGACCGCGCCCTCGGCAGCGGCAGGCAACGGCTTGGCCTCGCTAGCATCCGCCTTCGCTGACTCGCGGGAGACGATGGCCGACGCGGCTGCCAGGATGGCCGACTTGGCCTTGTCCTTCTTGGCCGCGTCCTCCGCCGTCTCTTCCTCCTTGAAGTCGTCCTCCTCGCCCTCGGCCTTGTGCGTCTTGCGCTCGCGGACGCGCGCCGCCTCGCGTTCCTTGTCGAGCCTCTCGAGACCCTTCCCGCCGAAGCCGCTAGCATCCTTGGCTTTTCCGGTCTTGACCTTTTCTTTCCACGCCTTACGCATCTCGTTGAGCTGCTCAGGCACAGGCTGCCCGCTCTGTTCGAGAGCCTTCGCGATACCGGGCGCGCAATTCTCCTGCTCCTCGGTGATGAACGTGACGGCCGTGCCCGTGTTGCCAGCGCGCCCGGTGCGGCCCGCGCGATGGACGTAATCCTCGAGATGGTTTGGCGCATCGTAGTTGACGACCAACTTCAGCTGCTTGACGTCTAGACCGCGCGCCGCCACCGACGTTGCGATCATGATGGGACAGACGCCCTTCTTGAAGTCTGAAATGGTCGAATTACGGTCTTCCTGATCCTTGCCGCCGTGTATGGACATGCAGCCATACCCGCGCCGCAGGACTTCGCGCAATAGGTCGTCGGCCTTTTCTTGCCGCTCGACGAAAATAAGAGCACGGACATCGTCGTCATCGGCATAGAGCTCGCCCAGGAGCTCGAGCAGCCGGACAAATTTCTTGCCCTCGTCCAAGATCTCGACAATTTGGGTGATCTCGGGAGCTACGACGCTGCGACCGCCGACCTGTATCTCGACCGGCTCGCGAAGCACCTTTTTGGTGAGCGCATCGATAATCCTCGGCATGGTTGCAGAAAAGAGGATCGTCTGCCGGTCCGGGCGGACATTGTTGAAGATTTTCATTACTTGTGGCTCAAAGCCCATGTCGAACATGCGGTCAGCTTCATCCAGTACGAGATACGTAGCACGCTTGAGATTAGTGACACGGCCCGAGTTCGCAGCGAGAAGGTCGATCATGCGTCCCGGCGTAGCAACAATAATTTCCGCGCCGCGCTTCAGCTCGGCGATCTGGTCCTTGATGGCATTCCCGCCATAAGCAGCGATCGCGCGGAGCTTTAGCGCCTTAGCGAACGGAAGCAAGTCTGAGTAGATCTGCGTGCACAGCTCTCGGGTAGGAGTCATGATCAGGGCAATGGCGCCGTCGTCGCCGGTCACCGGGTCTTGGTCTTTGATGTGCCGGAGCATGGGAAGAACGAAGGCCATCGTCTTGCCGGAGCCAGTCTTTGCGACTCCAATAACATCGCGGCCCGACATGATCACAGGCAACGCCTGCATCTGAATCGAAGTTGGTTTCTCGTAGCCAAGCCCTTCAACCACATCAAGGATTGGCCGAGTAAGACCGCACTGCGACCACTTCTGGACCGGTTTGGGCACGTTCTTGCCAGAAACTTTGATGCCGTCCAGTTCCAACCTCAAGTCAGCGATGTCGTCCTCGGTCATCTGACTGAGCTCTTGTGGCTCTACCCAGAAATTCTTCCGTATTTGGTTCAGCTCGATCTTGCTGTAGTCTATCGTCGGAATATCCTTCTTTTTCTTTTTGCTCGCCATGGCGAGTATTGAAGACGGATCGGCCTTGTCCTCTTCGTAGCCGTAATCGTCATCGCTGAAATACGCTTCTGGTTCGAACCCCTTCCCGGCTTTCTGCTTCTGTCGCGCAGGTACCGAGCCGATACCCCCTGCGGAGCCGGTTTGTTCAAGGTCAGCCATGAAGGCATCCAACGGGTCAACGTCTTCATCGACATCCATAGAAGGGGCTGGTAGCACCGCTTCATCCTTGGATTCAACATTGGCTTCGTTTTCGGCCTCGTCCTTGGTCTCGCCGTTGGGCGTTTCCGTGTCGACATCCATGGCCATCCCCTCCTTCTGAATGCGCTCGTCGCGCCGCTCTTGGAGAACCCGGTGAGCTTCTGCCATCTCTTCCTCGTTTTGAGCCATGAGGAGGTCCAAGTCATCCGCTTCTTCCTCCCCCTCGCCTTCCGCGTCTGGCGTGCTGTCCGCATTCTCCGGAACGAAGTCGGGGAGTTTGACGAGCTTACGCTTGATAACCTCCTCGTCGTCCATATCTATTTTACGCTTCGTCGACGATTTCTGGCTGTCAGCAGATTTGTTAAATCCAAACGCACTGACCGCCCTGTTGGCCGGTAACAAGCCGGCACCCTTGAGGTTTGCCTCTTTTTTTAAACCCAGCGGCTTCGGCGCCGGTGCAGCCAGCTTCACGTCACCAAGGCGTGTTGGGGACTGAGGCCGTGCGGCTTTGGAACTCTTCGCGATGGCTTTAGGGTCGAACTTGCCGGCATAGGGCATTGGGGGTGCAGGGGACGTCGGGGCAGGACTCATGGCGCCGGCCACGGGACTGTTTGGGCCTGGTGTGCCGCTAGCCTTTTGGTCCATTTCAGCCAACAGCATCCTAGTACTTCCCGCTGTAACGGCGGCTTCCTTCGCCTCCTTCTGGGCATGTTTCTCCTTCATGGCTTGGAGTTTGCGTAGTCGTTCAGCCTTCTTCTCCGCTTCGGTCTGGGCTTGCGTCGGTGTGGACTTAGCTGGCTGCGGTTCCTGATAAGCGTCAGCAGGGGAACGTGCAAGTCGTCTAGGTAGGTAAGGACGCACCTCGCTGTCTTTGCGCACAACGCCATCCGACTTGGGAGGCCGAGCGCGTGCGCCTTCACCGCGACGGGCGGCGGAATCGGTCGAGCCATCGCGACGGTTCCGGCGGTCGCGAGAGTCGTCCCGCCTACCGCGGTAGTCCCGGTTACCATCTCCGCTCCGTTGTCCTCGGCGATCTGGCGATCGCGCTCTGTCTGGGCCTCGGTCGCGTGACCAACGACGGTCTCGATTGCCTCCTCCATCACGGCGACCGCCTCGGTAATAGTCATCGTCTCGGCGGTCTATGGAGCGGTCTCTGCGGCGGTATGAGTCGCGATCTCGACCGTCGCGGCCATGGTCGCGCTCGCGGTCGCGGTATCGACGCTGTGGCAGGTATGGGTCAGGAAAGAGTCCATCGCCACGGCGAGGGGCGAGGCCACGACTTACGTCCGGGCTGCGAGACCGTCGGCGGTGGTCGCGGTCACGGCGATCATCATCTTTTCGCCTTCGCGCAGCATGACTTCCTGCAGGAGATGGTGAGCGCGAGTCTCTGGGCCGAGCCATTTCTGGTTTCAGTGACGGTGGCTCAGCAGGATTGTCACTGGTGGTGAGAAGTACTTTTGGAAGCGGCCGACACTGGTTAGCGCACTAAGTGGAGATCCTGCATGTCGTGGCGCGATGCGTGGATGCGGATAAGGTGCTAATGCTAGATTCGAGATGGGCGAGGGGTGTCTCGGTCGAAAGAACTTGGGAGATTCCAGATGTTCGAGAGGTGTGGAGCAGGCACGGCGACAAAACTGTTCGAGGCACGATACAGTGTCAACTACCGTTTGAAGAGAGATTGACACAGTATTGGCACTGTGTACTTGGTCATGTTGTGTAGTGTATATCAGGGCTGTTTCGTCGCCACATGAGTTATTTAAGGTGATGTCCCAGAAGATGGCTGCTGATGGATTTGTTTCGTCATAATGTTTCTTTGCAGCATATACCTTCCCTCTGATGAGCAAGCGAGAGCAAGCGACTCGGAATCCCAAGTCACTGCTCGAGTCCTTCTGGGGTGGGGCAGTATGGAACCTAAGCATCCATACACTTTACGAAAATCTTGCCATCCCTCCTCAGTCTTTCGTCAATCCAATCACCTCCCCCTAAATCATTAACCCTCTTGCCAACTCCGATGGACGCTGGTGAGATGCTTTTAGGTTTGGCTAGCAAGGCTGGCTTAACATGCTTGAGCACCCTGTGTGGCCCCACAGCGTGGGGTTCCTACCTGGCACACCAAGCGAATGGCGCGCTTTCTTGGGCTAGTTAATCTGTAAACCTTTGGCATCTGTGCATATCACCCTAAGGGATCGCCCAGTTTTGAGCTGCTAGAATTACAATGGAATCTCTTCTGGGTGGCTTCCATTGGTGGGGCAGCCAATGACGAGGGACTGTGTTTCGTCACCTTGGATGAAGTTAGGAACAGGGAGGAGCCAAATGTCCCAAGTGGTCGCTCGGATGGGTGATAGGTTGTGTAACAACAGATTGCATGAAGCAGGACTATTGAGTCTCCAGCCCAGGCCACCTTAATCTTAATCTTCCACAGCGGCTCAATTGTTGAATAACTGTTCGTATTTGAACGGTAGATTTTTTTGTCTTTCTGTGAGAGCCCGGGGTGAGGGGACAGAAGTGAGGGGCCGTGAGCTGTTTGTTATCAGGAACTCGGGCTCTAACCCTGGTCGAGCTTGATGGCGCATTGTGGAGTAAACAGGGGAGGTTGGAGCTGCGTTTGAGGTTAACACAACCGGTTCAGCAGGGCAGAGCTCAATCAAGGTGGGTTGGTCCAACCACGAGACCGCCCGCATAACGAGCTAAAATTGCCGAACCTCTCTCTCCCACACCTCAATTCCCGGTCCCTCCTGCACCAATCCAAGTGTGCCTCCACCGCTGACCTTGACCCAGCCAGCAATCTCACCAATCCCGAATTGAGAGCTGCAGAAAAGACAAAACCTCATCATGTTGTCCGCATTTGGCCGCGCCGCCGTACGGCAGGTGTGTGTCGCCGGCAGCCTCTCCATTCGCAGCGCAGGTCGCCTCGGCGCACCCGTCATTCCGAGCGGTTACCGTGTCGTCGCCGTTTTCACCAGAGGTCTCGCTACCGCTGTTGCCCCGAAGAGAACGACCAGGGCCACGACCGCTGCGGCATCGAAGAAAGCGCCCGCCGCTAAGAAGACTACCTCTACCAAGAAGACGACCACGAAGACTGCGAAGAAGCCGGCCGCGAAAAAGGCTGTAAAGTCCAAGGCGAAGCCCAAGGCGAAGAAGGCTGCCAAGAAGCCGGCGACCAGAAAGCCGAAGAAGCTCACGGACGAGCAGAAGGACAGGATCAAGCTGCGCGCTTTGAAGGAGAGGGCATTGTTGAAGGAACAGCCGGCCAAACTTCCCGTGACATCATGGAACCTTTATCTGGTCAAGAATCTGAAGGAGAGACTCAACAAGGAACCCAAGCCTACCTTTGCCGATGCTATACGCCAACTCTCGGCCGAGCACAAAGCTTTGCCGGAACAGGAGAAGGAGGTGAGCTGATCGAAAAGCCTTGTGCACGCCCCGAGCGTCATTGAGACGTTAACTAACAACCACGGCGAACAGAAACTCGACCTCGAGGCCCAGAAGAACAAGACTGCCAATGAGATCAACCTCAAAAACTGGATCGATAGCCACTCTGTCCAGGAGATTCGTGAGGCGAACGTGGCTCGCAACTTGCTCAAGCGCAGGAAGTCGGCCCCGACCAAGCACACCCTTCCTGACTCCCGCTTCCCCAAGGGGCGCTTGACCGCCTACATGGCCTATGTCAAGACCCGCTACACGTCTCAGGAGTTCGAGGGCCTCCAGAGCAAGGCCAGGCTCTCCCATATCAGCAGCGAGTGGAAGGAATTCAACGACGAGCAGCGCAAGGTATGGCCGAAATCCATTGTCATAGTCAAGTACCCGCTGGTTGCTGACCCTTCTGATTGCTTTAGCCCTATGTGGACATTGAGAAAACCGACCGTGCCCGTTACGAGAAGGAGATGGAGGCGTACCGTGAGACCATTGAGAAGAAGTAAGATGCTCTTGCGTCGTGTTGGCAGTAAGAGACTTGCTCGGCCACCTGTACATTATGAATACCCTTCTCGGGGGTTGGGCCTTCTCGGATGATTAACCTGATTTGTGGGGGGCGGCTTGGGTTGTATGCTTGTGCATAAACCGATGTTTGGTAAACTGGGCTGTTAGGAACCTTTCTTTTAGTGCTATGTTGTCACAAAGAGATACTTGCCCCCAGTGTGCAATCCGTGTTCATGGGGTTTACGAACACTGCCAACACTGCCAACACAAGGTTTCGTTCACTCTAAAACTTGAGCAACCCCAAAGTCTCAAAATTGCGCATAATATCATGGCATTCTTACCTAGTCTATCCCATGCCACCCCGGTATTTCCAAAATCCCAATTCCGCACAATGTGTTATAAGGGTATCAACCAGAATGCATGAAACCAAACCGCGATCCTAAACCCCTGGGGAAGAAGTCCCAACCGAACCAAAAAAAAAAAAATATAAAGGAAAACCCGACACCATATCACAACCTCTCATCCACCTCTCAACTCCCACCTCCCACCTCCCACCTCCCCTCTGCCGCCGGCGCCTTCGCCGCCCTCGCCGCCACAACCACGACGGCCGTCCCCTCGGCCCCGACCCACTCGGCCCCCGTCTCCAGCACCCTCCTCCGACTCATCAAATACAGCACCAGATACATATGCCCGACCACGCCCCCCCAACAATACACCCTCAACCACGCAAACCCTGCGTCCCGCGTGCACGACGTCCCCCACCCCGCGGCGCCCTTGGCCAGGTACGACGCCAGGAACCCCCACGCGGAGCGCTTCAGCGCCGCGTCCCACCCGCGGCAGTCCACGAGCCAGTAGCCGCGCTCGAAGGGGCGGAGGGGCCGGGTTTGGGAGGTGGGCTGGAAGCGTTGGGCGAGGTTGAGGGAGGAGGCCAGGCGCGCGAGGACGTCGGTTATCAGGTCTTCGGGGTGTAGGGGGGTGTCGCTGGTCGGTGGGGGTGGGGAGTGCAGGGTGAGGGGGGTGGTGAGGGGGAGGGAGGGGGAAGCGGGGAAGGGGGGGGTTGTGGGTGTGGGTGTTGGGTTGTTGTTTGCGGTTGTTGTTGTTGTGGGGGGGCCTATGTGCCCTGACCTTCTGGTGAGGGGTTTGTCTGGCGAGGGGGTCTTGGGGCGATGTTCGGGGCCCCTTTGGGGAAGGGGCGGCTCCGATTCCGCCACGAACGAAGGACGCGGCGCAGAGCTGGGCTCGACTTGGGTAGGAGGACTCCAATCCCGGCTCTTCCATGATCCCTGATGTTGTTGGTGTTGGTGGTGGTCGGCGGCGTTTCGGTTCTCCCCCGGGGGATCGGGGGATGACAGTGCCCAGGTCCTCGTGTGGCGTTTGGGGTTGTTTGTTGCCATCTTCTCTGGAGGCTTCTTGGCCGAGGCTTTTTCTCCGGGACGGGCTGGATACAGGAAGTGTCTGGGGCGGTCTCCTTTCCGAGATGGGCGAGGTGTCCAGGGTGGAGGTATAGTGAGCTAGGAGCCTCGTTGGTGTGCAGAAGGGCGCGAAAACGCTGTCACTCCTCGGCATGGAATCCTCAACCTCGCTCGGAGGTGGCACCCATGACGATGGGGATTCCACGACTTTCTCTGGTTCGGGGCGTTGTAATCCAGGAGACCCAAAGTTGTGTGTGACGCTCTGGAAAGAGAGCATTGGGGATTGGATGAAGCCGGGAGTCGCTGCTGGTTGAGATGGGCCTCCCGCCTGTGGTCGTAACTTGTTTGCATCTTCCACAGCAAGCCTAACTAAACGATCGTTTGATACCGATGGACCGGGAACGATTGTTTTGTGTGTTGCCGGCTCGAAATCCAGGTACGCCGCTGCCAGTGTCCGATATTTAACATCATCAACAGCCCGAGCCGGTGCTGCGATATGCACCAGGATCTCTGTCTCCGGTCTGTCCATTCTGTAAATTTATCGAGTGCGGCTTATAAAAGAAAACTGAATTTTTGTTGAGCGAGTATCGTATCTAAATGTTGTAACGCCTTTGAAGCCAAAGCCAAAGTCAAAGAACGATAAGGATGAACTTGGATGCAGCGGAAGCTGCCTGTTATTAACTATGCCAAGAACTGGAACGATTTGCAAGAAGTCTCAAAACCAGAGTGAAGGCCATGAGAGTTGCTAAAAGGCAGACAAAGGCTGCCTAGTCGACTTCCTCTGGCTGGAGAGTCACGGCGGTAGGTTAAATAAATAACAGGCACCTGCCTAGGTACAAGATAGTCTGTTAACGACTCGTGACGGATTGGGTGACAGATATGGATCACAGCCCAGACCGCGGCTTGTGGGGCTGCTTGTTGACTGGCATTTGCAGCCGTTCATCCAGCTCAGCTGCCAAGACGAGACGCAAAGAGCTGAGTGAGACCTGTGGTGTTTTCTGCCCAGTAACTCCGCCTAAATGTGTAATGGATTCTGGGCGAGAAAGGAGGCGCCAAGAGGCCTGAAGAACAACATCATCAGCTCTTGACTTGTTGTTTGTCTATCACCCTCCATCACCAATTGATAACTTAATTCTGCCAAAACGATCTTCTAGACTCAGTAAGACCACCAGAAATCACAATGGCACCCGAAAAGAAGCCGATTCTCGGCTCCGTTATGGTCATTGGCGGTTGCGGATTCCTAGGCCACCACGTTGTCCGTGTCTTGCTCCGAGACTACAACTGCTCTGTGTCGGTTATCGACTTGCGTTGTACTCGCAACCGGAGGCCCGAATCCGATGGCGTTTCGTACCACGAAGCCGACATCACCGATGCCGCCAAGCTCGAGAGCATCTTTTCGCAAACCAAGCCCGATGTTGTGATCCACACCGCGTCACCCCCTGCGCAATCCAACGACAGCGTCTCCCATGCGCTATTCAAGAAGGTCAACGTGGACGGGACCGCCGCGGTGGTGAAGGCGTGCCAGCAGACGGGCGTCAAGGCCCTGGTGTACACGAGCTCAGCAAGTGTCATGAGCGACAACAGGAGCGATCTCATCAACGCCGACGAGCGGTGGCCGACGGTCCGTGGCAGCCAACAGAGCGAGTACTACTCAGAGACCAAGGTATGAGATCTCCATACCCAGAACCTAGCACCCAACACCCACCCAGCGCGCAACCCCCAACTGACCCATCGTCCTTCTGCGACCAGGCCGCCGCCGAAGAGCTCGTCCTCGCCGCCAACCGCGCCCCCGAAGCCCCCAATCTCCTTACCTGCTCCATCCGCCCCTCAGGCATCATGGGCGAGGGCGACACCATGGTCCTCTACCACCTAATCAACATCCTCCGGCAAGGCCGCTCCGGCGTACAAGTTGGCAACAACGACAACCTATTCGACTTCACATACGTGGAGAACGTCGCGCACGGGCACCTGCTCGCGGCCCGAGCCCTCCTCCTCACCGCCGCGTCCAAGACCATCCCCCTCGACACCGAGCGCGTAGACGGCGAAGCCTTCCTCATCACCAACGACAGCCCCGTGTACTTCTGGGACTTTGCGCGCGCTGTCTGGGCGGCGGCCGGGTCGCCGCACGGCACCGAGCACGTGCGCGTGCTGCCGCGCAGCGTCGGCATGGTGCTCGGCTACTGCAGCGAGTGGTTCTTCTGGGCCATTGGCAAGCCGCCCACCTTCAACCGCCAGCGCATCGTCTACAGCTGCATGACCCGCTACTACGACATCTCCAAGGCCAAGAAGCGGCTGGGCTACCAGCCCCTGGTGAGCTTGGAGGATGGCATCAAGCGGTCGGTGAAATGGACGCTGGAGCAGCAGGAGAGTGCCAAGAAGGCATGATTGGTGTGGTAGATGGAGGCGTTTATGCTGGAATCTCGGCGAGGTTTTGAGCGTCCATGTAATGTTAACGGGGAGTGAGAGTGCCATGTTTTGATACCTATGAGGGACATGTGGTTGAACAGGTTTTGTTTTTTCGTGTCTAATATAGTAATAGCAAATACGGCGTAGATGGGAGAAAGAGAGCGAGGGGTTATACGGAAACACGTCGAATAGAGCGCGCGCTTGATTTTCCCTTGACTCAAATGTCTGACTTTATCGGCCAGAACCTTCCTATGCTAGCTATGTGCCGATTGACCCAACGAGACGTCGTCCGCCACCGCCAATACCAAGCTTTGAATGCCAACAACTACTCCAAACAAGGGGGTGTCCGACGACTCCCAGCCCTCGGAACCCTCCCAGACAGAACGGAAAGGAACAAAGTCACCCGGGAAGTCGGTCTCATCCTCTGCGCCCCTCAATCCCCATTCCCTCTCTCTATTCACAGCCAGTTCCCAGTTTCTTATCCCTTCCCCCCCCCCTTCCCACCCCAACTTTCCCTCCACTATTTCCACCGGCCACAACGATCCCCGTATTCACATTCCGCCGCTGCCCGCACCACCCACCGGCAGCAGCACCGCAACCATCCCGAAAATATAAGCCAACATTGCCAGGAGGCCAGCCCGCTTAACGCGTCCACCCCGACTGGCACAACTCAAACATCGTGAAAATGGTATGAGATTTTTTTTCATGGCTGGATGAACGAAGCGAAGAAAAAAAAAAGTGTGAGTGTGTAAAAAAAAGCTCAAAATTAACGCCTCACAACCATGCTTGCTTTGCTTGCTCGCCTCGCAATCAACCAATAATGGTGCATGCAGAAACAAAAGAAAAAAAAGTACGCCGTCTACGCCGAGCCCGGTGATGAAAGTAACAGGCCAGAGAAAAAGAAGACTTTCAGTTCAGTCATACCGGGGTGGTAAAGTCGCGAAACCGTTGCTACCATCAGCAGCCGTGTGCTAGACGCTGCTGGTCGTCAACCCGCTATTCTGCCTCCCCCACCCCGAGTTGCGCCACTCTCTTTGCTGCTGTTGTGACTGTTGCTGCGGCGGCGGTTGCTGTTGTTGTGGCTGCGGTTGAAGTTGGCTACCGCCACGGCCGCTGCCGTCTGGCGTTGGGCCCCCTTGAGGGTCGAACTGACCGTACGGCGGCGCGTCGTATGGCCCTCGTTTCGGCGGCGGCGTCGCCGCGTGGGGTGGGCCGTAAGACATCGGCTCTTGAACTGGGCGGGCACTGCTCTCCTGCTGCCACTGGGACGGGTCGGTCTCTATCCGCCTGGGCGGTGGGCGAGTGGGGATTTCGTGCCGGCCGACGATTTCGGTGACTTCGGCATACTGTTGCGGGCCGAGCCTGTTTGCGGCCCGGTCAGAGAACTTCTTGAGGATTTCTTTGCTGGTCAGCTCCCCGGTGGAGTTGAACAACCCCTGGTCGCTCAGGATGTCGACAAGATCATCGGGAACCTAAACGACTGTTAATCTTCTTGAGTCGAGGCAAAAAGCACCAGTAGGCTTACCAAACACATCTCCCCGATGTTTGCTATCAACATCTCCACCACTTGAATCGCAAACATGGGCTCGTTATCAAAGCTGGACAGCTTATTCCTGTCGAATAAGACGTTGGGCGCGATGACAGTGGCCAGGTTTTTGATGTCCATTTTGGACCCCGACTCGTCATCGACTTGGTGAAACGACCCAACCCATTTCAGGAAACAAAATAGAATCTCCAAGGAGTCCCGGTTGGGTTTTGGGAGTAAGCAGCAAGTCAAATGGAGACAGCGCCGCATCTTTTGCTCGTCCTGGATCTTGGCAGCAGCCAGCCACAACCGGTAAAGCTTCTGTGTCATCAAGGGGTCCGGTAGGTCTCGGAGGTAACGCTTCAGCAGGGCGGCTACTTGGACGGCTTGGGTTGAGCTGAAGTCTACCTGCTCCTCCTTGTCGATCTTCTCCACGAGCTCGCCGAGCTTCTTGATGTTGCCGTTCTTACGGAAGACACCCTCCACGGAGAGGTCCATCTGTTTCATGGACGAGATGATATCGTCCACAACGGCGGGGATCCGCAGGGTGCCAGGTCCGACGCCGTCTGTGGATTCTGCGCCATCCCTCTCGATGATAACCTCCAAGGGCACGCCGAAAACCCCCTTCTTCTTAACGTTCTTGCGACCATCGTTCTTGAAAGCCTTGCCGATGTTCTTCCAGAAGTTGGCTGGCTTTTTGCTTTCAATGAAGCCAAGGAGTTCCTCAAGTGTGAACTCGGATTCCACCATGGGGTGCATGGTCAGGACGGCAAGATGCCTCACAATGAAGTATTCCAGCCCGGATAATTCAGAGAAATAGCGCCGGCTGCGCAAACCAGGCTGTCCGCCAGGAGCGCGAGACCCTGGCCCCTTGCCGTCTGAGAGGCTGCGCTGATGGCCGTTGCCGCCCACGGGTTCACCGGAGCCAAACTGAGGCTCGCCTGTTGTCGAACGGAAAAGCTCTTGTCCTGGGGGTGGGTAGGGCCGTTGTTGCTCTCTCGCTTGTTCCGCCGCGATAATCCGAGGGATGTCATCCAGCGTTATCGCATCCTGATTGGGCAACATTATGTCCTCTTCGTCGATAGGCCCCCTTTCCTCGACGATGGAAAAGTGCTTGTTAAAGCCGCCCTCCCCTTGGCCGCCGCCGGCCGACCCGGGGCGTGCGCTACTGCTTTCAGGTCCGTCCAGGATTCGCGATGTGCGGGCTTTCCTAAAGCTCGACGACAGGTGCTTGTCCAGACGGGTGCTCTTTAACCTCTTGACATCGTTGAGAGCGCTCTCATAAGACGACTCCCTGTGATGCCTAGGATACTGGCCCCCGTGTGGTCCTGATCGCCCTTCAGTCGGGCCTGAACCATCCCCATTCGGGTCATCCGAAAAACTAGGGATCGAGCCACTAGCCCGAAGGATCTCGAGGAGCCTGGCCAGCGCGACCTGGAGCAAAAAGACGTATTGTTGCAGCTTGGTAACATGCTCAAGCGGCGCCGCATTCGGCGGCGTGTTGGGTTCGCAGCTGCTGCAGAAGATCTTGGCATCATAGGGATTGAGGTGCGCATCCTGGAGGTTTCGCCCAAGCTCCTTGCCACATCGCGAGCAGTTGGCACATCCCAGGTGCCATCTCTTATCCTCGATCTTCGCACACTCGTCCTCGATCGGTTTCCGGCAAGACGCGCACTGGTCTGAATCATGGGCCGAGAGTCTCGACATGCCAGAGGTTAACTGCAGTGTGGTGGTGGAGTTGTCGTCCGCCTTGAGCGTCTCCAAGTCGTTGAGATCGCCCAAGAAGTGGTAGAGACCCTCCGCGTTCTTGCGCTCTTTCTCTATGCGGAGCGCTCCTTGGAGGCAAATCCGGATTAGGAGTTTGAGGTAATGAGCAAGACCTGTAACAAGGGTTAACAAATCCTGGGTGACGCCCGGTTTACGTGTAGCCCTGTCCTGCGTCTTGGACAATAGTGAGAAGAATGCCACAATCTTCTTGCAGAGGAGCTTGGCTTCTCGGCCATAAGCGAGAGCTACACGATCAAGTTAGCCGTCCGGACCTGCAGCGAAAGAGGGCTCATTCCTACAGTTCATCTCGAGATGGGCCATGGACCCATCGAGCCTATCGGCGGACCGGAAGAGAATGTCGACATGGAAGATAAACCTCTTGGCGACCATGACACCGTCGATATATGCGCCATTACTTACATGCAGCAGCATGTCTGATATGCAAGCGGCCGACGACTCCTCGAATGTTGACAGGACGCTCCATATCCGGTAAACCTTCTCTTCCATACGCTCCTCCTCTTCGCGGACAAGTTCGCGGCCAGCTGGGTCATCTGGGATTGGGGCGGGCACATCCTGGGGCGGGTTGAGGCGGACATTCCAAAACTTGTGGATCATGTAGCATTCAGGGTGCCAGTGCTGGTTCTGGCCGTTTCGGAAGATCTCGACGAACTGCTTAAGAATGGAGGCCTGACAACCGTTGCAGCGTTGGGCAAACTGGGTGGAGTAGTGGTAGTGGCAGTAGACCTGATCATCGTGTTCGTAGTAGCTGTCCTGGGCTCCAAACACGGTCGGGCACAGGGAACAAGTAAAGTGGTCGACGTGATACTTGCGCTCGAGGGCGGTGATGTAAGACCCCCGAAGTGCGCCGTTGCATTGGTGGCATAGCAACCCGAGTCGGCGGAAGTAGTCGGTCTCGCAGAGGGGGTACTGCCCTGTGCCATCTCCATCATCGGCTGGGAAGAATTTCGAGGCTACAATCTGGCCACAGTCCTGCACAGCCGTTAACAAAGGGAGCCAAAACAAACATGACTTAACGAACTCACCCGACACTTGAAGCAGTCCAAGTGGAATGTCCCATCCAGTGCACGCACAAACTGCCCCGTTAACGGCTCGCCACATTTCTTGCAAGTGCGCACCTGGCCACTGGCCGACCTAGAACCCCGTGGCCTCGACCCGTTCCTCTCCCCGCTGCGCCTCGACTCGGTGTCGGTATTCTCAGCGCTCAATGAGGGGGAGGCCGGCTGTCTCCCCCCCTGATTACCATGACCGCCATTGTGTCGGGGCAGAGCCGGCGTGAGATTGGAATGTTCTTGGTCCATCCGGTACGGGGGCTCACTACCACCGGGTGGATGGCCATGGCCCCAGTCACTGCCTGGGCTGCCGCCGTAATCGTATCCTGCCATGGTAGACTGATCCTCAATCCACCCACTTCTTGTTGATCACACCCACCATGTGGCCTTCTCTGTCTAGAACGCGACCGTAGCGAGGGACACGAGGTGGTGTGCACGTTTGGCGGCCGAGGCGAGAGTTGGAGGTCAGAAGCGGGGGTAGCTCGCTGAGCATCTAACTGGTAATTCGAAACCTAGAACACGGGTTGGCCAGCCTTAAACTCGAGGTAAAAGAGCGATGTCGGCACAGCGATTGTTTCCGGCCGAGGTCGAGGTTGAGAGAGCGATGCACTTGGTGCCGAGAGGCTGGGCAAGGTGAATGTGGATATGGGTTGAGGCTGAGGGGGATGGTGTTGAGGAAAGCCACTTGTCGCGGTCGGGTGCGGTCGAGTGCGGTCGAGTCTCGGCGTTGTGCGGCTGGCTGCGCTGTGGTGCTGTGGTACTGTGGTGCTGTGGGTGCGGCTTTGTCTGGGACCCGTCCACTCCTGCAGAGCGGGAAGCAAACCCAGGCGGAAAATGTATGCAAGCTCGTTCGGATGGTGCTTGCGGATACCAGTGCGCTCGAGTCGGGTTGAAGATGACAAGAGACGGAGATGTTCAGGAGGTCAAGGTTGTGCGATCCACTTCAAAGCCTGGGTCGGACAGCAGCGATCGGCAAGCCCCCGCCACGGCGGAGTGCTAATTTCCAGGCTTTGGCCAGCTTTGGTGGGTGGTCTTTAGTGGGCATTGGGCCCAAGAGGGAAGGAGTGAGGATGCGTGCCTAAAAACCGTTGGGCAAAAGAAAGGTTTAGTTAACCTGACACTTGGTGCAACCAGTGATAGACAACCCAAAGGCACAAAATTTGGTTATTTTTCTATTTGCGTCCCATTCTCATTTTGTAGACTTCCCAGACATTTGACAGCATGGATCGACTCGAACCCATGCAGGTATGGAGCGAGGAGAAGGTGAAATCGAGGCACAGCCCAGTGCTTTTATTATTAGGCCCTGGAAGCACACCACGGGCCAGGGAAGCTTTGTCCCCTCCTTCTGTCCGCGAGCTTGGAGGTTCCCCTGTCACCATGGAGCGGATGGGGAGATTGCCAGGTTCGTAGCCAAGCAAGGGACAAAAAAAAGAGTGATTCATTGTTTCTCGAGACTTTGTCGAAGGGTCAAGATGGGGCAGTATCCGACATCACCGAAAAACCGGGTAAAGAAAGCATCGGTAATCTGTAACCTACTACTTATTTGATAGCTGGTTTCCAACCTTTTCACTCTTATTTCTCCTTATCAGATCGTCGGCCCGGTAATAACAGGAAACCGACTTTTCAACCACAGACCAATGTCAACCTTAGCGCATCTCATAAGCAAATTTTATGTAGCGGGAACTGGGTTCAGTGTCAATCATCCGGCAGGTGCGATGATGAGCAGCTTCTTGAATTCCCCTTACATCAAACAAACCCTGGGTTGAAACTGCCCAGCTTGAACCTTTTCTTCTCAGAACCTACAACTGAATATCACTCGCTCGCTCTACCTATCACAAACATCCCACATGCCCGAATTTCAACGGAACCTAATGAAGCCATGTAGTCTGGACGCGGATACTAAACAATAACCATACTGCAACTCACCTTATCCCCAAGATGAACTCCAACCAAATGCAACTTGTAAATCGGCTACCCGAAGCCATTCGCGTTCATTCGACACACAGCCCACGTGGCCGTGGTAGCTTGCATCAAACTCCCTTGTTTCCCAACGGCCTAGTTAACCAGCTTTCTTAGTCTCCTCTCGATAATCTCTCTCCCGCCCAAGGTATCCCAAACACGGTGAGGTGCATCGTCCACAATGTCCCAATTCTCCAGGTTTGTGGTGAGATGGCTCAGATCCCGTTGCTATTTCCGTATCAGTCAAGTCGGTCCAATGCCAGGGTTCAAACGGCGATGCTGATCACCAACCTTGTTCTCCCAGTCCCTGTCCTTACGGATTTGGTGGCCTGAACTGATCACCACGAGCGGTGTATCCTTATCCTGGATGGCACGGCTGGAGACCACATCTCGCTTGGTGAGCGACTCTGCCACGAGACTCTCTTGGAGTTTGGCAAAGATGGTGGTTCCGGACTGATACGAGGAACGGCCCCAAACCCGGTCCACGGCCCGCCTACCCCTGAAAATGGCACCCAGGATACGATCAATCCCGCAAGGCGAAATGACGCCCCGGATCCAAAGGAGGAAGCCGCGCCCAGGGCTGCCGGTACGGGCGAGGAGGTCCTCGTGGAGAGGATCAATCATGAGGATGCCTCGCACCTGATCGCCATGGCGGGAACTGAAGACACGCGAGTACAAGGACCCGATACCAGCGCTGGCGAGTATCCAACTGTGGTCGACCGGTTTGTTAGCTTCTACTCTTTCCCACCAGCCGTGTCCCAGATCATTCATCACTTACGGCCCTTCTTCTCCAGCTCGGGTGAGTGTTTCGCTCAGGCCGTCCGAAGCGATACTCGCCGAGAACGGGGATGGCGCGGTATCACTCTAGCCCCATGTGTTAGCAGACTGTGATACTTGGAAAGCAACGCGGCCACCAACTTACCCATGCCATACCCGGACGGTCAGCAAAACAGAACCGAGTGATGGATCCGTTCTTGACGGCGTTTTCCGCAAACTGCCATAGACCACGCTCCACCGGATCCTCGCCCCCTTCGAACAGTACCGTGGTCGACCTCGCCCCAGCCGCGTCGGTTTTGTTGCCATAGCAGAACAGATGGATTTGATATCTATCGCCGTCCACCCAATACCGCTCGCCAGGAGGTGGGAGACCGACGTCGATGGCCCGCAACGTCAACGTGAGCGTCATAAGCCCCACGATACATATCATGGCGACCAGCACAACTGTCGATAAGGTGACCTCGGCCCATTCTAACACTGTGCGCCTGCTCTCCGGGCGACCGGTCAAGCGCTCTTCCTCCTCAGCCTTGGCCCATTGCACTGTTCGGTCGGCGGCCACGAACCAGGCCGCCATCAGCGCGGCCCAGATGACGCTGGCGATGCCGACCCAGATCTCGGCGTGTCGCAGCCCCGGAACCGCCAGGATCATGACGGCGTCAACAAGCAGCACAACCGCGTTGACAATGCCAAATATCCTCGCCAGCCTGCTGGGGACGGAGAAAAACAGCAGCGTGACAATCAAGGTAAGGAGCGCGAGCGAGGCATAGTCGAAAGCGAAGAAGGGAGATCCCCGGACATGCAGGCCGGGGGGCGTGATGAAGACCGAGACGACCATCAACACCCACCAGACAAAGGTGATGACGGTCAGGGCGACAGTGATCCAGCGGACAAAGCGCACGGTCCAGAGGTTGTACGGCGAAACAGCGGGGTCGTCGGGCGAGAGATACGGCGTGCTATGGATGCGGTTCGGCAGGAGCCGTGTGTGCTCGTCCACCCGGGTGTCCGGCCGGGTGTCCTCAGAGGACCGGCCCGGGGGCGAGCTCCGCCCGGCCCGATCCTCGTCGGTCTCATGCTGGTTCCAGAACCCTTTCATGGTTTCGGATGTCTCAGACGGTATGACGTCAAGTGCGAGATGCTGTGCATCTAGTATGAACTAGTACACGACCGATCTGGGAGAAACGAAAGCTGTAAGTTGATGTGTCCGAGCCGAGGAATTTATCGCTGTTTTCAGTTTTGAATCCTGCTCTTAGTATTCCTCCATCGTCTCCCTTTTTCTTGAGCATTCCGGGTTGCAGACAATTTGCCTCGGTTTTGCGCCGGACCTCAACTACTATCAAAGACGTCATGGCTCGGCAAGTTGCGATGGCAGCCCGGACTCATTGGTCGAAGGGCCGGAGCAAAAGCGGCAGATCGCCCATCAAACGGGCCACATGGTCTCCTTTTTCTTTCACTCCGCGGGGATCCCATGGAAAATATATGTCTTTCCTAGTCTTTTTGGGATTTTTTTTTCTTCAACTACGAATGGTTGAGTCATTGCCGAATACCGACAATCGCATTGTTCCTCCGTCTGTTCGTACATTTGCTAAGGTACTTCGTACTCCGTCCAATGGCAACATCTCGGCAAACTCGGGTCTCCAAGCGGAGCTACCCCGAAAGCACTCCACCATCGAGGGATCTCCCGCCTTGCTTATTGTCCAAGCAAGCAAGTGTCAAGCTGCACCTTAACATACGAGAAATGGCCCCCCTCACAAGTGGCTTGAGCAAGCACTCGATACAAGAGTCGTTGAATTCCCAACCCTTTTCTAGTTACTCGACCCTCCATAGGGGAAGCTACTCAGAGAATCTGACGCCGCCCCCGGGGCTCTATATACCGACCTAGACCCCGACGACGACGAGGTCTGTCCTTCGAACACGCCCGCCGATTGCCCGCTGTACCGTTTCTTCCTCCGGTCAGCTGCCTTCCTCCGCGCCATCGCTTCCGGGGTGGGCCCGGATGCGGGCCGGATGGCATCCGCGGGGATCTGGCCGATCGGGGCTTGCAGCTTTGCGTGCGGCGGCTCCGTGTCGTGCGGCGAGATGCCTGCTTTTTTGAAGGCTTCTTTGCGGTATTGCCGGAAGGCCTGGGCGGAGGGTTCCGTGGTGGCGAGCCAGCTGGCGAGTTTTTGAGCTTTGCTGGAGAGCCATGACTCTCTTTTGTTGGTGGGGTGTTTTGCTGCTTTCTGCCCGGCTGCCGGTGCCGTGGTTTTGTGGCCGTCTGTTGGAGCGAGCTCTGCATTGGGGTTTGAGCCTGGGGCGTCTGTTGGGTCCATGGCTAGGTAGGCAATGACTTTGGGATGCTCGTCAAAGGGGGTTTTGTTGTTATGAGTCCCGGCATCGGTTTAACCCTCGGATAACGTAGCATAGGAGAGCCAGTCCCGGATTGACGTCTTGTGGGCTCGTGGGCTTACAAGACGGCCATATCGAAGCAAAAACGGCACATAGTCGAGTCAGATATCTAGCGGGCAGCCCGCGAGGAAGGGGCCCAGCTTGACCGCCTGCTCAGACCAAGAGCTAAGGCTATCATGTGTGAGAAAATGTCTGACTTGCGAAGCAGTGGAGAGTGACATACTTGGTTTGAGGACGGGGTGAATTTCACCCTGGAGACACAATCGACGAGCGGATATCTTTCTGCGAAACAAAGTGGGAATCGGAAGAAACAAGCAAAGCCATGATGATGCTGCACCTTGAGGAACGGCAAACCGGATCCCGCCTTTTGCGTAGGCTCTTCAGCTGCATGAGTCGATGCATGGCAGGGATCGCGCTGTACGCTAGGGTCTGCTTCTGGAAGCCCGGAAGCTTGGTTAACCTCCAAAACTAGTTTATCTATTGGATAGAACGAGCACATGGCATGACCAAGCAAGCCTTCGACCCTTGCCTTGCATAGTTAGGCACTGCTGCTAGTTTCCGAGACATTCGAGAACACGAGGGCAGCATAATACATAGCGAGAGCGAGCAGAAATCGAAACATTGAGCTTGGCACGCCCTGTGACAGACTTCTAATTTTACAGAATAGTACGAACAGTGAGCGTTGTCCGCGGTATGTACAACAACTTGGGGGTTGTGTGGTATTCACCGAAGCAACCAAGGTCTCAGATAGTTAATGTTTGCCTGCGGAAGACTAGTTGTACTTGTAAGAATATGTGGGATAATAATATTGTGGAGATACGAATACTACGTACCGCCTTTCGTATATCCCGCGGCTTTTGTCCTTTGAGTTTTGGGGCGTTCCAATATTTCTTGGAAGCGAAAGCTGCTGGCCCAGGTTTCCATTCCAAAGCGCTCGGGCGGGGCCAAGGCGGGGCCAAGGCGGCAGGCGGAAGGCATGGAAGCTCAAGGCAAGCAGGTCAGGTATGCAGGCATGGAAACAAAGGAAAGCTGTTGCGCCAAGCCGAGCTTGACAATGAGGCCCATAGAAAGAAGCAACCTTGACATTTGATTCGCGAACAGTCAAGGCAACAAGGGGCAATGATCGGGTGGCGGGGTCAGCCCAGCAATGGAAGCTTCACCCCACTCGAGGTTCCCACTCCGGCACGTGTCCGGGTCGCTGTCCGTCCATTGCCATGGCCATCTCTTTGTCATGATCAGCTCTTTGCCACGCCGTTTTCATGCACCTTTCTTCCAGCGCAATCATGTGTTAACACCAACCACATACACGAATAACAGCTCAAACCATGCCGGGCATTACGATCACCACCAAACTTCCACCGCGGACAGCAGAGGCCGGGACAACGCCTCCATGCCAGGCTTCAGCCTCGTCGCGACAGCAATCGCCATCGCGCCCCCATGTCAGCCCTATCACTCCGACTCAAGAATCGACAGAGTTTATGGGCTCCCGTCCGGCCCACCCCGCCCCAACAACGGCACAGAGCACATTACCAGACTTTGCGGCCGGCCGGCCAGTCTTCACACACACAACCCAGACCGATCAAGTCGGCATGACGCCGCCACCAGCGCAACCCATCGACTTCGAGTCAAACCCGGACGTGCTCGCTCTCAAGAGCGCGATATCAATATTACAACTCCAACGCGCCCGCGCGACTGCCGATGTCCAGTTACTAAGTCGCGCCAAGGACGCGGCGCTTGCCAACCCGGAAGCCTTCACCGCTGACCTGGTAAGCGGGAGGGTGCGCATGGAAGGCGATCCCCTAACATCGGGGAGGATGCGGAGCGCGAACGGGGGCCCAGCAGAAAACGACTCCGAATCCGAATCCGACTCCGACGCCGACTCTCACCCCGCCGACCAAAACGGCGACGGCACCCGCCAGCAGGTCACACCCGAATCCGAGTTCAAAACCGACAGCCGCACCACCCCGACATCACCAACAACAACAACAACAACGACGACGAACGGCGCCGAAGGTTCGAACCAAAGAAGCCACCACCCCTCATCATCATCCGCATCATCATTAGCACCAGGAACAGCGTCAGCACCTGCCTGGCAAACCCTTCCCAAGCCCCAGACCGTCGTGCGCTGCCCGCCCATCAACTGGGCACAATATGGCGTGGTGGGCGAGTCGCTCGACAAGCTGCACGCGGAGCAGGTGGCGGCGCCGACGCCCGGCGCGCCCATGGCCCTGGGCCAGGGCGGGGCCTACGCGTTCAAGGCTGGTGCCGCCGCCGCCGGCGGTGGTGGTGGCGGTGGTGGTGGTGGCGAGCCGGCACGGCGGTTGAACGGGGTCGCGGCGCCATATAACCCGATGAAGGATAAGGTGGAGAAGAAGGGGAGGGGTGGGAAGCGATGAGGGCGCACCCTCTCATCCTCTCACCTCATCTACCTTCGCAGATATATTGGGTGGTTTCTTTGAGTGTTTATAAATGGGATGGCATGATGATAGTTATAAATGGGATGGGGTGGCATGATGCCATGTGTTGACGAGCAAGAGAGTCAGCATGGATGAACAGCATAGCAGCGGCGTTTTGCGGTGTGACTTGAATCTCGGAATTCATCTGGTTATAGTTACGAGATCACACACAAGATCATACAAGGACCATACATAATAAAATCACACTCGGTATTAAGAATAGTTAGCGTCGTTGGTGTTGGTGTGTCATGGACAAGTCGGGCACGACAATCTCGGTACACGGTCCAGGAAGGTTTACATCCGTACAAGAAAAAGGTATCTACACGCCGTCTCCTCACCGAGCGAAGTTTATGTAAGGGGGAAAGCCTCGAGCGCGTTCTTCCAGCAGGAAACCAGGCCGTTGAGTATCATCACATTCCGTAAAAGCAAACCGAACACCCAGACTCGTGAACTCCACCCCGGCTACCTTAACCCTGCCTGTTTCCCCTTAGCCATGTCCGAACGCCGAACGGCTTGGTTTGGATTCCCGTGGACCCAACAAGCTGATGCCATGCGTGAAAAAAAAAAAGGATCGAAATCAAAGAGAAATCTGCATGTGGGCGAGCTCGGCGCTCATCTAGAAGTCCCTACCGATTGGTTAGTGACACTGCCGTGGCCTTCCGGGTTGAATAGACATACTCCATGGACTGCTGGACCGACCGCCGCAGGCGCCGGTTGTACACACGTCGATCCTCGGGCGAACCCCAATACAGCTTGAACGCCTCGGGGTGGACGAGCGTCCTAGGGTCGTACGGAGGGTGGTCCTCTTCCAAGGCCTCGATGATGGCCTCGATATGCGTCTTGACGTCCTCCCGCCGGCTGGACGGCACCACATAGCAAGGTGTGCCGTCCGCAGCAATCCTGTGGTGGAATAGACGTGTTTCGAACTTGATCCGTGGCTGCTCCTCTGGGAACCGAGGACTGAAAAACAGCCTCGCCCTGAACAAGCCGCCGTCGAGATTCGTCATGGGCTTTCCGAAGTACGTCAGAACCCAGTCGAAGGGGTTGCCATCAACCAACTCAAGGTTGTGCGCGGTGCCGGAACGCTTGAAGAACTCGACAATCTGCTCGAACTGTCTCTGAAGGTTGACCGCGACGGTTGTATCCTTAGACTTCGCCGCAAGCCCCTCCACTGCCCAAGCTTCGGTTTCCGCGTCCAAGGCCTTCTTGATGCCTTGCAGCCGACGCTCGAGTTCACCGTAGTTGAATTTCCCCTCCATTGTATTGTTGGAGCCCTCGAAGGGCATCCGCACAAACATCGTGCCATCCTTCACTTCCGACATTCCCTTTTTGATGGTAGCGAGGTAGGAATCGTAGTACCACAGGAATCTGCGCTTGCATAGATCCTTGAACGGCTCGAATGGAGTGCTGGATTCGTCTTCGATGGTGTCCATGTCCAGGTCATAGTCATCCTTCGTGGCCGCGGGGGCCGTAACGGCACCGTCAAGCCCGATCTTGAGATATTCCTCCAGGCGCTGAATGACGGAGACTCTGAGTGTCTCGTGACGGATCTGCAGATTGGTCAGCCTCACGGGCTCCGGATCGTTGTGGGTTGTAGCACCTTCTGCACGTAGTCCTTCTGGTTCTTCTTGTCGGAGGTCTCGTTGGCATCTTCAAAGCCGGGCTCGTTCTCGTAGGGGTTCGAAGACATCAGGCTCTGGATGGAGAGCAGGATAGATTCCAGGCCCTGTGCGGCAGACCACTCCTCTCCTCGCTCACCCCGCCATGTTCTACTCTAGATTAGCCTCCTGCTCGAGGAATGACCGTATGTAAGTCGCGATTACGGAACGTCGATTACCCTAGAATTGATCTACGGCCCAGTCAGTCTGCATGTCGCCCTCAGGTAACAGGTGGGGTTTCACATACAGGCATACTCTGCCATTGGCATAGATGTTGGGATTGAACCTGCACCGACCCCCGTTCGTCGTGATCGCGGTGACCTGCGGCGACTTCCTCGGATATTCTAAACAGATCGTCAGTATCCTCACCCGGATGTCGACCTTTCTCGTGTGGGTCGTGTACCTTTGTTGAATTTGAACGCAAACTACCGACATATTAGCAAGCCAAACCAATTCCGATTAATGAACACCCTGTTACCTCAAAGAACCCGAATTCATAGGGCGTCTCGTGCGGTCCGATGATAAGCGCCTTGACATTTCGAACATCGATATCGCGACAGGCAACGGCGAGTGCTGAGAAAGTAATGTTAGAAGGAATGTTGGAATATCCGGCCCGGGGGGTATGCTCTGGGGCTTACAAAGGTCCGAATTCTTCTGGAGCTCGCTCAACTCCTACGATCGGGACGGCATCGCCATCATGGGTCAGCCCATACAACCCCGCGCAAGCAGAGGGGGACAACAGCGACCCACCTTCGTGATTCGGAATACGGACTGGTCCGCCATTGCTGCAGTTCGCCGATTATTTCCTGTGAAAAGGAAGTATACTTCATGGACCACTGAAAGGAATCGTTCACTGTTTTAGGGAAGAATGGCGCAAAGAGAGTCGTGGTCTGGCGAGGAAGAGGGCTAGGTTCGAAGAGGAGGGCGGCGGGCATTTGATGGAAGGCTGAGGCACTGAGGGCCGTGGCGGGGCCCGATGAATGAAGGCGGACCCTCCTGGCCGGGCTAGCAAGGGCCTCAACACAGTGCAGCTTTAGGCTGCAAACCTTCCTCCTCACCATACACAATGTGTGGGGCACTGTGAACAGCGCCTGGGGCGGCACAAGAGCGGCGACTTACATCCAATGCTGCCTATGGACAGGACCAACAAAACAACGCTGTTCTTCAATTTGCCAACGAGCGTTCGATAACTGACCCATCAAACCACCCAAGCCCCGTTTGCCATGCCACGAGTGCTCAATAATGTTTTGGATTTCTGATCTGTACAAAGGAGGCAACGGCTCATTCAACACTTCCTGATGATAGTCGTCCAGTTTCGGACATCACGGTCATGCAGCTTCAAATTAGGTGGATGTGACCGGTATGTGTTTGTCATTTGCTCCTATGGACATGCTGCAAAATCCCTGACGGCACATGTGCACATCGTGCAGCTGTCACAAAACTGCATACCTTAGTACCTACCTACCTGTAGACAAGGTATGGACCTCTCAAAGTTCAGGTGAGGTTGGGTTGCGTTAAGCGGGCCTGCAGACCTGGGTGGGTTCGAAGCTTTCCTCACATTTGACGACGCAGGGTTTTCGGGTACAGAAAACGATTGGAGCATCTGAGCACAAAATTAAAAGAGAGGTACCTGGTACCTCAAGATATGTTCCATGCCTCAACTTCCAAGACCATGGTGGGACGAACCACCTAAGTCCGGCTTGGAGATCGAAATCCTTGGTCCCTGTTCCATGGAGCACCTAAGGTCGAAAGAGATATGAGTGATCATATTGCAAATGAAGCTCTCAAATAAGAATAAAAAATAGGGTATCTGAGGCGGCTTTGAGGAAGGCCGAGGGGATGAGATAACTACAACACCCATGCATTTCACCCTTCTCCGATGCTTTGCAGGACCTACCTAGGTCCATTGGGGATGGAAGTGGTGTTTGGAAGGCTGGTGGGGCATCCATCTTCAGCCCTTGTGCAGAGGAGAGGGGCGGCTGACATGGCGCCGGGCTGGCGCGCTAACTCCCGCCAGAAACCCGGCGCGTCTTCCATCAAAATCGACGCGTAAAGTGCCTGCACCGACAGCCAGCAAGACCGCAACAAGGGGATTTTCACAACCAAAATACTTCAGTATCCAATATTACCTACCTCCTAGCGATCCTAGCTCAAACGCTATTCGCGAACTGCCATGTCAAACTTCTTCGACCTCAAGGCCCGAAAGGCGGCGGCTGCTAATGGGACGACATCGAGCAGCACAGAAAAGCAGAAAAGCGAAACCACGAGGGTACAGCCTTGGGTCGAGAAATAGTACGCCACTACTGCGACTCTATTCCTGGCTACATGGGATGTGCTGACTGATTCCATCTAGTCGACCCAAGACACTCAGCGATGTGACAGCCCAAGACCACACCATCACCGTCCTCGAACGGACGCTCCAAGCCTCCAACGTAGGTACTCCTCTTACCCCCACCCACCTTACCCATCAACCAGCTAACACCATCCCCAACCCAACCAGCTTCCACACATGCTCTTCTACGGCCCTCCCGGCACAGGCAAAACCTCGACCATCCTCGCGCTCGCCAAGGAGCTCTACGGCCCGGAGCTAATGAAGTCGCGCGTGCTGGAGCTCAACGCGTCGGACGAGCGGGGCATCTCGATCGTGCGGGAGAAGGTCAAAGACTTTGCGCGCACGCAGCTGACCAACCCGCCGGCGGGCTACAAGACGCGGTACCCGTGCCCGCCCTTCAAGATCATCATCCTGGACGAGGCCGACAGCATGACCCAGGACGCCCAGAGCGCCCTGCGCCGCACCATGGAGACGTACAGCAAGATCACGCGGTTCTGCCTGATCTGCAACTATGTGACTCGCATCATTGACCCGCTGGCGAGTCGCTGCAGCAAGTTCCGCTTCAAGAGCCTCGACCAGGGCAATGCCCGCCGCCGGCTGGAGGAGATTGCGCGGTTGGAGGGGGTGCCCATCGAGGACGCGGCCGTGGATGCGCTTATCAAGTGCAGCGATGGTGATTTGAGAAAGGCGATTACCTTCTTGCAGAGTGCCGCTCGGTTGGTGGGTGCCAGCGCCTCGGTGGCTGGCGGCGAGGATGGTGAGGCGATGGATGTGGACAAGATGGTGACGGCCAAGGTTGTGGAGGATATTGCTGGTGTGATCCCAGACAGTACGATCCAGGCGCTGGTCCAGGCAATGCGACCGCGGGCTGCTGGCGAGACGTACCAGGCAATTGCCAAGGTGGTGGAGGAGATGGTTGCCGATGGGTGGAGCGCCGGGCAGACTATGACACAACTCCATTCGGCTGTTGTCTACGACGAGACGATTCCCGATATCCAAAAGAACAAGATCGTTATGGTCTTTTCTGAGACCGACAAGAGGCTGGTGGACGGAGCGGATGAGCACCTCTCGATATTGGATCTTGCACTTCGCATCTCGGGGATTATGGCGGGGCGGTAATGGGAGCTGTAGAAAGGAAGGGGAAAAGGTGCTCGGTCATATCAAAGGCGTTACGGAGCAGGCAAAGGAATAAATGGGGTGTGTGTTGTTCATTGCTGTGATTTAAGAGCTATCTTTCTCGGCTCGAAGAAGCCCGAGATTTCCATCCAACGTATCCCACACCGTCTTGGGGTCCGCCGGTTTCTCTGCTTTTCCGATCGTATTCTTCCGTGCCCCTGCCGCCCTCCCTGATGGGCGGCCTTCAGCCAGCCATAGATCATCCTCGCCGGCCCTCCCGCCCTTGTCCTTCTGTTGACCGTCTGGGGGTGGTCCCAGCAGCTCTTCAATCTCCCCAAACCTGCGCATCGAGCCCTCGAGCGCAACCTGGCCCTCCTCGATCTTCTCGGCCACGGCTTCCAGAGTAGAGATTTTGGCGGAGTCGGCCGCGAACACCCAGGGTCTTACCCGGTCGGAGGGCCCAGGCTCTCCGGTCATCGACGTAGCCTCGGCAAAGGCTGCATTGGCCCGCCCCGCTCCTGGCATGGGGTGCGCTGGTATGAGGTGGCTCTCTTCGGCCAGGTGGTCGATGATCTGGCTGTTTTCTTTCACCTGCTTGGAAACGGTTGCGTTGAGGTGCGATTTGTGGGCAATAAGCCCTTTCTGCTCGCGGGAAATCGAGAGCAGTTGCTCGAGGTACGGGGACAAGAGGTGTGCGGTGGGTGGTGGTTTTGGTGTTCCTGGAGCTGGTGGTGTCACCTCCTTCGTGGGAGGTCTGATGACCGGCTGAGGTTGCTGGCTGACAAGCTGAAGAAGAGTCTTTCTCGCCTCGAGATACTGAGCATATTTTTCCTGGATACTAGCCAGCTGCTCCTCCATGTTGAGAGACTCTGCATGCGGGCGGTGCTTTTGGGATTCCTGTCCCTCCGCACCCCCATCCTCCCCCGCGGCCTTGCTGAGCTCGGTCTCGATCCAGTTGATAAGCGTCTCTCTCGTCTTGTTCAGTGCCTCAAATTTCGCGCCTGGGCTAAGCGTCTCCGGTCTGACGCTGGATCGTGACTTGACCTTCTCTAACAGTTGCTCCTCGCGTTGCAGCAGGAGCTTCGTTTGCAGAACGTGCTTATCCAGCTGGTCGACGAGCCCCTTAATATGCGGGCCGCTGTTTGACTTGTCAAACGTCAGAGCAGTCACCAACTCCCTGGGCATATCCGGGAGCGGCCTCGAATCCCTAAATATTTCCTCGGGTTTCAGGAAGTTGGGTGACGCGGCTGGTTTTTGACTGAGCGAGGTGATACCCCCCTCAATGGCCTGCAGTTTATCGCGTTTCTGTCGAAGGCGGATTGCTGTGAGGTGTTCCTGCAATCGATCTGCACACTGGTCATCGGGACTCGTTGGAGTCTCCTTTGGTTGCGGCTGCTCATGGCAACATGCGGCAAACTCGTCGCGAGCCTTGATGTTTGCGTTCAAGGCCTCGAGGTATTCTTTCTGCAAACCTCGGGCGGTTAAGGGGGGTTCGACTTCATCCGTATCAATAAGAGCCAGAGGCCCGAGTGCACCGCCATCGTTGAGGGACGAGCCGAGGTGAACAGCCAAAATCTGTCTTATACGTGTGACTTCCTCTCTTGGTCGGATGTAGGGTTCGAGTGTTTTTTGAATATTTTTGAAGGTACTCTCGCTGGCTGAACCCATCCTGCGTTGATCTCAAGTTGGCAGTGTTTGCTGAGGTGTTGACCCGGAAATTTCTGTCATTGTTTTGGGAAACACTAAAAGTGTCGGTCAGGATGAAGTCAACATGGAACGCCTGAGACCGCATGCGCCTGAAGGTCCATGAGATGGGCAGTTCTGGTCCACTGGGTTGTCTCGGCGCTGCGGTGCCTGGGGCTTGCCTGACAGCGGGGAGCTCCCCAAAGCTCGCACATTCGCTAGGGCAACATCAACCAATCAGGGGCCGCTGCTGCTGCAACCTGCCCAAAAATTTCCGGCTTTGCCAGGTGAAGTTGCAGTCAAACAGCAACATCCCGTCCTCATCACGACCGCGATAACCATCACCTCCAACTCCTTGACACCACGATTCCTTTTAAATTCTTCTTCGCGCCTCGACCTTTTCCTCTCGATGCGGTGCGGAGACATAATCTGTCCGCGACATAGAGACATCCTAATTTGGGTGGGGTCGGACTGATTAACGCCACCAAGCTGCAGGCAGAATCGACGCGGCGGCGATAGTCGAAGTACAGATATCATCGCGACCTGACGCCCATCCACTTTCAGTCGACCCCGAGATACCCTAATAAATTCGCCCAAGATGTCCGATTACCAACGCGATGTCTCGCAGTACAAGTACTCGGCCATGTCCAACCTGGTTCTCCAGGCGGACCGTCGGTTTGTGACGAGACGAACCGATGAGGCCACTGGAGATCCAGAGTCGTTGGCCGGGCGCTTGTCTATCAAAGAGATGGGAGGTCGCGTAGGTCGGGGCTCGGCGCCAAAGACGAAGAAGACTGGCGCCATGCCGGATGTGGAGCGAGGGAGCATGCGGGAAGGCGCCGATGTCCTACGGCACATGAAGCAGCAGAAGAGCAAGGCAGACGCACGTGGTGGTGGTATCCTGTCTGGCGCCGACGCCTTGATCGAAGGCATCCGGTATCGACCCCGGACTCAGCCTACACGCGATGCCTTCAACCTTATTCTGACGATAGTGGCAGAACATCTTGGTGATGTTCCCCACGAGGTCGTGCGGAGCGCTGCCGACGCGACGCTAGAGTATCTCAAGGACGACGACCTGAAGGATTTCGACAAGAAGAAGGAGGTCGACGATATTCTAGGGATCTCGATGAACCCGAAGCAGTTCAACGAGCTAATCAACCTCGGGAAGAAGATCACGGATTACGATGCGCAGGATGAAGACGAGGATATGGAGGATGTAAAGGGGGCCGGCGAGGACGAGGTCGACGGCAGACAGGGTGTTGCCGTCAACTTCGAAAATGAAGATGATGATGACGGGATGCTCGACGTGGTCCGGGACGAGTCCTCGGAAGACGAGGACCAGGACGAAGAAGATGACCCGGATCTTCTAGAAGCTGCCGAGGGTGGGGAAGCGGGCAAGGACCGTGACGAGGAAGAGGTGGGGTTGGCCGACGGCGAGGCCATGGTGATCGATGCTGTCCCCCAAGGAAAAGGGAAGTCGGAAGAGAAAAACGCCGTTCCGGCTCGGGATATCGATGCATACTGGCTGCAGCGCCAGATCGGCCGGCTGTATCCCGATGCCCATATCCAGCATGACAAGACCCTACAAGCTCTGAAAATTCTATCAGGGGAGCCAGATGAACCTGATGGCGAGGAGAAACAGCTTCGTGATATCGAAAACGACCTCATGGAACTTTTTGACTATGAGCACCATGAGATCGTGCAAAAGCTCATCGAGAACCGCGAGAAGGTTGTGTGGCTCACCCGCCTAGCCAAAGCCGAGGGCCAGGAAGAGCGCGGGACGATCGAGCGGGAGATGGCTTCAGAGGGGCTACGATGGATTCTCGACGAGCTCCACGGCAAGCCCAAAGACGGCCAGAAAAAGCCCAAGATGGAAATCAAGATGGACATCGACAAGAGCACTCTTGAAAGCGGGCAGGTCCAAGCAGAGGAACAGTCTGAAGGGCAATTGGTGGGGGGGCTTCAGCCGAAGAAGCTGATCAACTTGGAGAACCTTGTCTTCGACCAAGGGAACCACCTCATGACTAACCCGAGAGTCACGCTCCCGGAGGGCACGACGAAGCGAACTTTCAAGGGATATGAGGAGGTCCACATCCCGCAGCCAAAACCGCGGAACGACCCCAGCGACCAGAACATTCCGATTTCCGAAATGCCCGAGTGGGCTCAACTGCCCTTCAGTACGACAAAGACCTTGAACAAGATCCAGTCCAAGTGTTATCCCTCCGCCTTCCAAGATGACGGCAACATGCTCGTCTGCGCCCCGACGGGCAGTGGCAAAACAAACGTAGCCATGCTTACGATGCTTCGTGAGATTGGTAAGAATAGGAACAGCCGAGGAGAGATTGATTTAGACGCGTTCAAAATTGTCTACATCGCCCCTTTGAAAGCCCTTGTGCAGGAGCAGGTTGGGAATTTCGGGAAGAGGTTGCAGCCGTACGGCATCAAGGTGTCAGAGCTGACGGGCGACCGCCAACTCACCAAGCAGCAAATCTCTGAGACCCAGGTCATCGTGACGACCCCTGAAAAATGGGATGTCATCACAAGGAAGGCAACCGACATCTCGTACACAAACCTCGTTCGTCTCATCATCATCGATGAGATCCATCTCCTGCACGACGACCGTGGCCCGGTCCTGGAAAGCGTTGTCAGCAGGACTATCCGCAAGACCGAGCAGACGGGTGAACCGGTTCGTATCGTCGGCTTGTCAGCTACGCTGCCTAACTATCGGGATGTGGCTAGCTTCCTTCGGGTCGACTTCGAAAAGGGCATGTTCCATTTCGACGGTTCATTCCGTCCGTGTCCGTTGCGGCAAGAGTTCATCGGCGTTTCGGATAAGAAGGCCATCAAGCAACTCAAGACGATGAACGACATCACCTACCAAAAGGTCCTTGAGCACGTAGGCCAAAATCGCCATCAGATGCTGGTGTTTGTGCACTCGAGAAAAGAGACGGCCAAGACAGCAAAGTACATCCGCGACAAAGCCCTGGAAATGGAAACAATCGACCAAATTCTCAAGCATGATGCCGGCACCCGTGAAGTCTTGAGCGAGGCGGCTAATTCGGTCAACAACACTGATCTCAAGGACATCCTACCCTACGGTTTTGGCATCCATCACGCCGGCATGACCCGAGAGGACCGAACTGACGTCGAGGAGCTTTTCGCGAGCGGACACATCCAAGTGCTCGTGTGCACGGCAACGCTCGCCTGGGGTGTTAACCTTCCCGCGCATACGGTTATCATCAAGGGCACACAAGTTTACTCTCCAGAGAAGGGTAGCTGGGTCGAGCTGAGCCCCCAGGATGTGCTACAGATGCTTGGCCGCGCGGGCCGTCCTCAATTCGACAAATACGGTGAGGGCATCATCATCACTACCCAAGGCGAGATTCCATACTATCTGTCGTTGCTCAACCAGCAGCTGCCGATCGAAAGCCAACTTGCGAGCAAGCTTGTTGATAACTTGAACGCCGAAATTGTTCTTGGCAATATTCGAACCCGCGACGAGGGTGTGGAGTGGCTCGGCTACACTTATCTCTTCGTTCGCATGCTTCGCTCTCCGGGACTCTACAGTGTCGGCGCTGAATACGAGGACGATGGCGCGCTGGAGCAAAAGCGGGTTGACTTGGTCCATTCCGCTGCTGCCGTCTTGAAGAAATCCAACTTGGTCAAATACGACGAGAAGACCGGCAAGCTGCAATCCACAGAATTGGGGCGCATCGCATCCCATTACTACATCACTCATACTTCGATGGACACGTATAACAAGCTGATTCAGCCGGCCATGAACGACGTCGAGCTGTTCCGCGTCTTCGCTCAGAGCGGCGAGTTCAAGTATATCCCCGTCCGTCAGGAGGAGAAGCTTGAGCTTGCCAAAATTCTTGCCCGTGTCCCGATCCCGGTGAAGGAGAGTATCGAAGAGCCGACGGCCAAGATCAACGTTCTTCTCCAAGCCTACATCTCCCGCCTCAAGCTCGACGGGTTGGCTCTTATGGCTGACATGGTTTACGTCACCCAGTCCGCTGGCCGCATCCTCCGCGCTATCTTCGAGATTACTCTGAAGAAAGGTTGGGCCTCTGTCGCCAAGCTCGCCCTGAACCTTTGCAAAATGGCTGAGAAGAGGATGTGGCCCACCATGTCGCCTCTCAGGCAGTTCCCCAGCTGCGCTATCGAGATTGTGCGGAAGGCAGAGAGGATAGAGGTGCCGTTCAGCAGCTACTTTGATTTGGACCCTCCTCGTATGGGCGAGTTACTTGGCTTGCCGAAGGCTGGCAAGACTGTGTGCAGCCTCGTCGCCAAGTTTCCTCGGGTCGAAATTCAGGCCAATGTGCAACCCATGACAAGATCGATGCTGCGTGTCGAGCTTACCATCACTCCCAACTTTGAGTGGGATGTCGACGTCCATGGGCTGTCCGAAAGCTTCTGGATTCTCGTGGAGGATTGCGACGGCGAGGACATTCTCTTCCATGACCAGTTCATTCTGCGCAAGGATTACGCCGAGTCGGACACCAATGAGCACACCGTCGAGTTTACGGTGCCCATCTCCGAGCCGATGCCGCCCAACTACTTCATATCGGTCATCTCCGATCGGTGGATGCACTCCGAGACCCGGATGGCAGTGTCATTTCAGAAGCTCATCCTGCCGGAGCGGTTTCCTCCACATACAGAGCTGCTCGACCTGCAACCTCTGCCTGTGTCGGCTCTCAAGGCCAAGGACTACGCGGCCCTTTACCCCGACTGGCAGCAATTCAACAAGGTACAGACGCAGACCTTTAATTCCCTGTACAACACCGACAACAACGTTTTGGTGGCCTCGCCAACTGGCAGCGGAAAGACTGTCTGCGCTGAATTTGCTCTGTTGCACCACTGGGCGAATGAAGACCCCGGGCGTGCAGTCTACATTGCGCCCTTCCAGGAGCTTGTAGACCAACGATTCGAGGACTGGCAGAAGCGCTTCTCGAATCTCCGTGGGGGCAAGGATGTTGTGAAGCTGACGGGCGAGACCTCCAGCGACCTCAAGCTGCTCGAGCAAGGAGACCTCATCTTAGCCACCCCCCTTCAGTGGGACGTCCTGTCCCGGCAATGGAAGCGGAGGAAGAACGTCCAAACGGTAGAACTATTCATCGCGGATGAGTTGCATCTTCTCGGTGGCCAAATGGGGTACATCTACGAGATCATCGTGTCTCGGATGCACTACATTCGTACACAGACAGAACTGCCCATGAGGATCGTCGGCCTCAGCGTCTCTCTGGCCAATGCTCGCGATGTGGGCGAGTGGATTGACGCCAAGAAGCATGACATCTACAACTTCAGCCCCCATGTGCGCCCGGTGCCGCTGGAGCTTCATATTCAGTCCTACACCATCCCCCACTTCCCGTCCCTTATGCTCGCCATGGCGAAGCCGACATACCTCGCTGTCACCCAGCTGTCGGCGAACCAACCGGCCCTCATTTTTGTTCCGAATCGGAAGCAAACTAGAGCCACGGCTCGCGATCTTCTCACGGCCTGCCTCGCGGACGACGACGAAGACCGGTTCCTGCACGTTGAAGTGCACCAGATCCGGAAGCTTCTCGACCGTGTCCAAGAAGAAGCTCTCGCCGAGGCTCTGTCCCATGGTGTCGGTTACTACCATGAAGCCCTGAGCCAGAGCGACAAGCGCATCGTCAAGCATCTCTACAAGAACGGTGCCATCCAAGTACTCATTGCCTCACGTGATGTCTGCTGGGAGCTTGATTGCACGGCTCACCTGGTCATCGTCATGGGTACTCAATACTTTGAGGGCAGAGAACATCGTTACGTCGACTATCCTCTGAGCGAGGTGCTCCAGATGTTTGGCAAGGCCGTGCAGCCGTCGAAGGACGGACGCAGCCGTGGCGTCCTCATGCTTCCGGCTGTGAAGAGAGAGTACTACAAAAAGTTCCTGAACGAAGCGCTACCGGTTGAGTCGCACCTTCACAACTTCCTCTACGATGCCTTCGTGACAGAGATCAGCACCAAGATGATCGAGTCCGGCGAGGACGCTATCAACTGGGCCACGTTTACGTATTTCTACCGGCGTTTACTTGCCAACCCAAGCTACTACAGCCTGACGGATCCGACGCACGAAGGACTCAGCCAGTACCTGTCCGACATGGTTGAGGCGACGCTGAAGGAGTTGGCTGATTCGAAGATCATTGAGATGGACGAGGAGGACGGAACGGTCGCGCCGCAGAACGCTGCGATGATCGCGGCCTACTACAACATCTCGTACTACACGATGCAAACGTTCCTCCTGTCGCTCAACCAGAAGACCAAGCTGAAGGGCATTCTGGAGATCGTGACGTCGGCTACCGAGTTCGAGTCGATTCAAATCCGGCGGCACGAAGAGGTCATCCTCCGGCGCATCTACGACAAGGTGCCAGCCAAGATGACAGTGCTGGCTTACGACTCGCCTCATTTCAAGGCTTTCGTCTTGGTTCAGGCGCACTTCTCGAGGATGAACCTGCCTATTGATCTTGCCAAGGACCAAGAAGTCATCCTGACCAAGCTTCTCAGCCTCCTGAGCGCCGTTGTCGATATCCTCTCGTCCGATGGCCATCTGAACGCGATGAATGCGATGGAAATGTCGCAGATGGTGGTACAGGCCATGTGGGATCGCGACAGCCCGCTGAAGCAGATTCCCAACTTCACGCCGGAGGTGGTCAAGGTGGCAAACAAGTACGACATCAATGACATCTTTGACTTCATGGAGAAGATGAACCCCGAAGAGAACGCCGACTATGGTTCGCTCGTCAAAGACCTTGGCCTCTCCCAAGCACAGCTCGCGCAGGCGGCCAACTTCACAAACAGCAAGTACCCCGACATCTCGCTCGAGTTCGACGTCGTGGACAAGGAGGACATCCGCGCGGGCGAGCCGGCGTACCTCAAAATCCACATCGAGCGCGAGGTCGAGGAGGACGAGGAGTTCGACCCCACGGTGCATGCGCCGTTCTACCCGGCCAAGAAGTCGGAGAACTGGTGGCTTGTGGTCGGCGAGGAGAGCACCAAGACGCTGCTTGCCATCAAGCGGGTCACGGTCGGCCGGGAGCTCAATCTCAGGCTGGAGTACACGGTGCCGACGCCTGGGCGCCACGACCTGAACCTGTTCTTGATGAGCGACAGCTATGTCGGAGTCGACCAGGCGCCTACTTTCTCGGTCATGGTCGGGGAGGGAATGGATGTAGACGAGAGCGAGGAAGAAGAGGACGAGGAGTAGATGAGTAGCGTGGCGGGAGCAAGTGCGTCAAGAGAGATGGGGGTTTGGATAGCTGTACGGTATACAACGGAGTTGGACGGGGCAAATTCAAAATGCAGCATTTTTGTTTTCTTTCATTCCGGGCCTGCCGCTCGGCAGTTGGCAGTTCTTGGGGGAGATGGAAGACATCATCAGGCTGAACGGGGGAGCGGTGTGGGGTCTGGGCTTGTTATGATCAGCCACGGGGAGCAGGCATCCGTGCCGGGTTGCGCCGGGTGTTGCCAGCCAAGTTCGGACAGCTTGGACAGCTCGCCCAGCTCGCCTATAAGGTGGCAAAGAAACAGGGCCATCACAGAGAATCACAAGAGGATGGGCAGTTTGATGGAGGGATATGGAGATGGGGTCACCATGATGGCTGATGGAACTTTGGAGGGAAGAGGTTGTTTTTCTTATGTTTTACTCTTGTTGGAGTTGGAACAAGATGGGGGTGTTCTTTGACCAGCTGGTGCCTTTGGAGTTGAGTTGGAGAACATTGGAACATTGGTGTTGGGAGGGGTGAAGGAGTGGCGCGGGTGGTGCTTGGTTGTTGGCGTCGTGGATCTAACGCATGAACGCATGCCCATGCCCGCACGCAGCAAAAGGCCCAGCTCCTCCCCCCTCCACAACTCCGCCGCCCATTCTTTCATAGACCAAGGAGACGCTCCCTCGCCAAGACGCTCGGACCAACCAACTCGTGTGCTGCCCTCAAATAATTTCTCTTTCCTTCACGGTTGCTCTCCATCTGCATCTTCGGCGCAACCTCCCATCTTCATTGTCCAGCCCCTGCGCATTGTGACCTACCCCCCCATCACAACCCATCGACTTTCATCACTACGCGACGTCGGGTAAGAAGCACGTAGCCTCTGGCCCACATTTACGCGAAGAACGCGTCGCCGTCTGCCTCTTTGCACGCCAAACAGCTCCATCAGTCGCGTGCTGACATCACATCGCCACCTCGCGACACCATGTCTGGCAAGAACGGTCACGCCACACCCCCAGCCGAGGGCGCGACTCCTGCTGTAGAGACTAAGGACGACGCGACCAAGAAAGATGCTGTCGATACTGAGATGAAGGAGGCTCCTGCCGCCGAGTCCAAGGCCGCCGTCGAGTCCAGGGCTGAGCCTGCCGCCGCTGCGGATTCGACAAAAGAAGCTGAAAAGCCCGCCGAAGGTAACACCTCCCGCCTACACACCACATCATCGCGCGTGTTCAATACAATTCCTTTTACTAACTTTTCCTACTCCTCCCGTGCAGCATCCAGCGAGAAGCCCGCCGAGCAAACCGAAGATAACAAGTCCGACGTCGAGATGGCAGACGCTGCTGCCCCAGTTGAACCTGCGCCGGAGGGTGCTGACGCCGGCGCATCTGCGGGGGCAGATCAAGCCGACCAAGCTGCCGCCGACGCTGCCGACGCCGCCAGTGGCGATGCTGACAAGTCCAAATCGCGACGCAAGTCAATTGGCGGCGGCGCGGCGAAGGGCAAGAAGCTGAACAAGAAGGCCTCGAAGCCGCGCATGCTGAACCTAGATGCGGAGCCTGGGGACCACTACTTCGTCAAGCTCAAGGGCTTCCCTCAATGGCCCGTCATTATCTGCGACGAGGACATGCTACCGGCATCGCTACTCAAATCTCGGCCCGTCACGGCGAAGCGCGCCGATGGCACCTACCGCGAGGACTACGCCGACGGGGGCAAGAACGTCGCCGACCGGACATTCCCCGTCATGTACCTACACACCAACGAATTGTGAGTGCCGCTTCTCCGTTTGCCCCTCGCATCGGTCTTCTCCGGCGCGGTCCTTGCAGGCTCTCGATGCTAACCTAGACCTCCAGCGGCTGGGTGCCGAATACCGAGCTGATCAAGCTTGATCCCGAGACGGTCCTCGACGTCAAGTTAGACAAGATGAGGAAGACGCTGCAGGCTGCGCATCACTTGGCGTCGGAGAACCACCCGCTGTCATACTACAAGGAGGTCCTCCAAAACTACCAGGAAGAGCTTATCGAGCAGGAGAAGGCCAAGGCGGCCAAGGCGGCTACACCGAAGGGCAAGAAGTCTAAGGCTCTCAGCGAGGATGACGACGATGTGGATATGGAGGATGCACCCGATGTTGACGAGACGCCGGCCAAGGACAAGAAGGCTAAAAAGAGGAAGGCTGAGGACAGCGCCGAGGTGAGTTTTTTTAGTGTCAAGAATCATGCACAGCCGTTAACCTCAGCAGACACCGCGGCGTTCCGACTCGGTCAAAAAGCCCAAGATCAAGCTCACAACGAGCGCCACGCCCAAGACAGCTAACGGTGCGACGGCCACTCCGAAATCGACCAAGGCGACCGACGCCAAGAGCTCAAAGTCCAAGTCGAAGAAGAAGGATGCAGATGATAAGGACGCCGAGGAGGCGGCGGCAGCCAAGGAGACAGAACAACTCTCGGCTGAGGATAAGCACACCAGGAAGTCGGTATGTTTGACGGGCACTTGCGAGACTGGGAATGAGACGAGGCGACTGACACAGCGTATAGAAAGAGGTTCTGTTCCTCCGGCACAAGATTCAGAAGGGTCTCCTTACGAGGGACCAAGAGCCCAAGGAGGACGAGATGAAGCTTATGTCGGACTACATTACGAAGCTTGAGGGATTCCCAGACCTGGAAGTTAGCATCATCCGGTTCAACCAAGATTAACAAGGTGCTCAAGGCAATCTTGAAGCTGGAGACATTTCTGAAGAGGGACGAGTTCAAGTCTCAGCCGCGCTCGCAGGTCTTGCTGGATAAGTGGAACAAGCTGCTGGCTGTCGACGGGACACCGACAGCGCCCGCCGCCGAGGTTAACGGCACGTCCAAGGCGTCCGCGAAGGCTAATGGCGTCAGCAAAAAGAGCGAGCCCGCCAAGGAAGACGCCAAGGAGGCGGCCAAGTCTGAAGAGCCGGCGTCCGAAGCTGGCGAGGAGAAGGCAGCTGTTGAAGAGGTAAGGCTCTGATGTCCATCTGCCTCACTAGCATCTTCCGCTCACCCATCCCAAGGACAAGGCTGCCGAAGCTGTCGAGGCGTCCGCATAGAAGTGTCAAATTCGCTTTGTTCGCCTTTGGTTGCACTTTAGGTTGGAGAATTGGAATTGGAACCAGGCTCTATCTCGGCGTGCCAGCAAGGGCGATCCCCCCGTTTCTCCCCGAGCTCGAGCCAGTTCGGCGTCGGCTAGCCCAGCCAACAAACCAACAACAGCTAGAGGGCGGGAAACCGGCCAGGCACTTGATTGAAAAAACCTGGGGCTTTTGTAAAACTAGGAAGGACTCATCCATCCGTCCATCATCGACTTTCCTTTTTTTGCACATGGGCAGTTCTTTTGCGTCGGAATCCGGGTCTGGGGCGGGTGTTCTGGTTCAATCAAATACAGGCGTCCGTGTTTTTTTCTTTCCTTTTCTATCCATTGTTCTTTTTCATCTTTGTCCCGCCGTTCCTTTTTTGACTCCCTTGGGACATGCCTGTCATTCCTTTTTGGGGGCTTGTTCTGGTCTGTTCCCGATGTCGAGGAGTGAGTGAGCGAGTGAGCGTTAGATAGGGACCGAGGGGGGAGTGTATAAAAACACGATAGTGACAACAGCAGCAGTGGTGGCATCGTGCCTTTTACGAAGTTGAGTTGGCTGTAGAACCGGCGAGATCGGGGACCAACTTGGCTTTGTTGGTTGTTTGCGGGTTGGTTGGTGCTGGGGCGAGGGGGGCTTTCCTTGTGTGCTTTTTTTGCTTTCTCTCGAGATGTCTAACCAGGTGGCTACTGCGTCTCGTGTCTGCTTGCTTACCTTAGTTGGCCGGCTGGAAGAATAAGAGGGCAGGTCATGGGAGGAAGAGAAAGAGGGTGATGGGTGGCTTAAAATAAGTAGGCGCTGCGTGGGCAGGTTAGTTGGCAGCCAGCCAGCCAGTCGGTTAGTATGTTGTAGATTGCTGGCGATCGTGTTAAGCTGGATAATGAATACCTTTTGTGATTTTGGAACTCTTAGGCCGACGTAGTATTATTCAAGTAAGTCATCAATTCCTGAAGACGCAACCGGAAGGCACCAGTAGAATGACTCGTAATGGTGATGGGAGCTGCTGGAAGGTGCCCCTTGTGCTTTGAGGACAACGCCACAGCGTAGGGAGCAAATTGTGGCGCAGTTGAAGGGTAAACAGTGGCTAGTGACAGAGGATCGCGTGAACCTTCAACACTCAACACGTAGCAGCGATCCATCAACGCAACACATCAAGATGGCTGAAATCGAGGATAGTAACGTGTCATTTGAAGAGGATGATTACAGGGTAACTTACCCCAACCTTCATCCCACCGCGTTCGTATATCACGACAAGCACTAACTCCTCCCAACAGGCGGCCTTCATCTTCAATGCCACCTCTGGAGACAGCACCAGTAGTAGCAAGCCAGCTGCTCGTCCGACTAAGAGACGGAAGGTAGTCAAGGCAGATGGGCCAATGTCGAAGGAGGAGCTGGGAACCGGACCTGGATTCCCTCCGCTCTTCAATGGCGCTGAGAGCCCCGATGCAGTTCGCCTGCGGAGGGAGCTCTTCGAGACGGCGTGGCCGGTTCTGGAGGGTCGCATTCAGGTTAGATGACACCTGCTCATGTAGTTATTATTTTCTAACGCTCTGCAGCACGTCCTGAGGGAAGCCAACCGCACCACCCTCGACCAGGTCTCGTCGTTCTTGCAGCAGGCGGCCGAGGTTGAGACGTAGGTCATGATGCGTTGAATCTAGCCGATGGGAAAAACTCACTAACTTGGCATGTGTAGAGAGAGAATCCCGGCGGGCTTCATCATCACCGGCCCGAATATCGCCTCCCAGGACCTCCTGTTTGAGCAGCTGGCCGAGCAGCTCTGCACAGCAACTCGGGCGCGCTTTGTCCGGCTGCGGGCATCAGAGGCGCCAAATCTCAAGGCCGCCCTAAAGAAGATTATCCGGGATGCCACGGCGAGGACGACTGATGGGGACGAGGATGTGGATGAGGTTATGCAGAGTGTGAGTTTCTTCTGGTCTAAGTAAGGGAGTGGAAGGAAACAATCGCTGACTTGTGCAGGGGAGGAAATACCTCGATTATGACCTCGAATCGCTGCACGTGTTTCTGAACCAGCAGCAGCAGTCAAAGCGGGTTGTTGTGGCGTTCCAGGACAGCGAGGCGTTTGAGAGCGGTCTGTTGACCGACTTGATCACGCTCTTCCAGTACGTCCATGTCTATGTTATCAAGGGAGAGTTTTAACTGGAGAGTTTTAACTGACTTTGAGCAACTAGCTCCTGGCGTGGCCGCATTCAGTTTGACCTGCTATTTGGCGTCGCCACTTCTGTCGAGCTGTTCCAGGCCCGCCTACTCAAATCCACCGCCCGCCAGCTCTACGGCGCCCAGTTCGACGTCGTCCAGGCCAACTCTGTCCTCGATAGTGTCATCAAGAGCGCCGTTGCCGGGACCCAAGCCAAGCTCCGAATCGGGCCGTTGCTACTCCGGAGTTTGGTGGAGCGCCAGCAGGACCAGGTTGCCGGCATACAAGTGTTTATCAGTTCGCTAAAATACGCCTACATGTGTCACTTCTACGCGAACCCGCTCAGTGTGTTGCTTGCGGGCGGTGACAACCTGAACCGCAAACTTCTGCAGCCAGAACATATCGAAGCTGTCCGGACTCTCGACTCCTTCAAAGCCGAGGCCGAGGCTGCGGTCGACGCGAGACAGCTGAACCACGCGCAATTCTTGATTGAGAACGATGAGTTTTTGGTTGCACAAATTCTTGAACAGGAGGAGAAGCGGCAGGCGTACCTACTGCATCTCCTCCGCGCCCTGCATCTGCTGACTTCTGCCGGCCTGACCTCGACTTCTTTCGCCGACCTCTACATCCTCGCTCTCGGTGACGGTATCAATATCGAGCAATCCTTCGGGACTTTACCTCTGGAGGACGCCGTGAAGCGGTTGGACCCGAACGAGTTCCTTTCGATCGCCGACCGCGTGCTAGCTGCCGTTAGAACCGGCAACCCAGACCTCGGTCTAAGCGGCTGGGAGTCAGATGCTGAGGAGTTTGTGGCCGCGTTAACAGACATTCGAGACGAAGTTGACGGCCTGGTGGCGCGCTCTAAGGAAAACCGCCAAGCCCTCAAAAGCAAATACAGCGCTCAAAGCAGGGTCATGCGCACCACAGTCGTTGCGCAGAAAGTCCAGCTCAGCCAGGACTCCGCAACTCTAACCGAAGAGGACAAAGCATTCACCAACGCCATCGACGCTTTGTTGGGCCTCTTGTCGCGGACCTTACAATGCGACCCCGTCGACAATCTCTTTCTTCACGAGGTCTGGGTCTTCGATTCCAAGTCGCCCTACCGCGACGTCTTTGTCCCCCGGCCGGCCGCCACCTTCGGCCGCGCCCTCTCCCGCCCGCACGACTACCTCGCGTGTTCGTGCTGCGGCGGAGCCAACGGCGGGCTCGCGTCGACGTTGCCCGCCACGGCCATCCTCTACCACCTCTATCTGGAGGCTGGCGCGCTCATCAACGTGGCCGATCTGTGGTCGGCCTACTACGCGCTTGTGGGCGAAGAGTCCGACGTCGGCATGGACGAGCGGTCGGCTCTCGTCTGCTTCTACCGCGCCCTGGCGGAGCTGCGGATGATGGGCTTTGTGAAGCAGAGCAAAAAGAAGGCCGATCACGTTGCTAAGTTGAAGTGGCTGTAGGCCAACCGGATCCGGATCCGGGTTCCCGACAATTTCCTCGGCGAGGAGAATGCATTGTTGGTGGTTGAGAGCGGCGGGGGGTTCTTTTTGGAATGCCCCTTCATACCCCGTGCTAGACAATGTCTTGGTTGTTCTCAGAGTGGTCAAAGGCGGGGCCGGGGGGCTAAAGATGTCTCGCGCGCCCAAGATAGCAGCAGCTCGACAAAGGTGTGGGTGAATGGATGTCCGATTTTGGAGAAAGGAGCGGTCTTCCAAAGGACTAGCATCCACTGTGGGAGCTTACAAGAGCACGAGACGTCCCCGGGAAGTTGGTGGTGGTTTCTGCTGATCAGAGTCATTCAGCATTCCATCCAACGAGAGCCACTCGTCTGTTGTCTGGAGACGACAGCCCAACTCCGGAAGAGACGATTATTTTCTGCTGCTGGCAGCATCTTTGTTAGAAGACCGGCTTCATCCAGCTACAGCTTTGTCACTTTCCACATCTCTTTCGGTCGGGGCTCATCCACGCAAGAAGCCTTTGCTTTTCCATCTTGAACGGATATCTTTACAATAATATTTCATTTCACCTGCTCTTGTCACTCAGACTACAGCTTGGATACCAAACAACCCCGAGTTGAATCAAACCAAACCACCACACCACACCACTTGATACATCGCCAGCACTACCCAGCCAAAATGGAACACCCATGGCACCAGCAACCCACCACTCCCTCCGACGGCCTCCCACCTCCCACCCCCGGCAGCAACACCTCCCAAAACCCCCCACCGCTCCTGACCACCCGCACCGCCCTCACCAACACCACTACCACCGTCACCACCCACAGCCTTCGGCACGCGTCGCGCGGCCACCAACCCCGCCTTCTCCGCCAAGCTCGCGCAAATGTCCCTCCAGCTCGCGCCCCTCGTCCAGCTCACCACCGGCGCCATCCACCCGGCCTTCCCGCGCACGCTGCTCTGCTTCTGGCTGCTGACGGACGACCAGCTCGAGTCGCTCGCGCACTTCTACCACCAGCGCACGCCCTGCCGCTGGACGCGTCAGTACCCGTGCCCCGTGGCCTGGCCGCCGGGCCTGAGCCTGGAGGAGAAGAGGAGGAAGCTGGGGAGGTTTATCGGGCTGCGCGGGTGTGAGACGCCGATTGGGGAGTTGGTGGAGAGGGGGGTGCTGGAGGTGCTGGGGCGGTCGGAGGCGGAGATTTTGGAGGCGGCGAGGAGGGCGCGGGAGGAGGGTTGGGGTGCTGGTGGTGAGGGGGGGGATGAGGTGGAGGAGGTCAGGAGGAAGATGGGGTGGCATTGAGGGCTGGTTGGTTTTGAAGTGTTGGTTTTTTTTTTGTGTGGTTTCTTTGTTTGCATGGATAGCATCTTGAAGCGAGCGCGGTTGTTGGATGCATGGTTATTGGTGTTGGCTGGTATTGGAAGGGAGACTGATTGATATTACTCGAACCAGAGTACATTCATAATTGAGGGCGGAATTTGACTAAACTACACTATTTGCCTCGACTACTTTGGGACTTGGAAGCAAGTCGTATCGAGGGTGTACTTGACAACATGAGCAAAACCATATACACTCTCAACGTGCACAGAAAGAAGCAAACATCCACCATGACCAACCATCTCTTTAAACAAATACGCACACCAGCAAATAACTACCGTCGTCGTTCAACCACGGAATGAAAACAATCCAAGGCAAAAACCCCCATGTCCCACCCAACGCCATGCACGATGCTGTCGACGGCCCAGGCACCCTAGTACTACCAACCAACAACCTCTTTTACTACTATACAGCGCCTCTCCTACAACCGAACGCGCGCTCGCCCGGCCCGGCGGCCCCCCGCCAAACTCTATTTCTTGCCGCCCTGCTTCTTCTTCTTGGAAGCCCCCGAGGGGGAGGCGGCCGACGGGGTGTCCGTCTCCACCAGGACGGGCTCGTCCTCGCTGCCGGCCACGCTGGACTTGCTGTTGGCCTGGCCCTTCTCGGACCCCTCGTGGTCCTGGCCCTCCTCCGCCCCGGCCTCGGCCTCCAGCTCCTTCATGAACTCCGTCTTGATGTTGCTCCGCCGCTTCTCCCACCACTCCTTGTCCTTCTCCGTCTGCGCCTCGATCTCGTCGATCCGGTCCCGCAACGCCTTGTTGGCCGCGATCTCGTTGGCCGATTGGAAGATTATTTGGCCCCAGTTCGGGACGAGCGCGTTGGCCTGTTGGGGGTTGTTTTGTTAGATGGGGGTTTTGTATGGGGTGGGAATTGGGGCTAGAATTGGAGCTGGCCGTACCTCCATCACGACATCCCGCAGCTCCTCCTCCATCTCCTTCTCGGCGCGCTGAAACCGTTGCCATAGGTCATCGCCGACGCTCCCCCGCTGCAGCAATGAGCTGCAGGCTTGCTTGGCGGTACGGATCTGGATGATGCGGTGGATGTCCTCAACGGCGCGCCTGAGAAGCGCGGCCCGGATGACGCTGTCGGGGACCTTGGGCGTCTTCTCGGACCCCTCCTCGGGCTCCATGTGCAGCAGCGACAGGTAGATGTTGCGTTGGAGATGCGGCCCGAACCATGGCGCGAGGTTAGCGCTCTCGACTAGAGAAGGAGATTGTCAGTTTTGTTTCATAGCCAGTGATGGAATTGCCCACAACGGACAATCGAGTCAGAACATACAGGCTTTCCTCTTGCGGTAGACTCGCGAGAAAGTCATGAAAGTGCCAACCAGCACCCCCAGGTACGCCAGGGGCAGCAGCAGCCCCCGCCAATCGATGTCGAACATGGCACTTCTGGAGTATTCCCTGAACTGGGAGGAAGGACGCGGTCTGAATTGTCGGGGTTTGGAACCGTGTCGCGAAGCACAAGGGTGAAGATTTGGCTGCGTGGTTGAGAAGGTCTGTGTGCTGTGCAACTGTCAACTGTAAAGGTGGCCTGCATGTGCCCTGCCGAACAAGGCAAGGCCCGAAAGAACAGCTTGACAACTTTCGAGTCTTGGCGACCGACAACTCGACAAGGGGCCAAGGGACAGTTGCCGCTGGGCCAAGTCGGCTGATATGACTGATATGACTGTATCGAGGGATCCCCCACGATATGCACTTATCACGCTATGAGTTCGAGCACAGCTGAGGGTGGGGCGGAGGGGCAGCTCTATCCAGGCAGCTTGCATGACGAAGGCGTTCTAATGTTCGTCACCTTACTTAGCTCTACATTAAGTTTCAACAAATTATTTGAACACAGGACCTAGCACTGCCCGAGAGATCTACACTATCCATTTTCTCAGGCAATAAAAAGCTAGAGCGCAAAGTCTCGGCACAAACTATTGACCAAGTGAACCAACTATTACCGTTCCACCTTGGCCATGTTGCTACGATTGCGCTCCCCCGATGGCATGTTCCGCCTAACGGTGGAAAAGGACGATACATTTGGTGAAGTCGTTACCAAGGTACTCAACAGATAGTTGCTGTTGTTTCACCACCTCGAAGCTAACAGTCACAGCTTGTCCCACAGCTTCCCCCGACGGTCGATCCAAAAACCATCACCCTTTCGAACCATCCGAGCGGCGGTGATGCGAAGAAGATTAGTGAAATTTCTAAGTTTAAAATTACCCAGGTTGGGTTAAGGCATGGGCTCCCGCTCCTCTGGCGAGGCGTTGAGACGGCGCAATATGGATCACCGAGACTGACACACATCTGCGGGATAGCCACGGCGACCTGATCTTCGTCAGCTACCAACACCAAGAATCGGTGGCAAATGGCGATGTAGCAGGTGATGGCCAACCGACCTCGATCGAGTCATCCACAAACCGCCTCAACGGAAAACCGATTCTGCCGACCGAAGACCACCCGATCGACCCGCCGCCCAACACATCTGCCGAACGGATCAAGAACCCCTGGGAGGTAGTCAGGCAGTCTCCGCTGGACGATAGGCTAGACAGGCGAGATGGCAAGATTCCAAGGAAAAGGGATAATAAGATGTGCCGCCACGGGGCGAAGGGCATGTGCGACTACTGCATGCCCTTGGACCCTTTCAATGCCCAGTATCTCGAAGAGAAGAAGATCAAGTACATGTCGGTACACGCCTACATGCGGAAGACCAACTCGGCCACAAACAAGCCAGAGCTCGGGAGCTCCTTTATTCCTCCACTCGTCGAGCCCTACTACCGGGTGAAGCGCGACTGTCCCTCGGGACATCCCGAGTGGCCCGAAGGCATCTGTACAAAGTGCCAGCCGAGCGCTATCACACTTCAGCCACAGCCGTTTCGTATGGTCGATCACGTCGAGTTCGCCTCACCGCCGATTATCGATAAGTTCCTCGACGCCTGGCGACGGACTGGATCGCAACGCCTAGGCATCCTTTACGGCAAATACATGGAATACGATGTGGTGCCGCTTGGTATCAAGGCTGTGGTTGAGGCTATCTACGAACCCCCCCAGGTTGACGAGGTGGACGGTGTTTCGCTCAACCCCTGGGAGAATCAGGAAGAGATCAATACCATTGCTAGGTACTGCGGGTTAGAACAGGTCGGCGTGATCTGGACGGATCTCGTCGACGCGGGAATGGGAGACGGCACTGCCGTGTGCAAGCGCCACGCAGACTCCTATTTCCTCGCTTCTCAGGAGGTTGTATTTGCTGCGAGGATGCAAGCCCAGCATCCCAAGCCGAGCAAATGGAGCGACACCGGCCGGTTCGGCTCCAACTTTGTCACCTGCATTATCTCGGGCAATGAGAAGGGCGAGATTTCCATCTCGGCGTACCAGATGTCGAATGACGCTGTCGAGATGGTTCGGGCAGACATTGTTGAGCCCTCGGCTGACCCCACCCAGATGCTCGTTCGCGATGAAGAAGAAGACGACGGCTCGCCGAGCAGGACGCGGTACATCCCGGAGGTGTTCTACCGGCGAATCAATGAGTACGGCGCCAATGTGCAGGAGAACGCAAAGCCAGCGTTCCCGGTCGAATACCTCTTCGTCACCCTCACCCACGGGTTTCCCGAGGCGCCGAAACCAGTCTTCAATAACATCACGTTCCCCATTGAAAACAGAGAGTACGTTGGCGAGGCTCAGGAAGTTTCGGCCGTCGCCAAGGCGTTGCGGGTCAACCAAAAGGACGACAGCATTAACGTTTCTGACTTTCACCTCCTCTGCTACATCCACGCGATGGGTGTTCTAGCCAAGGTATGCACGCAACTACCCCCCCGCACAAGCACCTACCCCTTACTAACGTCAACCCCCTCCACCCAGGAAGAAGAAGCCCTCCTCTGTCGGGTCGCTACCCAGAACGACCTGGCCGAGTCCTTCCAGCTGCGGTCGACCACGGGGTGGCAGACGCTGCACATGATCCTGCAATCCACTGGTGAGAGACTTCCCAAGCGGCCCCGGCAGTCCGAGGACGCCGGTAACGGGGCCGGCGCTTTTTCTTATCCCAATGATGGCGACGCCCGAGAACCCCTTGCTAAGCGCTTTGCTGCTGTCAGGCTGAACGGATCCCGCCGCGACGACCACCCGGCCTAGGTTGATCGGCTCGGGCACATGCATACATACATACATATGCGACGAGGACCGGTTTGGACCATGGAGGATCGTTTGCTTACGGTCGGGCTCGGGCTCGGGCATGCTCGGAATGAGGCAGGGTTTTTTTATGGCTTAGAGGATAGGGATCGACATGGCGAGGAGGGGGGGCTAGGATGGATAATGCAGGTTTGGAGTTGGGTTGTGTCTGGGTAATAGACAGCAATTGCACAGAACTGGGTGGCTACTTCCATACTTAGTGGGTGCATCCGGAAACCCACGGATGATAACAGGCTCCTTTTCACGAAACGAACCATGATTTCAATTGTTGGCTCCTTATATGTGATCGATGGCTTGCGTCCAATGCTGTTTCAACGATCAAGTAAGCGAACTCGAGGACATATCTTGATTCACACAAGAGGGTATCTGCTATCCAACAACACACATTCCAACCATATCCCATGATCCATCCATCCCTATTTTGGACATCAACCACCGTGATGAACAACCGATATAGCAGCGCACTCAAGCCCTTCATCAAAACGTGTTGCTAGGAAGCTCGCCGAAATGAATTATATGAGACAGACCAGAAAGTTAAAAGCAGATCAATGCCCATCCATCCCCGCTATGGATCCAAAGCCCTCAAAAACGCCCCTGACTGTCTTTTTTTGTAATCGAAACAACCCCAGCATAAGCTGGCCTGGTAGAGAGAAGAAGGTATCAAGTGGTATATGTATTTACAGGGGCTTGCCGCCAATGAACTCGGACCACCTGCGCACCTCGGAGGGGATGCCCTCGGGGCGAGGGAGCTTCTCGCTCATACACTGGGCGAAGAGCATGGCAGTCTGCGGTGGACGGTTAGCTGTGTCACGACAAATGCGAGGAATTAGGGGAGGATGGGACTAACCTGAGGCTCCATGAATAGCGGGACGCCAAAGTCGACGGCGTTGCGGCGCATGACGTAGTCGACGTCCATGATGGTCTTGCCGCGGGCCTGGGCCAGGTTGAAGACGCCCTTGATGTCGTACTTCTTGAACACCTCACGGAGGGCACGCTTGTCTTCCTTGGGGAACTCAATCACCTCGACATTGAGCTTGTGCTTGCTCGTCGACTCGAGGAACTGCTTGACCTCTGCGTCGGCAGCGTACAGCTTGTAGCCGAGAGGAGCGAGGTAGTCCACAACAGTGGTCAGCCAGCTCTTGCCCAGCTCGCCGCCAAAGAGGATACCCTCGCCAGGCTCGGGCACACGGAAGTTCATGGCTGACTGCAGCGAAGACCAGTAGGCCTCGACCAAGTTCTTGCCGAAGCAAGCCATCTCGCCAGTCGACGACATCTCGACACCGAGGAAGGGATCGGCACCGGCCAGACGGGTCCACGAGAACTGCGGCACCTTGGTCGCGAGGTAATCACGCTTGACGGCCATCAGGTCGGTCGGTTCAGGCACGTTCTTGCCGACCAGAGCCTTGGTGGCAACGTCGATGAAGTTGGTACCGAGAACCTTGCTCACGAAGGGGAAGGAGCGCGAAGCACGCAGGTTGCACTCGATAACCTTCAACGCCGGCAGACCGCCGTTAGGGTCGTCGACCTTGATAATTTGCATGTTGAACGGTCCGGTGATCTGCAGAGCCTGGGCGATCTTCTGAGCAATCTCCTTGACGCGCTGCATCGTGGACTCGTCCAGCTTCGCGGGCGGGAGAACCAGGGTGGCATCGCCAGAGTGGACACCGGCCTGCTCGACGTGTTCACTAACGGCGTGGACGATCAAGTTGCCCTCGGACGCGACACCGTCGAGGTCGATTTCCTCGGCGCCCTCAATGAACTTGCTGATAACCACGGGGTGGTCGGGCGAGACGTTGGAAGCCGCCTCCAGCTTGTCCTTCAGCTCGTCCTTGCTGCGAATAACAGTCATGGCAGCGCCAGACAGCACGTAGCTGGGACGGACAAGAACGGGGTAGCTGACCTGGTCGGCAAACTCCTCAGCGGCCTTGACCGAGGTGAGCTCCTTCCACGCCGGCTGGTCAACACCGATGCTGTCGAGAATCTCGGAGAACTTCTGCCTGTCCTCGGCCTTGTCAATGTTGCGAGGGTCCGTTCCGAGGACCTTGGCGCCCCCTGCCTCCTGCAGACGGAGGGCAATGTTCTGGGGTAGCTGGCCGCCCACAGACACCACAACACCGTTGGCGTTCTCCAACTCGTAGATATCCATAACACGCTCATAGCTCAACTCCTCGAAATAGAGTTTATCCGCCGTATCGAAATCAGTGGAATAGGTCTCCGGGTTGTACTATTAATGCGGGTGTTAGTATCAAAACTGTTCACATTGTACGTCGAAAACGAGCAAGAAAAAGAAAGAAAGAAAGGGAAAAAAAAAGGAAAAAAAAAAAAAGAAAAAAAAAGTATTATAAAAAGGGGAGTTTGTTTTAGTAAGATAAAAGTTAAGAGATTTCACTTCTCATCATCTCTCATCTTCTCGCGAACTAAACGGATGAGAAGGACCAACAAGTAGATCAAGAGAAAATAATAGGCAAGCGAGAAAAGAAGAGAAACAGAGGCAGTGATCAAGACGACGGCGACGCCGGCGAAGGTGAGAAAAACGAGGAGGTGGACGTTAAAGACGAGGAATGCAGCGAACCAGACCGCAAAGATGGGACCGAGAAAAAAGACGGATTGGCGTGGTGGTGGTGTACTTACGTTAATCATAACCGTCTTCTCGCCCATCTCCCGCAGGGCGAGGGTGGCGCTGACGGCACACCAGTCAAACTCGACAGAGCTACCGATACGGTAGACGCCGCTGCCCAAGATGACAGTGCCCTTGTCCTCGAAGGTAACATCGTGAGACGAGGCGTTGTAAGTGGTGTAGAGGTAGTTGGTGTCGGCAGGGAACTCGGCCGCAAGCGTATCAATCTTCTTGACCCAAGGGCGGATGCCGAACTCAGACCTGCGGGCGCGGACCTCGTCCTCGGTGCTGTTAACGGCCTGAGCAATCTGCTTATCGGAAAAGCCCATCTTCTTGGCCTTGAGGATGTGCTCCTTCTTGAGGCCGCGAAGGCTGCCAACCTGCTGCAGCTCCTTGGTGCAGTCCACGATGTTCTGCAGCTTGTACAAGAACCACTTGTCAATCTTGGTGAGGTCGTGGACGCGGTCGACAGTGTAGTTCTCGTGGAGCATAGCCTGGCCGACGGCCAACCAGCGACGGTCGGTGGGGTTCTGGAGCTCGTAGTCGAGATCCTCAAACTTCTCGCCCTGGAAGCCGACGAACCTGGGGTCAACCTGCCGGATGGCCTTCTGGAAAGACTCCTCGAAGGTACGGCCGATGGCCATAACCTCGCCCACAGACTTCATGGCGCTGCCAATGTCCCGCTTCACGTGCTGGAACTTGGACAGATCCCATCTGGGAATCTTGGTGACGATGTAATCGAGCGAAGGCTCGAAGTTGGCGGTCGTCGTCTTGGTGACAGCGTTGGGGAGCTCGGGAAGGGTGTGGCCCAGGCCAATCTTGGCAGCGGTGTATGCCAAGGGGTAACCGGTAGCCTTGGAGGCCAGAGCGGACGAGCGGGAAAGACGGGCGTTGACCTCGATGACGCGGTAGTCGAGGCCATCGGGCTGGAGGGCATACTGGACGTTGCACTCGCCAACGACGCCCAAGTGCCTGACAATCTTGATGGCAGCGGAGCGCAGCATGTGGTACTCTTCATCGCTCAGGGTTTGACTGGGCGCAACGACAATGGAGTCACCCGTATGGATACCCAACGGGTCAAAGTTCTCCATGTTGCAGACTGTGATGCAGTTGTTATTCGCATCCCGGACAACCTCGTACTCGACCTCCTTCCAGCCCTTGAGCGACTTCTCGACCAAGATCTGGGGTGAGAGAGTAAGCGACCGGGCAGCCATGTTGCGCAGCTCCTCCTCGTTGTTCGCGAAGCCGGAGCCCAAACCGCCGAGCGCATAGGCAGCGCGGACGATGATGGGATAGCCGATCTTGTTAGCGGCCTCGAGAGCCTCGTCGACCGTGTTGACGGCAATGGACTTGGCGATAGGGATGTTGATCTCGTCAAGGGCCTTTGCGAACAGGTCTCTGTCCTCGCTGAGTTCTAGTGTCCTGACGCTGGTACCGAGGACCCGGACGCCGTATTTCTCGAACAGGCCGAGCTTCTGCATCTGGACACCGAGGTTGAGGGCCGTCTGGCCACCGAAGGAGAGGAAGATGCCATCGGGCTTTTCCTTCTGGATCACATACTCGACGTACTCGGGGGTGACGGGGAGGTAGTACACTTCATCGGCGAGGGTGTGGTTCGTTTGGATGGTAGCGATGTTGGGGTTGATAAGCACAGAGGCCACGCCAGCCTCTTTGAGGGCCTTGAGGGCTTGCGATCCTATATGGGTAGGCCATGGTCAGCTTCGAGTTTCCCTCAACCCGTCCTCGGGTGACTCATTGTTCACCGCCCTGAACTATTGCCATGTGCTCTCGTGACAACATACCTGAGTAGTCGAACTCTCCGGCTTGGCCAATGGCAAGACCACCGCTGCCAATGACGAGAACCTTCTTGACGTCGACGTGCTCCTTGGGTTTTACCACTCCGCTCGCGAGGTAAGCCTTCGGATCCGGAGCGGGTTGCGCCGCGCCGGCACTCGCGAGGGCCCTGGAAGCAGAGAACAGGCGTTTTTGGCTCAACCGAGCGGTGATAGTAGACTCGGCTTGTGTGCGGAAGAGGCCATTTTGGGTGCCAGCGGTCAGGGACCTCAGTTGAGAGGACGTGACTGGGATGCGGCGACCATGACGGAGGACGGCAGGAGCGCGGCCCGCCTTGCACACGGCCGACAACATAATTCGGAGGAAGCGACTGCGGAAGCGGAGGCGCTTGTTCAGTTAGGAACCCGCTTCAAGGTCGCAGGCAGCACTCCAGTCCTTCGTTTTTGTCAATTGACAGTGTCGCGTGTCTTCTGGGCCACTTTGGGTATTATGCAGCGGGGGAAAAGAAGTGGAAGATGGGAATGTGTGACGAAGTCGGGATGCGATTGTGCTGGGCCAAAAAAAAGAAGGCCGATCGGTCCCTGTGGGGAGAGATAAGCGATAAGCTGTGACTCTTCTTCCTCTCACAGACCTTTGCGCATCGACCCCAGCGCCCGCGCAAAATTTTCCGTGCTAATGGGAGAGGCCCGTCCGACGCCGGAGGAGAATGCGGTTGCTGAAAACAGTGAAACTGAGAACATGGTGTTTCAAACGCAACACTGAATTTGGTCTATATCGAGCTGTTGCTCCATCATTGTCATCAACTCAGTTCTGTTGTTCCATGTCACCTGCACAGAAAGTATCAGGTCCGCCGGTTCATGTGCATTATCGGGCCCTCTCCCGAATGGGATCTTCTATTCCTGAACAGAACCTCGTTGGGAGCCCGAAGCCAAGATTGTGAGCTGTAACTATTTATTGTGTAAGGATCTCATTCGGATGCTTGTTGAACCCCGCAACTTCACATCCAGCCCCGCAAAGTTTCCAGCTTGGGCAGCCGGAATGCTACCGAAACTGTCTGATTGGCCAATTCGGGCAGCCCCAACAAATGGTGACAGTTCTCTGTGGGAAAGGAAGCACGAGGGAGTCCGAGTAAAAATATGGCTGCAAAAACACTGCCATGGCTGAGCAGTGGCCATGAATGGATGCATTTTCTACAGAAGACAATGCTCGACCTCCAAGTTGAGAGAAAGACAAAGGCTCCTAATTTTAGAATATCCCTGGACGGGCATCGTGAGCGAACCGTGCGCTAACTAATAGCCTTTCGTTGGCCGGCGATGACTTCAGAAAAAAAGAAAAAAAGAATCCATCAAGGTGCACACGGAAAGTATGGAGACCCACTCCCAACCCTAACCCTCTGGTTTACATGCAGGTGACGACAATCGGGGGAAAGTTATCACGCCACAGCATCGTAGGAGCATCAACCTGGAGTGGCCGCCCGCAATCGTCAGTTTCGATGCATCGCTTGGCCGTACATTGTACGGCGCGAAAAACCACCAAAACATCATTTTATACCTGACAGCATTCTAATAAGCTGCAGAATCAACTATGTAAAGTTTGCGAAATTTACTCTAATTTCTTTTACCTCACCCCAACTGCGAGGCGAGCGATGAACGATGATGATCCGGGCCCGAGCTCCGCCGCCCGGGAGCTTCCGTCACGGCCCGATGGCGAGTACGACGCCGAGGAGCACGGCGTGCCTGGGCGCACCGAGGACGGGCGCGGCGATGGCCGGTTTGGCGAGGAGGAATTAGCGACGCGGCGTCAGGAGAAGCGTCGGGAGGGGTTGGCAAAGAAGCTCGAACTGGTCAGCCACCTGCAAAAGAACCTGGATATGATCGTCTTCGTTTACATCTGTACCTTGTATTATATGGAGTAAGTACCCTATGCGTATCGATCTTCGTCGTCCTTTCCCCAGGGAACCAACTTACTGACTAGCCTCCTCCTCTCCGCAGATGCTCCCTCGTCCGCTTCCTCCTTCGCCTTGCCCCGCACTACTCGTTCCTCACGCCCAAAGACGGGCTCCTCCTCCCCGCCGAACACCCACACATCTACACCATCTTCATCCCGAGCATGCTCTGCATCCTCGCGCACCTCTTCTTCAGCCTGCCCGAGGCCGGCGAAGCGACACGCGGCTACCTGCACGGCGGCGTCATCATCGACTTCATCGGCCAGAAGCCGCCGACCTCGAGGCTCGCCTTCCTGTGCTTTGACTTAGTCATCCTAGGCGCGCAGTGTCTGATGCTGGCCGTGCACCAGGAGCGCGAGGCGCTCAAGAAGGCCGTCTCGCCATCCATGCGTACCATCAGCGTGAACGAGGCGCAATCCGCGCAGCCGGCGGCGCAAACGACGCAGAGCCTTGACGCGGAGGAGCGCGGGGAGCTGAGGGACGAGACATATCTGGGGGAGGGCACGGGGACGGAAATGCAGCCGCTCTCCGGGAGCGGGCAGGCTCGAGGGGCCGGGAGCGCCTCGGCAGGGGCGGCGGACGATGAGCAGGCGGGGGACACATACTCGTCGGCGGCGGCGGGTGCAGATATGCTGGATATTATCAGCTCGGGCAATGCCGTGTTGGGGAACTTTCATGTCATTCACGCTGTTCAGGCGGTGGGCAACGGCTCGCAGGGTGCGGCCGCCTACTCGCTGCGGACGTTGGGATATAATGCCACGCTTGCCGCTCTTGCTGCAGAACGAAGGAGTAGACTTATTGCCAGGGGGCAGAGGTAGTAATAGTGCGCAAGAACATGTTCCCTGTGTATGCAGCTTCCTGAGGGTTTGATGTAGGCAGCCCCGCCTTAAATGAGCTTTGGTTTAGTATTCCCTATGCTACTTTCCTCCCGACATTACCAACGCCTGTCCCCTTAACAGATATTATCAAATCTCCCGCCCCATCATCGTCGCCAGCATCCCGTATCCCCCAACTGCTCGCCCCAAACTCCTTCAAATCCCTCGCCAGCCCTATTATCTCCTCCCTTGCCATCACCTCCCTCCCCAGCCTCAACCTCCCAACATCCTCAGCCCCCATCGCCATCAACGTAAGCACCGTCGGCGCCGCGGCGCCCGTCACACACCCTCCCTGCGCAATAACCTCAAGCAGCTGGTACGCGCACCTTGTGCCAATATCCTCGGGCACCACCCCGCCCTGGGGCGGCGCAACCTCGTCGGCCGCATAAATCACCCCATCGGCGCTCGACTCCGCCACCAGACTCAACCCAAACCCGATACCCAGCTTCCTCTTCTGGGCGCTGCCCTTTTCGCCAACCAGGGGCGCTGGGTCGTACTGGGCCGCAACATGCACATCCGAGACTAGCTGGTTCAACACACCCCTCGCAGCGGTGATCATACGATTGTTATGACTAGCCGACACGCCCGTACAATAAGCCACCCCGCGAATGCGACGGATACGTCCCGGCCGGCGGTTGAGGTGCAGGGTCTTGGGCAGGCGCACCTGGCTCGCAAAGCGCAACTCGACGAGACCACCACCTCCGCGGCCACCGGGGCCGGGGCAGGAGCGCGACAGCACGCGCAGCTCGATGCGCGCGGGCGGGATGCCGAAGAGCCCGTACAGCGGGAGGACGGCGGTGCGGAAGGTGTCGATGGAGAGGTCGCCCGTGGAGAAGGTGCCCGAGGTGATGACGCCCGGGCCGGAGAAGCGCACGTTCATGTGCGCTTTGGAGAAGGGCGCCAGCAGGGCGAGCGGGAGGAGGAAGTAGGTCACGCTGCGCGTGCAGGTGGCTGGGAGGACGTGCTCGATGGCGTCGCTGGCGAGGGCTGAGCCCGCCCCCGGGGTGGTGCCCGTGATGAGGCCGGGCTGGTAGGTTATGGTGGTGCCGCTGTACGAGACGTCGATGACGCTGCCGTTGGTGACAGCCTCGAGCAGGCGCAGGAAGGAGACCTCATGCGGGGCGAGGCCTGGGTTGGTTGGCGAGGCGGAGCGGATCTTGGAGATGTGGATGGGTCGGCCGGTAAGCGTGGAGAGGACGAGCCTCTGGGTGAAGGCGCGGTGGCCTGTGAATCGGAGGAATTCTGGTTTTGAGCCGGACATGGTTGTGGTGTTGGTGACTGATCAAAGTCAATCAGTCAATTCGCTGCGGAAGGGCTGCAGCTGATCGACTGGCCGCAGGTTTCCAGAAATTTTGGAGGGTCCGCTGGTTCTGCCGGGCGGTCAGGGCAGCCAAGACGCTTATCGAGAGAGTTGGCGCTTTGATAAGAGGTGTCTGGTGGAGGGTCTCCATAAAAAAAGACGCTGATGCGGGCAGGGGCAACGGTTCCGAATGGGTCTTGCAGGTTTAGATCAAGACTTTTGAACGAAGAGACAAACGAGAGACAGACAGGCCGACCCCGCCAATTATCACTTCCCGCCCTAGGTTGTTGTTATATCTGTTACATCCTCCCCCTCACTGATCGAATGCGTCAAGAGTAACCGCCGATGCCGCCTTGCCAATGCCACCTCGGACATTCGCCCTCGACCTCGGCAGCCGGTGTAGCAGTTATGTCTGCAAGTCGTGCCTTGACAGTTTACGACCCTTGAATACCACCTATCGGCCATGGCTTGCTAGACAATCATCATCAAGAAGCCTCGCCCGACGAACTCCACCACCGCCTCGCGCGCCCCGGCAGGACGAGGGTGCCCCGAACCCCGCAGAGCTTCAGCGCATCCTCACCGAGGAATTCGAACGCGGCCCCGAACCGCCCGCCTCAGACTCTACCGGTTTAGACGTCAAGTTCTTCGACCAGGAAGCCTCCGGGCAGATTCGGCGCCTGCGCGACGATGACGAATTTGGCGAGGTTGCCGGCGGCTTGGACTCCGAGATCGAGACAGCCATTAGCGGGCTCGAGAAGGATATGATCAACACCCTCAAGATGCTGCAGCGCATGGAGAAACAGGGCGGGAAAAGCGGGCAGGAAAGGGCAGACGCGTTGCGACGCCAATTCAAGAAGACGATCCGGGTGCAGTACAAGGGGAAAATGGGTCCAGAGGCAGAAGCATATGGGATGATGCGGATCCTGGGCTTCAGTGGGTTGCGCCAACGGCACGTGTACAACCTAAACACCTTCCTCGCCCGAGATAGCGTGGTCAAGGGCGGCATCCCAAGGCCCAAGGACCTGGCAGACTGCTGGAAGTATTACTCGGCGGCGAGGAAAAGCCTGTCGTCGGCCTGGCACAACGTGCCGCAGGAAGTGTGGAATTTCCTGTGGATGACTCTGTCATGGGAAGGGGAAGGCGTTGAGAACCCCAACCGCATGCAGCACATTTACATACTCGCAAGGGACATGCAGGCTGCCGGCGTGCCTTTGCGGGATTCGCAACAGCTTCTCGCCATAGAAGCCATGTTTATTGAGGGCTGGGAGGAGGAGGCCATCGAGGCTTGGAAGAAGGGCGTTGTCACGCTCGGGTCGCAGCCCGAGACCTTCAAAAAATACTGGGAGCTCGGCGTCCGTATGTACTGTTTGTACGGGGACACAGAACGGGCACAGAGAGCCGCCGACACCCTTCTTAAATCCTCGCAACCACCCGAGCCCCGCATTCTTCTCCCCATCATCCGGGCATTGGGGGCGACAAAGTCAACCCTTGAGCAGGCCTGGGAGACGTACACACAAATGCGCACTCTCCTTGGAGAGACCATGACGATCGAAGACTACGACGAGGTAATCACCGTGTTCCTCACGTCCGACTGCGTCGAGTATGCCCTACAGGTCTTCGTTGACATGATGTTCTCGCGCGCCATCGACGTCCGAGGGAAGATGAAGTTGCCCTTGGCAGTGGGCAACCACTTCTTCATCGGCAAGTGGCTGAAACGGCTCATCGGGGCAGGCGACCTGGAGGGCGCCTATAAAGTTGTCGTGTATGTACAGGACAAGGGGATAACCCCGGCGCCCATCCAACTCAACGGCCTCATCGGCGCCTGGTTGAGGTCAGGGTCGGCTGAGAACGTTGAGAAGGCCGAGGCCCTAGCATGGAGCATGATCCAGGTTCGTTTAGACTACGTCAAGTTGCGGGAGCAAGAGGGTATCATCAAGTTCCATACCGTCCCCGGCCCCTCCATTACCGAGCAAGCCGCCGTCGAGCGGCCAGAATTCATCTGCCGAACTCGCGCCACCGCCGAGACATTTTCCATCCTCGCAGAAAACTACTGCTCTCGCAGGCTTCACAGCCGCCTCCAGGAGCTCTTCGAGGTCCTCCAGCAAGCCAAGATCGGCCCGACCAGCTTCCTCATGAACCAGGTCATCCGGTCCTACTCGCAAAACGGCGACGCCGCCGAGGCCGTCAACCTCTACCGCGCCATGACCGAGGAGCAGCACATCCGGCCCGACGGGCACACCTTCCTCACCCTCTTCAACACCCTCTCGGTCAACCGCCTCATCCAGCGCGACCCCGACCTCGCCAAGCAGGACATCACCACGGCGCGGGCCTTCTTCCGCGACATGGTGCGCGCCGAGTGGACGTTCGACTCGCCCGACATCTTCGCGCAGCTGCCGCGCACCGTGCTCTTCAGCCTGCTCAAGGCCAAGGACTTCCGCGGCATGGTCGTGGCCGCGCGCGCCATGCAGGCCCTCTTCGCCTTCCACCCGCCCGAGGCCCTGCTCATCGAGATGGCCTCGGGCGCCGGGTCGCTGCAGGTCAAGACCAAGAGCAACATGGCGCGCCTGGTGGGCGGCCGCCGCACCATCGAGACGCTCATGAAGAAGCACCGCATGGAGCTGATCCGGCGCGGCCACCCGGGCGTCGAGATGACCGAGGAGGAAAAGATCGACGAGCTGCGCGACGTGCTCGAGAAGCTGATCTTGCTTCGGGCGGGCGCCCAGAACATGGACCCGGAAGAGGTGCGCCCGCTGCTGGAGGAGGCCGCCGAGGAGATGGGCGTGTACGATATTGTTGTCAAGAAGGACGCCGACGAGATCGCCAAGCACAGTAAGCTGGACAAGCAGATGGCTGGGCTGGGGCTGGGGCCCATGTAGATGTATGTATGTACAATAAAATGTATTATGGCCACTCCAATCGCGTACCATCGCATACGTTGAGATCAAACCCACCGCAGCAGACACGAGTTGAGGGGCAGCTGTTTCTTGTTCTCAGTGCAAAGGTTACTTCGACCTCTAAGTGCGGGCTCGCCCTTCCGCCACCCCATATATCTAGGACGACTGGCTGGGCGGTTTCTCGCATCCTGATAGACTCCCACTCCAGAGACCCGATCACTCAAACACACTCTGATACACCGTCACAGCCGCCAACCTTTCCCCACTGCCGTCCCACAGCGACTTACACGGCACGACCGGCCCAACCCCCTCACTACCGCCCGCCGTCAACACCGTCGCATCCACATAGCTCACTACAACCGCTAGCACCTCTTCACTAGATTCAGAACTAGAACCAGCCCTTCCCAACTGTTCCAACGCCCCCCTCGCAACATCACCATGCACCACCACACCACCACCACCACCACGACCCCCCTCCTCGCCGCCCCACCGTTCCGCCACAACCGTCTGCACAAACCGCACCCCGCGGCTTTCTCCCCCTCGTCCTCCCTCCCCCTCCCCATCTTCATCTCCACTCCCAAACCCAGACCCAGACCCAGACCCAGAAGCAGAGCCATCAACAACAACCTGCGCCACCGCCACCCCGGGGCACCCCGACGCACAACGGCGGACACGCACACTCCCCTCAGCAGCGCGCGCCACGCCCAAATGGGCATGCCACTCGACCCCGGCGGCGCGCGGGAGGGCGTCGACCTCAGCAACAAACAGCGGCGGCGTTACGGCCGGCGGTTCCCCGGACGGTGTGCGCGGGGTCGCAAGGACTGAGCGGTCGGGTAAGGATGGGATGGAAGAGGAGCTGGTGGTGCCGTCGCCGTTGGGACCCGAGGCAAAGGTCATGTAGGCTGGGTTGTAGCGGCGGTCCCAGAGGTCTGGGCCGTTTTCGTCATCGTCGTCGTCGTCGTCGCTGTTGGTGGGGTTGGGTGTGTGTGCTGCTGTCCAGGCTTGGGAGGCTAATATCGCTTTGGAGCGCATCTCGCTCTTCTTTTTCTCGCCGTCGTCTTCCACCGTCATGGGGAAGGGATGCCGGGAAGTAGGCCACGGCGCTGGTCCACCACTGTACACCCATCTCGATGCCTATTCTCCAGAGGTGCTGGAGGGAGAGAGAAAGTTGCAGCGGTAGTGTATCCTCTCTGCCGTTGTTGCTGCCGGCCGGCAGCGCCATGGTGGCGGGGATAAGTGGGATCTGGCCGGCGATGCTGACTAGTCTCACGCCGGAAGAAGCATCCAAATCACCAGATCCCCCGAGACTCGACACCGGGATGGAAATGGCCTGGCTATAAGGCCCGATGTTGGCGGGTGCCCAGTACGAGCGCGATTGCACGTGTAGGCCCTGGCGCTGGTTCGGCCGGAGGGCCGTGTGAACGGTCAGGTGGACGGTAATATTTGCGGCTGCAGCGTCGCCGCAGGAAATAGTAACTCTCGAGGGCGGGTTGGGTGCGTCGAATAGTGTGCCATAGACACTGTTAACGGCGGGAAAGTCGGCCATACGGCGGAGGATAACTGTGGCGCTGAGGAGGGCGGACGGCGGGAGGCCTTGTTGCTGGAGCCGCTCACGAACTTGCTCGACAATGGAATGAGTGTCTGCTTCCACGGAATCGGACTTGCTACCGACGAAAGACCACTGCTGAAGCCTTTCAGTCGTAGGCGGCTGAAGAGTCCCAGGCCGAGAGGGAAACTCGACCTCCCCATCCGGACTTGACTGGAGAGGGCCATCCGTGCCAGGCAAAGACAACGCATTCATCACGCCAACAAACTTGTCATCAAGCAGATCAGGCACCCTGACCCTCCCCCCAGCTGCACCTGTAGTACCCGACTCATCCCCTTTATCCTCCAACCTCGCATCCCGCAAGCTAAGCCAGGCACTCCCGCCACCCTCCCTAACCACACGCCGGTCCCCTTCATCAACCACAATCCGCTTCTTAAAAAGCGCGGCCGGCCCATCCAGCACAAGCGTCTCAAACTCGCCCCCTTCCCCGATCACGGCGCCCGTCTCAGCGGCCCCAAAGCGCCGCATCGCCCGAGCAATCCTGTTCTTGCCGAGCGGCGCTTGCAACATTGGTCCACAAGAAGGCATCATCCAGGCCGCCGCTCGCCACCTTGATGATGCGGGCCTCCACGCCCGCCGCCGCCATGTCATCGAGCAGCTGGGCATCAGACCCGGCGATGGGGTCCGCGGGGCCCGGCGGGGCCGGGAGCACGGGGTATTTCCATAGATAGGCCAGGGGAGTCAGCCCGAGGCGGGTTGCCACCGACTCGACGCGGGTGCGCTGGTAGGTGCTGAGGATGGCGCCGGCACAGAGGGCGTTGGCCTCCGGGTGCGCCTTCTTGATGGCCAGGAGCAGCGGGACCATGGACTCGGTCTCGTCGCCGCCAGCGCCCTCGGCCTCCTCCTCGCGGCCATGATCCAGCCCGGAAGCCCCACCCACCGAGCCTCCACCGGCGCCGGAGTTGTGCCCGGCGGCAGGGGTGGTTTGGCTGGTCCGGTGATGGGAATAGTCCTTTCCGTGCTGGGTAGCACCGCCGGTGATTGCCCGGCGGTATAGCGGGATGCCTGTAGCCTCGGCATAGAGAGGGATCACCTGGTGGCCCACCGTCTGGTACATGAAGCTGTTGAGGTCCCGTTCATCCTCATCTGCTTCGGGGACCATTTCATTTCCAGCCACCCCACCTTCATGACCCGGCACAACGGCGGCGGGGGGACGCCCACCCTTGTCCGAACCTTGGTGCAGCACACCGGCAGGGGTTGACATGAGTCCCGGGGCCGAGATGGCGGTACTGGCCGCTGGGGCAACGGAAGCTGTGGCGGCCAGGGTGTGTGAGGTATCATCGTGGGGCCCAGACAGCTGCTGTGGTAGTATCGGGTGCAAATTGGCGAGAGCAACGATGCGGTGCCCGTTGGCCTGGCAGTGGAGGAGTGAGAAAAAGCTGTCTTTGCCACCGGACACCAGGGCAATCACGTTCAGCCCGTCGGTCTGGTTGGACGCCATCGTGGCCTACCGTCAAGGTTCTTGGGCACTCCTCGTCGCTCCGCCACAGTGAGGAATAAACTCGCTAACAACCCGGAAGTTCCTGAACTGGCACGGCTGAAGCAGGGACACCCACACCGGGTCGTCCCGCGCGTGGAGACACGAGTGCTCGTTTCGACAAGCTATCAAACGATATTGGCAGATATTGGCTGAGCTCTTCCTTCGTGTCCTTTCCCTTCGTATGGAAAGCCCGGAATGTTCTTCACGAGTTCCACAACTGCCGACGAACAAATACGGTGGTTCGGCTAGATTGGCGAGTCATTAGTTCATGTAACCGGAAAACTGTTGCCGTTGAATGGTCTCGAATTTCTCATCTGGGGGTCAACCAAGGCCGAATATGGCAGACCATCGATTGATTTCGGTGGAGAGTTGCATGGGCCTTTGCGGCCGCTAGCACACCGTGGGAAGTGGGGCCGCTCCGGGCTCATGGTTCCATCTCCAACTGTCAGGGCACGCAGACAGAACAGAGGCCAGAGATGTAACCTGAGGAAAGTTAGAACTTCTGGGGGTCTAACTAGCCAATTTCCTCTGCCGGAGCCACCCGAGGCCACCGGTGTCTGTCGGTGACCATTGGACGTTCTTGGCTGTGACGAGACGTTTGGAAGAAAAAAAGTGGAATTGGAATGTTTGATTGTTTTGGGAAGAGAGAGCAAATGAGAGGATGCAAAAAAAGAACATGGGACCCGCATGAGAGTTTGCCATCAACGACACGAACGGGAAGACACCGTCTTGTCGGGCAGCTAAGTGCTTGCTGCTTCGAGACAGATCGTCCGGTCCGGCAGCCATGAGCCCCCAAACGTGGGCCGAAGGCAAGAGCAACACAGACCATTTTGAAAGATGGCGTTGCAAGTGACTGCCCCATGCAGAAGACTAAGCTCGTAGATCTGTCTCAGTGGCCCCATCGATCCACACGTGCCCAGACGGCGGGAGCCATTCAAGCCATTCAAGCCATTCAAGCCATTCAAGTCTGGATCCCATTGCCCAAGCCGTTGACGGTTAGTGATGAATGACAAAAGAAAGGTGTCAAACAACGGCAAAAGCGGAAAATGCGGCATGAGGAGTCCCTCCGGTGGCGCCCACTAAGGTAATTTGCCCATTTCATCACACATGGGAAAAGCATGAGTTATTGTGTGCACAAAAAGTAAAAAGTACTTGGTTGAATTGATGTACATTGTGTGCAATCCCATGTTTCAACACGCAAAGCTAGGAACCTATCTGTCTCGCCGATCTGTGACCTGCACATCACCCAACTCCATCCATACAATCCACCTTGATAGCTCACAATTCCGAGAGCTTGGGCAGCGAGAAGACAGCTAGTCGTTGAAAGGGGAAAACAAGTCCGCCTTGAAAAGCTAAACATACAACACCACCCCACACGGACTAACCCACCAAAAGGGACTGAGACCCTTCTTTTTTTCCCACCAGAAGAAAACTAAGCACTGAAAAGGTCAAGTTTGTCCCAGAGCCTTGGCGGGTTGAGCCTGTCGCTCCGCCTGTGCTGTACAATTACAACGAGTGTAGAGAACCCGAAACAGATATGGTAAAAGGGGGCTGGGGGCAGTGCAAATGACAAAAATATTGAAAAAGAACCCTGAAAACAACCGCTGCCCTCCCCTCCCGTCCTGTGTAGATCGATACCTTCCTCTCATGATGCGGCGGTGAGATGCCAGCAGAGTATGATGAGCCGAAACGGTGATGGTACAATGCGCAAGGAGTCGATGAAATATGCGCAAAATGCCGAAACAGAAATAGATGGACCTTTACTCGCTTTGCCTTGTGGTAAATTTTACCCCTGCCACCCCTACCAAGGGTGCAGTAAAGGCGCCGGCTGTGAAGGAAAAAAAAAAAAAAAAAAAAAAAAAACCAATTCCCTGGTCATGCCGGCGTTTCGAAATGGAGTGATCCCCCCTTTGTATGCTGATGACCTTTCCCACCGGTTGTGATGTGTTTACCATGCCCAGGCTGAAGTCATCATGGGTCGTCGTATCGGGCATCAATGGCGACGGCACGTTCCAAGTGCGTGAACCATGGCCATTGTGTGAAGAGTGTGCAAAGAAGCGAAGGTTGGCGTCCCGAAGCGGCGGAACGAGCTGTGCGCAGCTGACTGCTTTACTCGGACCGCTTGCGCTTCTTCTTGCCATTGTCGCTGCCCTCGTTCGAAGATGACTCGCTTTCGCTGCCGGGGATCTCGGAGGTGATCTGGAAGAGAACCTTGCCAAAGTGGGAGATCTCCTCCTCGGTCATGGGAGCCCCCACCATAGAGGAATGGGGGTAACCAGCCATACCCGCGCCCATAGCATCGGGATCGTCGATGAGGTTCATGACGATGGCGCCGGCACCGTGAGTGCGAGCATGCTGCGCGAGGTTGTCAGAGCGGGAGAACTTCTTACCGCAGTCGCCGCACTCGAACGGCTTGTCCTGGGTGTGCAGCGACCGGTAATGGCGCTTGAGGTGCTCCTGACGGCGGAACCGGCGGAAGCAGATCTCGCATCTGAATGTCTTGGAGGGATCCTCGGTCAGAGACTGCTTGCGTCCTCGACGGCTGGTGGGGGCGGCGACGGGAGCCGACCCGGCATTCTCGGAGCCCGAGTTCGACTCGGACTCATTCTTAGCCTCGGTGGTATTGCCCGTGCTACCCTCATTGCTGGGAGGAGATTGGGTCTGGGTGCTCCCCGATTGAGAATCAGCAGCGGTGCTCATGGTAGGCTGGTCGCTCTTCTTTTGGCGCTTTGTTCTGTGGGAGTCGTTGTCGCTTGAGTCGGCCAGGTTGAGAAGGTTGTCAGTAGCAAACGCGTCGCTCGCTTCGAAATCCTCCGTCTCTTCACCACAGAGGTAGCTTGACGCGCCAAGTGAGAGTGCGTCCGAGCTCGCACGTGATCGGCTGATGTGGACCTCGGTGGAGTCGCCCAAGTTAACAAGACCGTTAACGAAATCGTCCTCAGAATCGAGGTCCGAGAGTGCGTCAAAAGAAGGGAGGGTGTTGCAGAGCTGAGTGTGGAACTCAAAAGCCGAAGAATCGGGTGAAATTGCGGGCGTCGCACCCCTGAGCACAAACTTTTGGTCTTCGTCCTCGCCGGGGCACAGGGTCGGCAGCGCAGAAAATTCAGGCGCGAGAGTCGAGTTGACAGTGCCCACAGTCAAATTCCTGGGGTCGCAGAAATCGTCCGACGAGATGGAGCGTGCGTATGGAGAGGGTGAAGGGGAGAGAGAGGGGCACGAGGATGCGGGAGAGAGGAGGTCGCAAGCCTGTGTGTTGAGAGGGGCAATTTTAGACAGCTGTGCTTGGGCCGGGAGGTACACTGTTGTGACCGTGTTAGTGTTCAGGTTCGTCCCAATTTCTTAGTGTTGCAACATGCAATCGATACCGAAATAACAACAATGCACGAAACATGTGAACCAATCTCTTCTCTGTTGAAAACAGCGGGACAAATTTCACATTTCGAACCAGTCACAAAAAAAAAAAAAAAAAAAAAAGCCACAGGAGAAAAAAAAAATATGGGAAGAAAGGGCAAAAAAAAAAAAGGCAAGCTTACCAGGCGTCAATGGGGGTGATGCGCATGCGGACCAGTCGAGGCTGGGGAAGCTCTCGAGCGCGCCGTCCATGCCACACGATTCCTTGCCATCGAGCCCCGAGAACATGGGGTTCAGCGGGGTCTGCAGCATGTCACAGCTGCCAGGGCTGCTGATGGCACTGCCCGAGGACGAGAGCGGCGGGGTCGACGGGGAGTAGAGCCCCTCGGCCTCGCACAGCTCCGTGTCCAGCACGATCGTCGGCTTGGGGGCAATGGGCATCGGGGATGCCACGGGCGTCAGCGTCGACGGCAGGATGGGGACGCTGCCGAAACCCTTGGGCAGAAGCGGCGGCTGCGAGGAAGACGAGCCGGGCCGCGAGTAGACGGGTGTCGAGGGCAGCGGGGCCACGACCGGGAGCATGGACATCTGCTGCATCGCCGGGTGCTGCTGGTGGTGCTGGTGGTGCTGGTGAAGTTGGTGTTGTTGCGGGATGAAGCGGCCGTGTTGCCGGCTCTCCGGGTTCATATCCGGGCTGTAAAAGTAAAACGCCGGGCCGTTCGGGTGGGCTGTCATCATGGTGTCCATCTCTGATGCTGCTCGTTGCTGTTAGCCATGGCAGCCCCGTGGCAGTCCCGGGTTACAGCTGCCACCAACCTGTCCTGTGTGTATTGTGTCGTTGGTGATGCGGATGTTGTGTTCCTCTCGCTTGTCTCGCTATCGTCTTAAATATTAAGTAGGTATATATGGGGGTAGTTGTACAGTTGTCGTCGCAAACGTCGTGTGTGGGCTGTGGCCTAAAGATGGTGTGGTTCGGTTCCGCTAGTAAGGAATGGATGGCAGTTGTGATCGTGGGATCAAACAACTAGCCAGTTTAGAGGTGCTCGAGGGTTGGTGTACATGGACTCGTCTGAGTGACTTGTCTCGCCTATTATCACACTGCAATGCCCACTTCCTATCTCTTGTCGGTGACTCTGCTATCGTTGCATGGAAGTCGAGAAGGAGGGATGGGAATATGGTGAGGGAGGGTTTCGGTTGGAGACTGAGTTGCTGTAAAAGAAGGACAGGAAATAGATTCCGAAAAGGCTCGAGACCGGAAAGAAACAAGAACCGACAGCTGAAGCAAGAAGAAAGAGGGGATCACGCGTCTAGGTCGACAGATCTGCCCGTGTGGAGAGGAACCTGGGAGGTCGGAGAAGGGAAGCCCTGGCGGATATGTACAAGACGCTCCCTCCAACCCACCCCAGATCAACGGCGGAGAGGTCGCAATGGCCGATGGTGGCTCGACTGGCTGGCCGGCCGGGAGCCCACCCCATGTCCACGCCGTCTCGCTTGGATTCGACAAGGGCCAGGACCAGGAGGCCACAGGCCCCTCCGGGACTGGCCCACTGGTGCTTGAGACCCCTGTCTGCATGTCTGGGGCAAGGTGGAGAGGCAACATCAGATGGGTGGATTTCTCAGTGGAGGATGGCGCAGCGATTAGCACAAAGTTCTAAATCGGGACTGGTTCGGCCATGCCCTCGGAAGTACCACTGAACTGATAGTACATTGACCCACCAAGTAAATGCAAGCGGCGGGCGGTGCCCGCACAAACCAGCCAAGAGCTTTCTTCCTTGGGTCCTTTCCAAGCGTGTGGTTGAAGAGGCCTAGCACGCCTGTCTGTCCCGCACCGCTGGTCGCTGGCTCGCTCTTCTCGACGACCTCCACCTTGGGATGCGAGAGCTGCCTTGTGGAGTTGTGTCTCGCCAGTCGTGGAATGCGCCGAGTGGCGGCTGTTTTCGGGTCCCGCAAGTAGCGAGTGAGAATACATGTCGCAACACTGGAATTGGAAGAGTGCGATACACCAGTCCGCGACATCTGAGTGTCCATATTGCAGCTGTTGGCTGCATGCCGTCGCTTCGTTGGGACTTGCGAGTGGCAGCGACCAAGTTTCCAATCCAGACGAAGCAGGATTGCCCCCCAAAAAAATCACACAAAGTCGTACACCCAACTGGGCTTTTTCGCCGTCAAGCGGGCGCAGTGCATGGCCGCTGGCCAACAGGAAGAAGCGAGCAAATGCATAAAGCCGGCCGTGATGGCCTCCGAAGCTCTGATAGGTTAAACCGGCCACCAAGGCGTTCCTCCACACTCAACTTGCACAGAAGACTCTGACCGAGGCGCGGTGTTGACCAGTAGTCGGGCACACCCATTCGCTGCACCGCGTCAGGTCACATCTGTCCGTTCCTCCCCACCGACCAGTAGCAACCGCAGATGGCTGCAGCGCTGCAAGGTACGAACACCCCGAGAGGCCACCCTTCTGCATCACAAGTGCTCAAGAGACTGGGCGTTGCGCCGCCTGTCGTGTCGATCGTGACGACCGCCGTCGGCACGCAACAGCCACGGATCAGAGCGGTTGATTCGAGCCGATCACAGCCATCTTGGTTGCCTCGCACGACCCGTCGTCATGGATCGTCAGGTAGCGAGGTGCGGGACTGAATGCGCTGCCGCAACTTCATTATGCTCTGTGCCCGTTTGAAACGCAGTAAGAACACACGACCCAGGCATCGGGATGGGGAAGAAGAGACACGGAGCGAATCATGCTCGCTCAACTTGAGAATAGCATTAAGTTGGCTCGGGGTTCGTGCTGTTTCCAGGAAATCACGCTTCTTTATTTATCGATGCGTCCCAGATTGGGTGCGTAAGATCCATAAATGGCTGCTTTCCTATCTCGACGTTCTAAATCCGTCAGTAGCCAAAATGGAAACGGGGAGAAAATAAATGAGATCGTCGGTAAATGAACCGCCGTTATTATTGTCGAGATAATGCAATCGCGAGGCGCCGGTGTCAACAGCACAGCATGAGCACCATCGCTCGCGGACTCCATCGGCGGTAAAACTGCGAACTGCGCTTCGGGTGTGGTGATGAGAGAAGCACGAGACCACATGTTTTGCATCTTCGGCAGCCAATGTCGACCTCCGACTAGTTATTCGTAGTCCGTCAGCCCGATGATGCCCCTCCCCCTCCGATGGAGGTTGCAGCTGCCCGGCGGTTGTGCGCAAAGAAACATGAAACAGCCGAGAAGCTGTTGCAAAAATGAGCAGCTTGTCGATCACAAACGAGGTGACCACTCAGAAAGACGGGAAAAGAAGAAAACTCTGTTAGGCCTGGTCCAACGTCCACTCGGAAGGTGCGAGGAAGGCGTCAAAGCCCCTCCATGCAACCACTTAAAGTGCGCCTCTGTCAGTGACGCGGCAGGAACCCCCCCAAATCGCAATGTGACAGGGCACGACCACAGGCGAGGCGCCTTGGCCCCCAGTTTCTCGTGATGCAAAGACAGCCGCCCACCACAAAATTCATTTTGATAGCTTGGGTACCTTACGAGCTACCTCTTTTACGTGACGTTATACGAAAATCTCGGTATGTACACCCGGAGGATTTGACATTGAGCACAAGGCAGGCAAGCGCTACCAAGCGGCAACTAGCCATGAGCCATGAGGCAACCATGCCACGTCAATCACAAGCACCCAGCAGTTTGGCGCTATTTTCTGAGCCACTATCACTTCACACACGAGGAGCCCGCTCACGAGCATCAAAGCTTGTTTGGCATCCCACGACTCACAAGCCCCGGGCCCTCTCCCCACGCATCAACCACCGCATCGCGTCCCCCACGTGCAGCTCACTTGCAAGCCCGTTTATTTAGTTTGCCTGGATGTGCGGTAAACAACATCCCAAGTGGTTTCCGGTGGATGTGGGATGGATCTCATTTCTACACAGCTGATCATCACTTGCTCTCCGGGTATCCATTCAACTGTCGGCAGCTCAGCGTGTCCGCCGCAGCTCAAACGGAAACGGAACTCATTGGCAGCACTTGTTGGGCCCTCTCTCGGTTCTGCCGCCGAGTTTGGAAACAAGCGAGACTTCCTCAGTGTAACACATCTTTCTCGGGCCTTTCTTTCCCCAGATTCGAAGCCGAAGACTCCGGCCGTCCACTCTGATGATGTTCTTCTGCAAGTGCTGGGGCTGGGCAAGACTCTTTCCGGTTGGCTTGAACCATCAACGAAGGCATGTACCGGTACCTGGCCCATACATGAGACCCCGCTCCTCTTGGCGGATTTGGCCCCTGCGCGTTGCGGATCCAGGCCAGTTTCCTGTCCACTGTGTTGGAGGTGGTTTGCCCTGGGGCTCAGTTATCCACACAAACCAGACAGAGACCGGACTTTGTTCCAGAAACGGCAGCTCACCAGGTTCTCGGACGAAGAGAACCACTTGTGCCATTGCAAAGTCCTCGAGATCGGCCCTTTACAATCAGTTCGGTGATGGAACAGGAAGAAGCCTCGATGCCAAACTCGACAACTCGTCTCGCACTCGACAAGAAAAAAAAAGGTGCTGGAACCGACTGTCTGTCCCTTGCATGCTGCACTATGTGCATGCTGTTGGCAACCGCATCCAGGTACGCTGCTCCGCAATACACGAGACAGCCGGGGTACATGGACCACTCGCTTCGGTGGGATCCTTCTCTTGACGTCGCACACACTGTTTTCTTCGTCGTATACCTCAGGTTGTCGATACCTGGGCAGAAAGAAGTCCACTGATACGCCCGCCAAGCCCTTCGGGTTCGTTGACCCGGCTCCAGAGCTGTCAAGTGTTGGTGGGGTCTGCCGGTCTCGAACACGGCGGCGTCCTGATCCGGGACAAGGTGAGGTCTTTTTCCCATCGTCTGGTATTATCCTGAAACCCTGGTACAATGACTGGATGAGTCGAGTGTGGTGGGGTGGAACATGACAATCTTTTGCCACCAGAGCCCTGGGTCGCGTCGACAATCGGAGAAGTCTGTTTGGGCAGGTTTAGCCAGAAACAGACGACGCGCCAACATCCATTCGTCAGCACGTGCATGCGCTGATCCCACGCAGGAAAGGTTTCGCTGGGCAGAAAACCGAACAGCAGAAAAAGGAAAAGAGCGTGGTGGTCGATTTTTTTCTTCTTTCCAGAAGAAGAGACGCCAATGGAGCCAAGTTTTAATGCACGTGGATCAGATAGCAACAGCTCTGTTTTCCTCTGTTCCGGTAACTCCCCAAGCACGTGGATCTCGACAACTTCCTGCTTCGGTGTGTCGATTCGGCCGTGGCGGTCTGCTGGCCAAGGAAAATATTCCGCGTCCTGGGTTCCAGAGAGCAGGGCCCTGGGAGCCTGGCGTGCCTGGGTCTCTGGGACCTGGTACGGACCGTTGACGAACGGGCCGCGGAGGGGGACCCGTGGCAATCCCAAGGGTTTCGAGGGCATCGGCGGGCTCAAGCCCAAAAGGGAGGGTTATGCCGGGTCGGTGACCTCCCCGGATTTGTGGGAAAAGGGCCTGGTCGCGCTTGTTGAATTAGGCTACCGCATTAAACTCAATGTGGTACTGGGCACTTCGCTTGTCCTCGTCCACCGCCATTTCCACCCCAATGCATGCCATCTCTCGGAACCCGAGGTTTCATTTTCCCGGGTCGTCGCCGGTCGCTGGGGCTCGCCGGGGATGAGCCGTGCGAGCCAACAACAACAACCCCATGCCCGGGAATTTGACATCTGGATGGGTTTTTCGGTTTTGTTGTTCGTCAATGCCACGCTAGCGGTAGGTGGGCTAGTGGGATGCAACGATGGCTCCAGGGAAGCACGTCGGCCTGCTGCTCACATGGATACTCGCCGAACTGGGAACGTTGTGGCGTTGCTTGAATCGGGACACTGGCTCGACTGGACAACCGCGACAACCTTCTGATCCCGCCTGTGGCCCATCTTTCCCGGATGAGAGCCGAAAACCCAGGGAAATTCACCGTTGGGCTCATGCTTTTTGTCTGAGATCGACGGCCCTTGTCTCTCAAGAAGCAAGCATGGGCAATCTTCGCATGCTTGCCATGACAGATGGTGATGGCGCAATGTATCTGCAACGCGTTATTTCCCGTCTCGGCGATGGGCAGCACGACCAGGCACACAGCGAATAGCGGTCTCCAGTCCCCCGCCTGTGTCCCCCCACCGACCCAGCTTCGTTCCCACCTCGGATCCACTAACGCAGGAACAGAGACCGGCTCTGCCAATGGGGGCGCCCCCGTGCCATGTCGATGGGTCTTCTCGAAGGTTTCAGGGTCCCATTTTTTGTGCATGAAGAGCGCCACCTCACAATTCGCGCTCTGCAGGCACTGGCAGGCCAACTTGCCCGTTTCCGTCTTGAATTCCCAGCACACCCTTGTTCATGGCAAAGCCCGGCCGATTCCCTCCCAGCCCCAGCGCGGCGAGCGAGCATCGGGGCCGCCAGATGAACTGGTATCGGGGTCGAAAGATAACGTTACACGGTAGAGGACGACAAGCACGAGAGCTCTGCACAGTACTTCGTAACTACACTCGTAACTACACTACCTTATCACCGCCAGGACTTGTGGCCGTCCAGGACTGCGGGCAGCAAACAATCGACGACCTGAGCAAACACACAATCACTGCGTCTGCTGGCATGTCGCCAATGAGCCCGCTCAGGATTCCCTTTCTCGACCAACCCCGCCACTAGACTTCGTAACTAACTGCCGGCAGCTTCAGCTCTACGACTTCGTCCAAGTATGCCCTCCGCCATCGCGGCCGGCCTCTGTATCTCCAAGATCGACGGCCCGTTTTACGTAAGGTATCGATTCCGGTGGTTGCTAGCACTGGCTAGTCCCCAAAGCTGGGGGCGCCGTCAGCACTAGCGCGGTGAACGGACTGCGTCAAGAGGGGTTCTGGGCAGCTCACCTCGGCATCCCCAAGTTTTTGGGTGAGGATCGAGATCTCGCCGGGAACCAACCGCGACTGAAGGGAACCCTGTCGGCGGGATGGCTGGCGAAGGATTCGCGGCTCGACCGTGCGCTGGAGCAGCGGGCAGCCAGTGGCACAGGCGCTGATAAGTGTGCCCGAGTTTGTGGGGTTGCGAGGTTGTGAGATAAGATTTTGCGGCAAAGCAAGGTATCCAGGGTGACCTCGAGGTTCCTGTCAAACCCACCGGTGATGCTGCCTGCTTCTTCTTCAACTGAGAACTCCAAAAAGCAACAAGAAAAAGCAGGGCCTGTCTAGGTTTTTGAGAGAACTGACAGTTTATCTCCAGTCAAGTTGCCAAGGCGCCATCGTGTTCAACTGCCGTGTGAACGACATCGAGACATTGCCACAAACACTAGCCGCAGTGGAGCGAACAAGGTCAACCGGGGCATTTGTTGTGACGCCGTCTGAAGTCCAGCCTCGAAAAAAAACACGTTCTTCGGTCTCAGGCTGTTTAGTGTCAGATTCGTCCCAGCCAGGCAACAGGGCACACATCCCCAAGAGCGCGGACGTGATAACCGATAATCCCATGCAGCGCTATCACTCCCAGGGCCCCGCTGTCCAAAACACGACACACCAAACGCCAATGGGTCAACAAACCCATCCTCTCGCTCAAGCAAGGGCTCGGATAAAAGTCTGCACCTCTTGCATCTTGCATCGCGAACGGGCATCTCGCCACAAACAGGATGCAGACTGCAGCCGGTCGCGCAGTCCCGGGGCCCTTCATTGGCCCGTATCTGTTCCGACTAGGAAGTCTTCGCTCCTCCCTTGCAACAGTCCGTCCACAACCTACACAGTAGCGTCCATACACCACCTAACTACACTCGAGACTAATAAATGCCCCGCTGCCGGGGGGTTGGCCTTGGATCCTCGGCACTCCACACTTTTGGTTCCGTTCGACGCCGTCCGTGTGCAGACGGTGAGGTCTGAGATCTACCTTTGGTGTGGGCGGGTCAACCATACAAGTAAGCCAGCTATGCTGACTCGGCCGCCGCCGATGCTCGGCAGTCATCCATCGTGCGCCTCCGAATCGGTTTCTGCGCCGCAAAACCAGGGTTTGGTTCGTTATTGTGTAACTATCTTACTTGGTTCGTCGGAGACAGTCCGAAGTAAGGTACGAATACGTTACTTGGTCATTATCGGACCCCAAACTTGTGACAAGCGTTGCTTGGTAGGTGGTATTGCTCGCAAGCCACCAAACAGCAATTGCCGGCGGCAGGGGGGTGTGTGTGGTGTGCTGCAGGCGTTTTGAACTTTTTGCTGCTGCTTTGCAGCCGGCGTCCTTAGCATCGCATGCACGCAGGGGCACGCGAGTCCCTTCGAAACACTCGCTCCATGTCTGTCTGGCGCAGCGCAGCGCGCATTGCATTGATTGAACACACCGCCCGACGTCATGTTGGAGGCGGCCAAACGAGGCATTGCCTCACCCACTCCTCCACCACTCCGATCATCAGGGAGTTCCCGTCTTTCGCTTAAACGATGGAGCCGACTCCTCCAACAAACCCCATAAGCAGCTGAGCACAAGCCAGATAAGATAGATAGTTAGCGACAAACAGGATCCCAAGTCAAGCAACTGTTGTTACAAGTCAGGCGCCCCACTCGCCATCACCCGCGCCGAGTCATCTCGCAGGGAATTCGAGGGCAGCGGGTGGATCGTGGACCTACCATAGTACGTTCTCACTGGCTCGCGCGCGCGATCCCGCCCCGCGCCGGTGGCCGCCCTGTTTGGGGGGGCCTTTTGCAGCCGTGCAGGTCTATCCGTCCGACCGCACATGTCCCATGTTTTTTCTGGTTGGGCGGCCGCGTTTGCATGGACCCAGCAGCACCAACCCAGCAGCAACAGAGCGGGCAACGGGCAATGGTTGGTGCTGCTGCATGCTGCACAGGCCGCGTCCGCGCCGGCCAGGGGGGCCCGATGGGAGCCAACAGGCAGGCAGGCCGCAGCCGACGGGCCACATCGCGGGCGGTCGGTCGGTCGGTCGCACGCAAGGCCGCCGCCGGGAGGCCTATGTACCTCCTCCCTCACCCGGGAGTTGGGTTGAGCAGCAGGGCTGTGGTCGGATTGTAACTATTCGATTGTGTGCCTTGCTGTGGATGGGTTTGTTGGTTGTTGATGCTGTGGGATTCCTTGGAATGACGCAGCTTGCCCCGTCGGCCTCGGTTGCTCGGAGGTGCCGACGCAAGACAATCCTTTGGGTTGGGTTGCTGTCAAACTGAACCACAAACTCAACCTAAAACATTTTCTATTTTATTTTTCACCGAGGCCGCTTTTTTCCAGCTTGCTCGGTCTGGCTACGGGGCCGCCATTATGGCCGCTTTCACGGAGTCACCGCCAACGGGTTTGTCGAGTTCCCCTTCACGGCACCGAGAGAGCGAGTACCTGGGCGGGTGCGCGAAGGACGCCGTGGACGGTTTGTACGGATGTATGTACCCCCCATCGAAAGGTACATCGCATCACAGTCGTCCATGCCACATTGGCGTCCTCCCTCTCTCGTCCGATGGAGTGCGAGCTCGTGGAAGAGTTGGGTGAGGTCCACCAAGGCCTCTCTCTCTCTTTTGCCTTCTTTTTTTTGCGGCGCGGACGGCGTTGTCTTGCTATTCTACAAACCAGCGAGGACAAACTCGTTGCCGTTTGGGTAGCACAGTAACCTGCCAGCGCCGCTTCCCCCTGCATCCTTTCTTGTCCCCGTCGCACCCTATCCCATCCATCCCATCCCATCCTTTTGTCAGCAACTCGGTTGAGCTCACTCATCGCGGGCCACGCCGGTAAGAGAAGTGGTGGAGTGGTGTGGTGTGTGTGGGTGAGTGGGTGCCCGTGTGTATTTGTGTGTGTGGGTGTGTGTGTGTGTGCCTCCTCGAGTATTTGTGATAGCCCCTTGCTCTGCTCTACTCTCCATGCTTTGTCCCCCAAATAACCCTCCAACCGTTGTGCCCTACCGTCCAGGTATCAAAAAGGCCAAGCAGCATCCAGTCATCCCCAGGCCAAGTAAAAACCCCAGTCAGACCAAGTCCCGCGCTGCCGCCGCCGCGCCGCGCCGTGACTGCGCCGCCATGGGGGTGGCCTGGGGGACATGACGGAAGCTGGGAGGGACGGGTCTGGCCTTGATTCGGCCAGTCGGTCGTTCTCCGCCGTAGGTACGCTTATGCATACGTATACGGACGGGAGTGGGAGTCGGGGGTGGCCGCGGGGGGCGGTTGCGTATACGAACTGGACTGTTGGCCGTTCTCGATCCCGGTCGATCCGGTCGATCCGAGCCGGCAGAGCAGACGTCCGTGAGGGAGTGACTAGGTTTATGGCTGTCTCCCGTTTACCTCCGCCGCTCATCTCCCCAAAGGGACTTCAATCGTTTCAGGTGTCTGTGACAGAACCATATGGGATGTAACCGTGAGAGTCCATCCTTCGGGACTACTCGGGCGTATTGGGGGCGGTGGCGGCTTATATCGTGAGCGGCGCCTCCCGTATATGGCTGCCGTCATGAGAATCCCCGATTAGAACTTTAAAACAAGAATTCGAGTTCCCGATGAATTCAGAGTTTCCCGAATCCCACCCCCTGGCATGGAGAACAAGGTGTCAGACGGGTGAAGAAACAAGGGGTGTCAGTTACACGGTTCAGGGCACCCAACGGAACGACGAAAACAATGACGAGGTCGTTTTGAATACCTCCGATATATCAGGGACGATAACTAAAGGCTTCCCCTTGAATCTTGTGGTTGGATGCCCGCTTGTTGCAAACTCATTTTCAAAGTAGGGTCGAAAACATAACCATTCGGTCGGCCTTATCGATGGTAAAACGGCTGGATGAAAAAAATATTAGCAGTTTTAGCAAACAAGAACATAATCAAAGACCAGGGGAAAAAACAAAGAAGGAACTTGAGAGAATTCCTCGATATAAAAAGCCCAAATCCCAGGTTTGCATTCATCGTTTTGGCTTGACACTTTCGTGGTTCAATGTTGTCAAACGTTAGAGGCGGCTCATCCCTAAACATCAAAGTATAACCACGCATATATCGTTCTGTGTAATCCATGTCATACCGTTGATGACACTTTCATTACTTCTTGTGGTTCGGGGATGGACGTCGAATATAACCCTAACCCTATTACACGACCACTTAATCCATGAACGCTCAACCGCATCTCATCAACTCTTTTCATCCGCCATCAAATACATCACGCAAAACATACCTGGCATCAACATCACCAATACCGGCCCGTTACGCACAGTCAATTTCATTTTTTGCGGCTCCCCCACATCCCAAACTCGCCGACAATCTCAACCCAACAACAACAACAAAACAAAAACACCACAACACCACAACACCACACAATGAACTCCCTCAACCCCCCAAGGAAAAACAACCCCCCACCAAACCCACCCTCCAATGAACAATCCCCAGAAGAAGAAGAAGAAGAAGAAGAAGACTACATGTCCATGACCTTCACCACCACCCCCTCCACCACCACCCACACCCACCCCCACCTCAACCGTCAACCCCACGCCCCCGCAGAAACATCCCTCCAACGCCGCCAGCGCCTTCGCCGCGAGGCCGAGGCCCGCGCCCATCCCAAATCCAAAGCCGAGCTCGCCGCCGAGGCCGACGCCCGGCGCGAGGCGGCGCTGGCCCAGTCGCTGTTTGAGGCGAAGCCGCAGAGTAAGGGGTTGGCGATGATGGCGCGGATGGGGTTTAGGGGGGGCGGGTTGGGGAGGAGGGTTGATGGTGGTGCTGGTGAAGGGGGGGAGGGGGGTGGTGGTGCTGGTGGTGGTGGCAGGACGGAGCCGATTCGCATTGAGATGCGGGATGGGAGGGAGGGGATCGGGTTGGAGAGTGAGCGGAAGCGGAAGGTCAGAGAGGCGGCGGAGACTGCGGGGGAGAGGGCGAAGCGCGCCAAGGCGGAGGAAGGCGAGTATAGAGAGCGCTTGCGCAGGGAGCGCGAGGAGGCGCGGTGGGAGAGGCAGCTGGCGGCCGCGCAGAAGGTCGCTGAGCGGATGGCTGCGGAGAGAGAGGAAGAGGAGGCTCAGGCGGAGGGCAGGAAGGTGGTGGTGCGCCCGTTGAAGGGGATACCTGTCGTTTGGAGGGGGTTGGTTAGATCGCGCGAGGAGGCCGAGAGGGACCGTAGGATGAGGTATGATTTGGAGCAGGGGCTGGCGAGGCTGCCTACGTATGACGATGCGGAAGAGGATGAGGCCGATAAAAAGGCACTTGGGAAGGCGGCGACGACGTATGCAACGGCGGAAGACCTGGATGAGGAGGATCCTGAGCTGGAGGAGTTCAACGCCTTGCCGGTGGATGAGCGATTGCAGAAGGCGGTGGGGCATTTGCGCGAGGAGTATCGTTACTGCTTCTGGTGCAAGTTCGCGTACCCGGACGAGGAGATGGAGGGGTGTCCGGGGTTGACGATCCCGTGCTCGTCCCTGACATTGCTAGCCACCTCGCTGCAACTCGTTTGCCAAGAACTCTTCCCGATCTTCCGCAAAACCTCCCACCCCCCCCCATCAGTGCTTCCTATTCCTCCGACCGTGCAAATGCTGGCGAAACGCGGGCGTCTCCCTCTCCCCCTGCCCCACGCTTTTCCATCCTCGCACCCTCCGTCTCCACCACCAACCTCCTCCCCATCCCATCCTCCCCCGTACCCCCCTCCCCCCAACCCTCCCACCTCACCTTCCCCACCCCCACCGCGCTCCCCCAATTCGGATCCAGTCCCCGCACAAAACCGAGCCAGTACCCCATGACCAGCGGCACCACCCCCGCGTTGTACGTCCTGTAGCTGGCCCGCGCGAGGTAGCCTCCTCCTCCGCTTCTGCCGCCGCCGACGTTGTCGGGCCCGAAGATGGCGGCCGAGTCGAAGATGTGCGGCACGCCGAGGCCGGCGGCGAGGTTCTGCGTGTCGAGGACGTTGTAGCGGTAGGCGTAGATTTGGGGGGTGGGTGTGGGGGTGGTGCTGTTTCTGTTTCTGCTTTGTGGGGGGGTGGTGTTTGGGTGGTGTTGTGGGTGGGAGTGGGAGTGGGAGTGGCGGTGGAGGTGAGTGAGCACGTTGTGCGATGGGCAGATAAAGGTGGCTTCGCCGTAGGCCTGGCTGGCGGTGGGGAACCAGGGGTTGCGGTTGGGTAGGGGGGGCAGTTGGGGGTATTGGGCGAGGATGGCGGTCGTGTCGTTGGTGGTGAGGAGCGGGTAGTTGTTGCAAAAGAAGAGGGAGACGTCGTCGGGTGTGGCGGCGTTCGAGACGAAGACGGAGCCTTCTGTTGTAGAGTTTAGTGTTGGTTGTTTAATGGGGGGGGTAGAGTTGAGAGGACGCACCGTTTGTGGATGTCCCGAACATCACTGGCACGTCGATGAAGTGTCCCTTTTCAAATAACCGATAGGGGAGATCGCGGAGGAGGTCTCCGTCAACACACGGGGTCCAGTAGAATAGCGGAACAGGCGGATCTGGACGCCCAGGGAACGGCTGTGCATAGTTGGCAGCTTGTAACACGGCAACGTCCTTGCCCCGGAGACAAGCCATCTGCTGGGACGGATGCAGTTGGCCACAGCCTGTTTGCCTGACCACCCGGTCAAACTGGTACTCGAGTTCCTCGACAAAGGGCTGGGCTGGGAAGAAGTTGGCCTGTGACATGGCTCCCACAAAGAGATTGTCGTTGCGCCCACCGTAGGCTACCAGGTGCGTGGCCACAGAACCGGCCCCGGCAGAGGCGCCGTGGATGACAACGTGGTCGGGGTCTCCCCCAAACTATATTGACAGTCAACCAAAGTAGGGGTGGGAAGAACACGACATCCCGACTTACTGAAGCAATATGTCTCTTTACCCACGCCATAAGCATCCGCTGGTCCAACAAACCCGCGTTCAGATCCCCGTCCTCCCTCACCCGTTCGCTCGCAAGAAATCCCCAGAGGCCGACCCGGTAGTTGAAGTTGACCATGACAATGTTGTGGTCAGACCGTTGGACGACTTCGTTGCCATCCCAGTTGGCGTTGGGCGTTGTGGCCCGTATCCTACCCACACCATCAGTTAGGGGCCATGGCACACCAGGGTGACGCTGAGGAACCTACCACCGCCCTGAATAAACACCCACACAGGCAGTTTAGACTTCTCGGTGGCATTCGTCGGTGCCCAGACATTCACAAACAGACAATCTTCACTCTGCCCATGCGCGGGATACGTCACGCCGTTTCCGAGGCATATTGGCCCATACTACCGGGGGGTCAACGCACTATTTAGAGCAGACATTCGCAAGTGATTCACGTACCGCCATAGCCTTTTCCACGGTCCCCGTCGGCACTGGGGCAGGTTCAACTGGGGCTTTCCATCTCAGATTACCAAGTGGTGGTGCGGCATATCGCATGCCCCGGAAAGAATTCACACCGTTGGACAGACGTAGGCCCTCGTACGTGGTGTAGTTGAGGTTGGCTCTGGCAGTGCCAACGACAGTAGGCTGCGGTAACAAGATGAGGTCAGTTTGCGAATCATAGCATTGTGGGGGCGTAGGGCGTCCGAGGAGGTCATGTCGACGAGGTATGTAACTGGAGGGTTCATATGACATAGTATGGAGGACGGCATTGTGTGACGGACAGGATATGCCAGCTGTGAAACTCCCACTACAGCGTAACAGGAACTGAAAGAGACAATAACAGCAGAACCTACCCCATCTCTACCATTCCCACCTGACCTGATCACCAACAGCCATACGCCCACTTGCACCACCAAGACCAACACCACCGACAAGACGAGCGCAACCGCTGTACTCCCCGACGGCTGCGGTGATGCCCAGGTACCAGCCCCTTTGGCACAAACAACGACCCGTCTCCTGTCATGCGCCTGTCCGAGAGGGACATTGTGGGAATAATACCTCGGCCGGCCATTTACCTCATCCCGATAACCACCATCATCGCCGCCACGGACATCATCCAGTGATGGTGTTGTCGAGGGACGGCTCATATCTGCCAGAGAGGACTCGAACGAGGAGGCTCACACCATGCCATAGAAGGTCTGCTACTGGGTCAGTATCACCATTATAGAATAAAGAATAACACGAAGAAGAGTCGGAGAATGACACATACCTAGGGCTCTAAAGGTAGGTAGGTACTCAATCAACCGAGTCTATCACAAGCAACAATAAGCAAAATAACGA